GACTGAGACACGACCGGGATCGCTTGCGAGTGCCAAGCTGAGTCGCAGCATGAAGCTGTGTCGCAGCTTCTGGGCCAGTCGAGCCCAGACGGGGCTTCTCACGGAGTACCCCGCTGGGAGCGCCAGCGCCTTCCATGATGAGCCCACAGTCTACTCCTAGCCAGATTCTGCGGGGCAGTATTTACAAATATAGTAAGGCTTTTCGTAGAATGCTTGCCGAGCTCTCAGGGCCGACTGCTCGGAGGCTGTTTGTGATGATTTCCGCGGATGTTATGACATTTTCAGCAGCAGGCTAACAGGGCGGCTCCATGAAGGCGCTTCTTGGAAGTACTTCTCCGAGAAAGGGCAGCTTTTATCAGAGACGTTGGAGGCCGCGGAGTACTCTACGACGGTGCCCCTACGCTAGCACTTTACTAGTTGCGACCTTCAAGATGGCGCTTGCGGTGTGCAGGTGCATGCGAGAGAACACGACGAGAGAAGAAGCTGAGCCAGCCTTTCATTCCCTTTTGTTGCAGGCACAAAAGGAGCGAACTCGGCCGGCTGAGAGATAGCGCAGTCTTGTTTCCCTTATAACTGAGAACGCCCAATGAAGGGCTGAGAGATGCTCCTTCCTAAGTCGGTCTTTATCTTGCTAGCTTTGCTTCTCGTACTAGATACTTTGCCAGTAGTAGACTAGTGGCATAGCTTCAGTCAGTGTATAACTCAGCTGCCTCAGTCTCAGCGTCGTCGTCTTCTTGTCTTCGGGTGCGCCTGAGGCTTTGCCGAAGTGGCAGCGACGTTTGTGGGAGAAGAATAACCCATCTGCGGCTGCTTCTGGTTCCAAGCTTGTGCCCCAGGTGCCCACTGCCCAGCCAAAAAACTCTGCTGCCGTGCTTGTTGCGCGTGAGTTCTTCGAGTCAGGGCGGACTGACGCGGGCCCGCGTGTCTTGAAGCGATGCAGCGTCTACATGGTGTCCGAAGTGTGGCCAAGTTTGAAGGAGCGGACTGATTGTGGCGATGTTGTGGAGGCTTCGTTCGAGTTTCAGAGCGATGGGACGACAAAAAAGACACTGGTGGCTGAGGACAACTTCCGAGGACAGGGCGCGCTCAAGTGGATGGGCTCTTACGCCTCCGCCGAGCTCATGTTTGGCGGTGCTGGTGACTACATCGAATTACTTTTGCCGACGCACTTTACCGGCGTTCGTCCTCGTGCTAAAACAGCGAAGGAACGCCTACAACAACCAGCAGCGAGCACCTTACGCTTCAGCGAAGCGTATGACTCCGCTAGTGTCGTACTTGATCAGGTCGAGGACATCTCCAAAACAACCTTCCGCAAGCCGGTTATCTGCATATTCCCAACAGATAGTGGAGGCAGCACAGAGAGCCAGCAAGTTCATCACTTACAGCTTGCCAAGCCGTTCCTGGGAAATGTCTTGCCTTGGGCAGAGTTTGACCCAGTGCATCTACTCGCCAGAGCGAACCGGGTCGGCTTTGATAAATGGCGCAAGATTCTAGGCAAAGAGCCCCGGGAAGTTGAAAAGAAGATATATCTAGTGGCATTTCTGTTCAGTAGCGTTCTTCTTTGAATGTGGTAGCGTCTTCGTGTCGTTAGCTGGATAGAGTCAAGGCTTGAAGCGTGGGCTTTAAGGTTTGAGCTTCGTGCTCGGTGTTTTATGCAGTAAAGTACTCCTCGGAGGCTTCTGGTTAATCTTCTGTCTTTTTCTCCATTGTCGTAAAGGTTGAGACTCCTCTTCTTCTCTCCAAAACACTCCTGCCGTGGATCTTCTCATAATCTAACCACACCCACACAGGCTTGGGGAATGAATGAGAAGAACATCGTTACGCGCTGGGAAATTGATGCGCTCTTCGATAAGATGTTCCCTCGGTGGGGTGTCGGTGGTTGATTCGATTCGAGTAGCGAGTTTTTAGATTTTCTGGGGCTCAGCAAACGGCGCGAGGAGGTACTGAAAGAGCTTCGCGGGAAGCTAAACCGAATAGACGGACGCGTGGTTCGTTTGCAGGGCGGATACAGATGCGGAGCTGAAAGCGGTGAAGCTGTTGGTGCATCGAGTTTTCGCGAAGGTGTCCTTGCCAATTTGGACGCGGTGGCTGTCTTTTCTCGTCTGCGCCTGCGAGCTCGTTGCTCGTTGTACGTTAGGAGCTGCTTTCCTCATGCGTCGCGTCCATCGTGCCTCGAGCCAGATACCGAAGTTCCAACTTCCGGCGCCGTATCTTAACACCGTGGAGGAGGCAGGTGCTTTCTCCTTTCTTCGTGCGTAGAAAGTATCTACTTACTTTGACACGTCGCAAAGCTTTCTCTCGATTATCGCCTCACTCTAAAAGTCGAACTTTCCTCCGCGTGTTCTTCTACATCTACGACAAGGGAGATTTTCTGGATCGCCGCGTCCCTACTATTGTATTCATTGCCCGCCTGGCGTCTCCTGTCGATAAATTCAACATGCGGCTCCTGGACAACAACAAAGGACGGCCAAAGGAGGGGCTTCGCACTCGCTTCGAGGAGGATTGGCGTGCTGCAAGTGCGTACTTTGATGATGGTGTTAGAGTCGAGCGCGCGGCTTTGTTTCTATTTCCGGGAAAGACGGCCGTCTCTGACGTGGGGCGGTCGACGTTTATGCTTATGGTTGGTTATTCGTAATGGATTTTACTCGTAGACTAATGCTTTCACTTGGTCACATCTCTGGGCGTTCTTGCAATCTGCATAGAGCTCTCCTCGGGGTAAGCTGTAGGGCCGTTATTGATTATATACGTATACTAGTGGGCTCTCGTAGAGTATCGGGCTATCTAGGTTGATGGAGCTGTGACCTACATCGTTCTGCTTTCTCGGTTTTTCTGTTTCTTCTCAAACGGCTCGTTCTGTACTAGAGCCCCCCCCTCACGATATATCTGCGTCTTCCCCATCCCGTCGTCTTTTCATAACATTGCTGCGGATGCGTCGGGCGGCTAAAATAGCTCTAGCGACAGTTCGCGCCGAAGTGTATGGCAGGAACTTCATTGCGAAGCATGGCCTCCATCTGTTTCGTGCGATGATTGTAGACGGCAAGGCAGAGGAGGCCTTGCGGTTTCTAGTGGATTACGTGGCCATGCGTCCGGTTGTGAAATCACTGGAAGACCTCCAGCTGCGCGTCCTCTCCCAGCAAGTTGCCAAATGCAAACCAGGGCGGTCGCAGTTGCATGCCTTGCGTGCGCTTGGGCGTGCTATTGGCCGCCACAAGACAACAGCAGCTGTGGGGAGGCGTACTGGCAGAGCACAAACAAACTCGCACAGGAGGTACATCAGTGGTGCACTTGGTCTTCCTACCATCGATACTACTACTAATAGAAAGGACGTCTTCGACTTCAGGCAGGGGATTGCTGACGACCTAGAACTACACCAGGTGACTGAGGCGAAATCTTACCCCGAACTATGTGGTGTGGGCCTCGATACAGGGGCCTCGGCTTCAGCGACTGGCGCACCGCAGGGAAGCAGATACGCCCAGGCGCGCAGCGTGGACATACAAGCTTGGGCCATGTGTAAAAGTGACGAGTACAAGCACGAAAAGCCGAAGGACCGCCTAAAGAGCGTCATGGCAAGCGTTGGCCTTGGCAATGGTATCACGGTCACGCCGGAGCTTCGCCTCGCGTATGGAGCAGAGCACGCGCAGGAGGCCTTGGAGGATCTTGTCTCCGATGCGGAAGAGCTGGAGGCGCCGATCCGTTCCCATGGAGGACTATGCGAGGCTCAGAAATTCTCTGACAAGGTGGAGAAGAGTGTCATAGCGAAGGTTCGCCGTGAAGAGCACAGCTATGCTGATGGCCCTTTGCGTTTGCTCCTCGGGAAGAAGGTGGACAGGTCGCAGCAAGTGATAACGCGCAGTGTTGACGCAGTTTCTTTTACAACATCGAAGCCACCTATCTGCTATGTGGTGGGGCGCTTGATGGCTGCGGTATTGAAGAAGCATAAGGAGACGACAAAAGAAACCAGCACTCCAGCAGAAATAGCAGAAGCTGTCGCGAAGCTTCTGAATCTGGACAGTGCTGCAGCAGATGAAATGCATGAAAGCGGCAACGATGTAGTAGAGGACAACTTGGCAACTTGCTCTGAGGCTGTCGAGGGTGCCTCGCCGCTGGCAGTGCGAAGCCTCGGCGTGGTGATAAAGTTGAACGTTGCGACAGGAGGCCACGCGCACTTCTTAGTACTTTCGCAGGATGTGGGAACTTACCACTTCAAGGCGGTGCGGTTAGAATTTCTCGAGCATGGCGACATGGCGTCGCAGTACAAGTTGGGCACCGAAATACTGACTACTTCTGCGCCTCCCAGCATGTGCTACGACTTGACGAAGTGCACCATGCGCATCCCTTTCGTTGACAGTAGTGAGCTCGAGCGCGTCGCCTTGCGAGTATTGAGGGACGAAATTCCACAGGTGAAAAAGGCGCTACCCTCTGCAAAGCCTACCACTATCGCGTCGGAGAGTAGGAACATCCCAAAACTGGAGAGGCGTATACAAGAAAAGCGAAAGCGTGACGAGGAGGACTTTCGAGCAGGAGGAAACAGACAAGGGGGAGCAGACTTCATCGAACATAAAAGCAAGCGCCTTGCTTCGGAGAAAGCTCCGGCTGCCCCGGCGTTGAAGAGCGACAAGGTGCCGGCAAGTGAGGACAGAGCGCCATTACCTCGCGAAGCCATTCCACTTGCCCCGGATGTGCAGCAGAAGCACGACCGGGAGAAACTACTACAGCTGGCGAAAGTCACGGGGAAGATCACGGTGGAGGGATTCTCTATCACACTTGACGGCAGTACAACTACGCAGCGGCTGGCTGGGCGTGCTTATGATCGGTATAGGATCAGGATCACCGATAAGGAGCTCGCGAAGCTGTTCAAGGAGGTGCAGAAAACGAAGGGTCTACAACTTCACTGCAATGCCCAAGCTGAGGCGCGACGCTATATCTCGTTTGCAGATGGAGAGGAGCAGTTCGGTGAGGCATTGGCGATTCTATGGGCTTGCCGGACTCGATTCATTTTAGACAGGAGCCGCTCGCACTTGCGTCGTGGTGACCATCAGGGCAAGAACTTGCATCAGACTCGTTTAGACTATGCCGCTGCAATTGTGAAGGCAGTCGCATGCGCGACTTCACTTGCAAACAAGGACTTCGCTCGACTTCAAAAGATCAAGGAGTATCAGAAGATCGACGCGGACACCCTCAAAAAATTAGATGGTTCAAGAATTCTCCCGCAAGTAGATCATCTGCCTGAGGTATAAAATCAGACGCAAAGTGTCGAGTTGTTGCGATTGGTGGGCGCGTTCTCAATCAGGCCGCGGCGTCCATGGTTTGCTGCCGGTGGTTCTTGGTTGGATTTTGAGCTTGGTTTTTCCGACTTTTTTTGGATCTCGAGCAAGTGCGTCTGGATCTTGGATTGGGTACGTATAGAGCGCAGTTTCTGGCTGTTCATAATATCGATCAAGATCCAGCAAAGAGAACTAGCGGAGGGCGATGTGGTAGGTTCGTCGTCAGTCCGGATCTCGCTCCAGATCCATCAGCGGGTGGCGGATCAGTGGTCGCAGTTCTAGCGTCATTTCAAGTGGTGTGCGCGATTTTCTCATAAGCATACTTTGGATTCTGGGTGAAGATTCTGGTGGTGGCTAGCGGTGAAGAATGTTTTTGGATTTGCGAACAGATTAGAACAGCAGGAGTTTCTGGCGAGATTCGTCCTCGACTGATCTGGCGTGAGTTCTCTGCCGAGCTAAGTAGGGCTCTGCGTCCCAGCATAAGATGTCCCAGCCAGAAGAAAGCGGAACTCTACCGGCGCCACCTGTCCGACGCGCCAACGATCACCGCGAAACCTTCGAAGAAGCGAAGAAAAAGCGCAAGCTCGTCCGTACTGACACGGAGCGCGCGCCTGACAAGCTCTGCTCCAGCGCAACTCCCTCCTGGGTGGATGAGCAGAAGGCCGCACTATTTTTTTAGATTTTTCTGACTTTGTCCTTCGTAGATCAAACTCCGGGTGGGTTTCGTCTTCTATGTTGAGGATGGTACTGGTTTCCAAGTTTTTACTTTCTTATGAGTTTCTTCTCTTCTCTCAATCAGCCAAGCTCTTCCATCTACCAAACACCTCCTCCACCACAGGAGCGCAGCAACGTCTGCCAGGCGCTTGGCAAAAAAGTGCAGGCATCGCTCTACGCAGACTATGGCCATCGTGGAGTCCTTGGTGGCTGGGACTTATCCCGCAACGGACAACGACGAAAAAGCGATACTGTTTGCGTTTCGCAAATTAGGCGCGCTCATGCTCACCATCCTCGTGCAGTCGCACTGCGACAAGATGCTGCGGACTATTATCAAATACCAAGGAGACATTACCCCGGCGGAGTGGATGCGCGTTCGTGTACTTATAATACTAGCCTCCACAAGCTTCGCCCGGCTTCAGGTTAGTTTAGCACTTTTCTGCGACCTCCCACGGGCTACAGCCGCTAGAGTAGAGGCAGCCCGCGGCTGAGCTGTTGCACCCTACGAATTAACTACAAGAGCCGAGCGCCGACGGTGGCCGACTCAGATGCGTCGACTCACGTGCAGGGCATTGCGTTGCCTTCGGTTTTTTTATGAGAGTGCCGGGGGGGGGTTATGCAAATTCTCAAGAATTTGCAAGACCCCCACGGCAGTCCAACAAAAAAACCAGAAGAAGGCCACCAGACACGCACAAGAATCCGCAAGCCCCAACGCACGCAAACGCCTCGCGGTGGCGCCAGGCAAGAACGAGTGGCGGCTTTACCGGAACAAACAAGACAAAGCAACGCAGGGCCGCGCTGCTCGGGTCTCTCTACGCGCTTTCACCTGGCGGGGCTTCTTTGTTTCGTCAGATGTCTCTCGTCAGAAACAGACGGGCGCACTTCGCGGGGGCGTGGGGCGTCGCGCTTCGGGTTGTGGCTGAAGCCTCTCGACTGGCTGACGCCTTTCGCCAGGATCGAGACTGCGGCCTTCCATCAGGCTGATGCCGTTCGTCAGGCCAACGCGCTGCGCCAGGCTGGCGGCTTTCGTCGGACAGGCCGGCGCCCTTCGGCGGACGTCGTGGGCCACCCAGGCTGAGGCTTTTCGTGAGGGTCGGGCGACGCCTCTCGTCAGGCTGACGCCTTTCGTCAGACTGAAGCCCTTCGCCTGGCCGACATTCCTCGCCGGGCCAAGACTCACGCCTTTGGTCAGGTTGATGGCTTGCTTCAGCGTGGCGCCGTTGGTTCGTCAGGCTGATGCACTGACCAGCCAGGTGACGCCTCTCGCTACGACCGGAACAGGCTGCGCGGGGCCTTTCTTCGGGCTGCGGATGTCTTCCCTTCGTGGGATTGATTCTACCCCTTCGTCGGACTGACGTTTTTCGCCAAGCTGACCGCGTCTGTCGGACTGACGTCCTTCGTCAAAGGTCTTCGCTATCCTCGTCGAGGTAGGGCTTCTCGCCACAGGTCGGGCGGCAGTTTTTCTGGCAGAGGTCGTTCGTCAGATGTCTGCCGTCGCGGGTCTCTTGTCAGTCTTGTCGGAGGTCGACTTTGGTCCAGCGGTCGCCCCTGGTCGTCCAAAGGTCGCCTCTGGTCCAACGGTCGCCTTTGGTCCAAGGGTCGCCTTTGGTCCAAAGGTCGCCGCACTTTGGTCCAAGGGTCGCCTTACTTTGGTCCAGAGGTCGCCTTACTTTGGTCCAGCGGTCGCCTTACTTTGGTCCAGCGGTCGGCTTACTTTGGTCCAGGGGTCGCCTTAAAAGGCCGGCGGTGGTCTGCAGGTCGGCTGCGGTCTGCAGGTCGTCTGTGGTGCAGAGGTTGCCTCTGGTCTGGGGGTCGTCTTTGGTCCAAAGGTCGGCTTTGGTCCAGAGGTCTGCCGTGGTCCAAGGGTCGTCTGTGCCTGTGGTCTACAGGTCGTCTCTGGTCCAAAGGTCGCCCTTGGTCCACAGGTCGCGTCTGGTCCGAAAAACGCCTCTGGTCCAAAGATCGTCTTTGGTCCACAGGTCGCCTTTGGTCCACAGGTCGTCTCTGGTCCAAAGATCGCCTTACTTTGGTCCAAAGGTCGCCCTATTTTGGTCCAAAGGTCGCCTCACTTTGGTCCAGAGGTCGCCTCACTTTGGTCCAGAGGTCGCTCCACTTGTCGCCGTACTTTGGTCCAAAGGTCGCCTTACTTTGGTCCAGCGGTCGTCTGGTGTGGTCCAAAGGTCGCCGGTGGTCCAAAGGTCGCCGGTGGATGTGGCCCAAAGGTTAAGGTCGGCTGTGGTCCAAAGGTTAAGGTCGCCTGTGGTCCAAAGGTCGCCGGTGGTCCAAAGGTCGTCTTGGGTCCAGCAATGGCAAAGGTCGCCTTGAGTCCAAATGCCGTCTCTGGTCCAAAGGTCGCCTTTGGTCCAGAGGTCCCCGCTGGTCCAGCGATCGTCTTTGGTCCCAAGATAGCCCTTGGCCCCAAGATCGTATCTGGTAGGTCCAACGATCGCCTTTGGTTCAAAGATCGGACCAAGGATCGCCTTCAGTCTGAAGGTCGCCTTCGGTCCAACGATCGCCGTTGGTCCATAGGTCGGGGGTCCAGGTGTCTTAGGTCGACGGTTTTTCTTCGGCTGCTTCTCTGTCTTTGGACTTCTCTCGCCAGCTTGCGCCCCTACCCCCGTCGGGCATTTTTCTGGCTTCTTTTCTGGTAGTCTGCCACGGGGCCGCAACGTGAACTCCAACAAGAAAACGGCCGGAGGCTATCGGGCTTAGGAGTGAGGGGAAAGGGCAGGAGGCTATGGGCAATAGCTTCGCGGCAGGGGGCGACCAATCTCCGGTGGGTTAGGCGGGGAGTTTTATGGCGGCGGATTAATAATATAGATTAATAATATAGATTAATAATATAGATTAATAATATAGATTAATAATATAGATTAATAATATAGATTGGTAATATAGATTGATAATATAGATTAATAATATAGATTAATAATATAGATTTTTTTTTTGTTATGTTTTTTATCTATCAATCAACTTATATGAATTTTCTCGCGTGTTTTGTAGTGTAGCTCTTAATCATGGGCGTGCTGTAGGACTGCCTGCCAAGATAGTCGGCTGGCTCTGAGGGTGTTATAAGGTAGAGTAGGGACATATCTTGGACGCAGGTCCTCGGGCGTGTGAAAAGGTCACACTCTAACAGGACGCGTTGAGATCTTCTCTCCTTTCGTTTAGTGTCGTATCTACCATCATTCTCACCCCCAGGCGCTGATCAACGTGAAGTGCTGCGGTGTGGTTTCGCCTGGGCATGCTGCTGAGGTCATTGCCTTGCTGAAGGAACTGGCGGAAAAGTTCCCAAGTCAAAAAGTGCCGCTTGAGACGCACTCTGTGGCGGCGTTTGTGCCGGGAGTTATCTTCGACAGAAAAAACGCGGACAAAGAGAAACGCAATAAGGGGCCTGAGCTCATCGATGGTTGGTATATTGTCGCTGCATGCGGTTAAGTTTAATGATGGTCTTCGGGGAATTTCTTGACATAGTTTAGCTTTCTTCTCTCGAGTCTCAGACAGTGGAACTGCAAGGGACATACCATAGGTCGGCACTACGTTGGGAAAAGAGTCTCACTTTTTTGCTGTGAGATCCTCTCTCATCCTCAACACACTCAGGAACCAGACTCGCCGGGAACTGTTCTGCGAGCAGGTTTTTCTGACGCTTTTCAAGGTGAAGGAGCTGATCCATAGCGGGGCGCATGGTGGTACCACGTGCGAGCGCATCATCGAGCGCATTGCCAGCGCTGCGGGGCCGCTGCACCCGCAGAAGTCCCAGGAGACTGCCGCCTTCAAGTTGTGGATGCCGTTGCGAGCGGTATATATTCTTGCTCGTGGAAGGGTCATCTGGGTTTCATTATCTTGGATTCGCGTCTTCTAGTCTGCAGATTTCTTAGGTATTTGAGAGGCCTCCGGGCAGAGATGTGCGCGGAGTTTCTACATCCGTCGCTGATCCTGAGTTCTCTTAGATGGTAGCGTCCACTTGTGGACGAAGGACGTAGTCACACTATAACACCGTGAAAAATTTACAGGCGTTGCAGACAGCCTCGAGCGGCGCGGTTCTGCAGGCGGTAATCTGTTGCTTGGAGGCAGTCTTTAAGGGCAAATCGGACACGATGACTGTAGCGGAGCTTCGTGACGGGATGAAGCGTCTGAAGCCTACGCATGACAAGGCCCTCGCGATTCGTTTCCTGAACCTCTGCACAGACAAGGACCGCAGCTGCGTCGTTACCCTGGTACTGTCTTCGATGGCATTCGTTTCATATTTTTTAGCAGTAGCCCCTTGCTGCATTATAGAGCGCTACTCTCGCGGTCCTTCTGCTAGTTTTCCCCAGTGTGCTTCTGATCAACATCCATGCTGTAGCGTCTTCCTTGAGTATTGTCGTACTTACCGAACAAGTGCAGAACAGGCGCTATGCTTGTTCTGCTTTATATCCACCACTTTCGTCAAGCTATCTCTCCCTCCTCCAGATTCAGCCCGAGTATCGCGAGGGGCTGAAGCGTTTGCGGGTTTTTTTTGAGAGCAACGACGTACCCGAGGTCATTCGTATTTTGAGCGACACGTCTGACCGCTTCGAGGAGGCCTTCTCCTCCTCTGGACACACTTCGAAGTGCACCACGGCTGGCATTGCGAAGCGTGCAGCCCAGGGCTATGTCGATATCCTGAAGGGTATGCTTCAGAGCGAGGCTGTGCGCGAGAGTAGCCTCATGGTTGACCACATGGAGAAGGTCTCCGAGAATCTCAACAATGCTACTGAATAGGACTGCTAGCTGCTTCGGCTTTTTGGGTCAATTCTTCAAGAAGTTCAACTCTGCACGCCCGGCAACGATTTTGGAGCGAATCGCCAAGCCCGTGACGTTCGGTTCTTGTCCAAGTTCACCGACCGCAGCGCCAACGTGCTGGAGAGTGATCCGGCAACCGCCTGCATGCTGAGGGACAAAGTTGTGGAACTGTTCCCGGAGAACGCGAAGACGCAGATCCCGCTTGAGGCTATGCTCGCGGCGTGGGTGACGAGTCGTGGCAAGCAGTCCATCAATCTCTGCAAAAATGCCATCCGACAAGGTGCTGCCGTTAATCTTTAGGATTTCGCTCCATTCTTCTCGGCTTTCTATGTGTAGGCGCGTAGTTGGTCTTCCTTTTGAACTTATTAAGCTTGATGAGAGAACTTCTCAGCGTTGTCATCTCCTTCGTCGAGCTCCTCTTTCCACTCACAACTTAGGTAATAAAGACGAAGCTGAGCAGGCGTTCGCGCTCCTTCGAGATGATTGGCATGAGTTGACTTGAGCCCAAGCATTCAGCACAACCTCAGCGAGGAAATCGAGAAGCTGAATAATGCTCGGCCAGCTGTCGGCAACGCGTATCTATGAGGAGAGTGGCGACGACTTCTGAGCAAAAAGGAGAAGAACAGCCTGGGGAGAGCTACTGGAGTACGTGGGCCAATATCTGGCCTGCGGGCCTTCTTGTAGTGTCCATCGAGTGGGCACGCTCAGACTGAACATGATGCACCTGGCAGACATCAAGCCAGTCCTTTGCTATAGCGTTTGATGATGTTTCTTATCTAAGCACCTTCCTCGGCCGTTTTGTGCATGTAAGATAGATATCCCACAAACTATTTTCTCACTAATTCTTGACTTGTATTATGTTGGTCGATATTAAGCATTTGGAGCTCGTCTGCCCCCTCCCGGTAGTTTCTCTGCGCTCTTGCAATGATAAGCAGGGCCTTCATGTCGACAAGGTGCGGCGTCCGAGACGATCTTCCAGTAGCCAGCGGCGCAGCAGTAGGCTGATGCCATCGGGGCGTCTGCTCCTCATGCGTCGCATGACTGTGCGGCAGCGACGTGCTGCAGCCTGGCTTGCCCTTCGTTCGCATATAGACTAGCCATGACATTGAATTACTCACATTTGTATACTTGATTACTAGGCAGCATCACTTTCCCTAGCGAAGGCGATGGCCTTGCCCTCGGCCTGATCTCCGGCCCTAGCGTGCTGGCGTCAGCGTGGTGGCCTCCCTTCGATGATTTATAGATATTGCGTTTCTAGTCGTGTTTGGCTGTCTTCTGTAGTGCATCGAGTTCGTTAATTATTTTCTTTTAGAATTGGAGCGATCTTGCTACTTTTTGAAAATTATAACTGTGCGCCCACTTATCTCCACTGATTCCTTACATCGTGGAGCGTTTTCTTCTCTTCCTCGCCGCCTCTCATATGTGTTCGGGGTCTTCCGACTCATATCGGGGGGCGTAGTTAATCATCTTACTACCTTCGATAGATTTACTTAGTACACACCTTACGTAGCTGACGGATGGCGTCTTCGTGCTTGTTCATTGAAACGAGCAGGCTGGGAGCCATGGCGCAGCTCTGGAGTTGTAATCTTGTGCAGCGTCTTTTGATAGCTCGCTGATAGACTGCCCCCTCCCATCATAGACTTGTGCCCCCTTACGGTTTGAATTCTCAGAATGTAGAAGTTCACGGCCTTCCAATATGAAGGCACTGGCCACAAAGTGAAAGGGGCCGCTGATGCTCTCGAAGCAGAGCAAAGCAGCAGCAAGCCGTAACCCGCTGGCTGTTTTCATTAATGGAGTGCGAAGGCCGTGGCAGTTGGCCTTTGCCGGAAGCGTCGCCCCTTCTGGAATTACGCGGGCTTCTGGCGACGTCAAGTCGGAGGGAGTGCGTGGGCTCGCAGGTTGCGGGGGTGCAGCATCGTAGAAGGGGTGGGGCAAGGTGGCAGGGAATCCGCTGAAAGATGGAGCGGGGCTGCGCCGTCCTTGGGTCTGGACAAATTCGGGAGAATTTCTCCGGACCCAGGGGCTGGGGGGAGACGCTCCCATCCCGGGGAAAATATGGAACCTCTTTGGGTGGCTAAAGGGGTTCCTTGTTTTCCTCCGGTAAAAAGTAGGAACCTCGTTTGCCGGCCAGCAGGGTGCCTCATTTTCCAACCAGAGAAATACGGAGCCCCGTTTGCCGGCCAGCGGAGTGCCTTACTTTCTGACCATAAGAATAAGGAACCCCGCTGGCCGGCCAACGGGGTGCCCTGTTTTCCTTGCCGCGGAGAGACGCTCTTTGGGAAAAGTAAGGAATTTCTTTGGCCGGCCTCAGGGGTTCCTTGTTTTTATCGGAGGAAAATACGGAACCCCGTTGGCCGGCCAAAGAGGGGCTCTCTCTTTTTACGGGAGGAAAATGAGGAACCCCTTCGGTTTGCCAACGGGGTGCCTTATATTTATGGGAGGGGAATAGGGTGGGCCGCATTTCTCGCCCAGGCATCCTCGGGAGGGAGGAAAAGGGCTGGGTGGGCTTTGTCGCTGCGTCGTTCGAGTATTGGAGGAAGGGGAGACTTGCTAGGATGCGTTGGCCACTCTCATCGCCTCGGGGCTGAGCTTTGCGGGGGGGTCGCGCGTCCAGCTAGCGTTGCGGATTCGAATTTTTGCTGCCGGTAGGGTCACTGCCCACGGGCTTGCGCTCGTCGTTGCATTCCACGGCGCCAGGCGTCGCCGAAGTGGGTAGGCATGTGAAAGCCTCCCACCAGGTAGCCATGTCTTTTAGTACTTAAAGTATGCCACCAAAAAATTTTCAAAATCCAACTCGAGCACTCAGGCCCAGGCGTCCTGTCCAATAAAGCAGCCGCAGGGGTGAGATGGCATGCCGCCCCACCCGGTCGGTGGGCTTACATCATCACCATCGCCGTCAAGTCTTTGAGAGTGTTGCGGAGGGTATCCGATCCTACGCCTTGCGTGGCTTGCAGTTGAATGTAGCAGCCGCGCCTTCCCTTGCGGGTGTGAGTCTGTTGGGGTTTTAGAGTGCGGGCCTTTCGTTGCTGCCGCGGCGAGAATAGCACCAGGGGCGCTTACTCTGGTGCGTGGCGGGAGGTAGTTACTGGGGTGGCAGTACAGGGAGCCTTGCGGACTTGTCTGGTGTCTGCTGGCCGGCCAGGCTTTGGGCGCTTCTCGGGCACTAGCTTCATCTGGGTCAGGTGTTCTGCGTTAGCAGTAGCGCATTGGCGTGGCTTCGTCTTTCCCTCGGTTGGGTCTCTCTTGGATTTGTTCGCGCGGTGAGATGCCTTTCAGGCGTTGCGCCGTGTGACCGGACAGCACATCTGCGACTCGGGTGCTGACGCGGTGTTGCGTAGGAGGGGCAGCGCCGGCCTGGCCTGAGGTGTCCAGCGGGTACGCTTATCCGCTGCGCGGGTGGACGGGGAGGGATCTGCGGCCTCTCTTTGGCTATTTTGAATTCTGTGCATAAGTAACACAAGATAGGACGTCGTGGCATCCTTCTGGTGTGGATTTGCGCAGGAACTAGCGAGAAGCCAGACACTTCTGGCGATGGAGCTGCAAAGCAACTCTCTCAAGGCGTTGCAGTGACTCCCACGCGGGAGGAGCGTGCTAGAGTGCAGCGATGTCCAGCGTGTAGGATAGTGGGACTATCTTAGCTTGTTTGAGTATGGTAAAAAGTAAAGGCGTATAATCTATTAAGTCAACGCTCGGCTCTCACTTCCCCGGAGAGTCGTGGCTGATGTCTGCCAAACCCTGAAACAATTTGCGAGAGAATTAACTGATGATTGGTGACATGTCAGCCGACCACGTGAGCTTGAAGAAATCAATGCTATCTATCAGCCTTGCTGCTGAACAAAGGCTCCCACCTGTGGCCAAGACGCTGCGTTCAGTAGCCGTAGACGCCTGCCTACGCATGGGTAGACCCCGACCCCAGCCTAAAAATCGGTTCTCATCATGTATGAAACTGAGACGAGAGCGAGTATTTGAACGAACGGCAGAATGGAGCTGTTCTAGTCTGTGAGCAGATCAAGGTCACAACATGTTATCCACTGGAAGTGGAAGATATCAGTCATTTCCTCTGGGACTAAAGAGCACGAGTATCCAATTGCAATTGTTAGAGAGGTGACGAATATGACCACTAACTTTTTAGAGACGTGAAAAATGAGACACGACGCCACAACTTAACGAGCACAGCATCATAATATTTTCATCATTTCATCTGAAACGGCGACCACTGCCGAGCTAAACAAAAATGGGCCATTCGTATTCGTCGCAACGCTGGTCGTTTTTCGATTACCTTTCGAGTGCTGGCATTATGAAACCTCCCTTGTCATGCATTGGCTGGGCCAAGGCCTTTATAATGAAACTTCTTGATCAAGGCCTTTGCAATGAAGAAACTCGGATCGTCTTCTCTGTTCGCGTGAGTGCAATTAGGACTAAATCTAAAAAAAGAGTCGTGTCATTAGTTAGGTCTTAGGGGAAGAAGATCTAGTAGTACTGATCCTCTACCTCTAATCTCCGTTGTTGTCAAGCAGAGTTTGCTGGAGCTAGAGCCCTTGGGGTTCCGTTGGATCCGCTAAAATGGGATACCGGAGACCTTCACCGCGCAGCGAGAGCGTTGTTTTATAGACACGACACGTTATGGCTGAGAAGTATTTTATTCTATTCTCACTCGTCTATAGCCTCGAGCGCTCATCTCCTCGTAGCCTGACCCTACGCCCGGGCCCACGTCTATCCTATCCTAGCCACCTAATCCAATATCTCCCCTCGTTCCTCCTGTAGAATCTCCTGGTTCCTCCTGTAGAATCTCCTGGTTCCTCCTGTAGAATCTCCTCGTTCTCCTTTCGTAACTTCTGCTTTTCCCTTCTGCACAGAAGGTTTTTCCTTTTCCGCAGGAGGCTAAATAATTCCCGAATTTCAGGGAAAAGTTGACTTTGGAGATTTGTTATGTGTCTACTTCTGCAATTTGTCCATTCATAATTTTAATCTATTCTGAGTCTTCTATAGCTTCGAGCGCTCATCCTCTAGAATTACCCAAGTATCTGAATCTGCTTCGAATGATCCATTTTTTGCGTTGGAAAAAGAATGCGGTGCCCGTTCTTGATTGAGCTGGGTATCTCATGCTCAGCATCCGCATGCGCTAAATCAAGACGACTTAGGCAAATTATCCGTGGAGGATTTGTATGAGCTCTTTTACGAATGCAGCTGCGATTTGGCTGACTTCCGTCATTTGCCAGGGCAAGATGAAGTCCGGTCTCTCGTTCAAAAAGCTTTGGATTATGGACGAGGTCTACTATGTCTAGTAGTTGGATTACTGACGATGTATTCGTATAATTTGTAGTTTTTTTGGATTATGGAGGTAACATGTATGTAATGGCGTTTCTACTATTCTGCCCTAACTACCGGAGAAACGGACGAGCCTCGGACTGGGACTGCTGCAGGTTATGAACTAAATGGAAGTAGAAGAATCTTAACAGCTTCAGCTTCAGCATCAGAGAAATTCGAAGAACACAGAAGAGACTCAGGGAAGCCGTAGGCCAGTCCGAATCGACTAGCGTCATCAGATGAGTCCTGCGCTTTCCTTTCTACTTGTTAATCTCGAGATTCTTGGACAAGGAGATCCTATAACTCTAATGCGAGGAACGCTGCGAAAAAGTGTATTACTTTCGACGAGTTCTTTGTCATTTTCGAGTTCGTCTTTTCGCATCTCAGGTTATGGAAGGTCGACACATCATTGAAAATAACTTAGAATTCTAAATGTAGGTGAATTTGTCTATTAATTATAGTAGTCAAATAGTACTAAAAACCTATAAATAGTCTTAGTCCTGATCTTTTTCCCGTTTATTCAGCAATTGCCTTTATCATCTTGAAATGCAAATAGTCTCTCTTCTTGAAATAAAGTAGAAGAGCCACCTCAACTGGTGCCTTTTCTAACCTCAGATCAAGGTCTGAAGAAGCATTTTGCGATTGAGGCATTGGGAGAAGCGGTAGCCGAAGAGCTAGTGGGGGAACGCCACTGCCTTATAGTGTCGTTAGACTATAGGTACAACAATTATGACACAAGAATGACAAATCGTTGGATTGTAGGCTTGAGAACTATGACACAAGGACTAGGACTATAGGAGGTACAATAATTATTACTAGAGCTACAACAATTTTGCTTTGTTTTCCCTTTTTTCGTCACTTCCTAGTTAGGTTGGCTCCACCACTACTATAGGCAGAACAATTATTTCAAGTTAAGCTGAGATGGAATAGAAGCTGACTAAATCCGCTATTGTCAAGAAGAAGAATGACAATGATGCGTACGGACACCGATTTGTGCGATAACCTGTAATTATGGTTTAAGCATTGATGTTCTTGCGCGTTGCTAAGTGAATTGCACCATGCTCAGTCGTAGTGCTCCGACAATATCAATCGCGTAGCAGAGATACGATAGCGCACATGACCACTGCTTTCTTCTAAGCTCGACCTTTGGAGCTTACTGCAACGCATGACGGGCTGAAAATCGAACGGCTGGCCCGTAACGCTGGAATCAGTGACGTGGTCACAATGTTTGATACAGATTTATGGCACACAGTTTTGCTTATGCCGGACGACCTTTTTTCGATGACGCGCATCTTTGGAGTTTCGGTATGAATATTATGCGTTTGTTCCCACGATTCACTCTGCCCTTCTAGAACTAGGTGACCTTCTGGCAGGAGCCCATCTAACTCTAATTCTCCCAAACATGGACTTTACTCTGGTATCCTTTTCCTGTTCCCATGGGCATAAATAAACTCCTAGAGGAGCACGACACACGTTCGGCCAAGCTTCCCTCGGGCTAGCGCATGGGTGCAAGGAAGGACGCCCCACGAGCCCCACGCTCTTTGTCCTCTGCTACTCGGTGGCGATGCGATATCTTAGGCTTCTACTTGCTCGAACCGAGGTCGATACTGGCGTGACGCTATTCGCTGAGGAAGGCAGTTGGGCCCCACACAGAAGCACCAAGATAAAAAGAGCAACTTTCACGGAACCGAGGCTAGATGGTGCGGCAGCTGCTGCACGCGAAGGGGTGACAGAGGACAGCATCAGCATGATTCTATTTGCAGACGACACCACACTGCTAGAGCAGACGACGGACGAGCAGGCCACCACGTTAGAAGTGAGCATCAAGAGAGCAAAGGGCGCTAAGCTCCCCCCGCCGCACACGCCGATGACCAAGGTGTTGGGAAAAGCCTTGCAAGACTCGGGCATGCGGGAAAATGTCTACAAGCGCGCAGTCGCCGACATACTTACCATCGATGAAAAAAGCCTGGGCGTGTTCACCTCCTCCCCCAGCGACGTAGCGCACAAGGTGGCAAAGGCGTGGAAAGCTCTGCTTGGGCTCAGGTCGAAGATGTGAGACTTTATATTCGCTGGCAGTTCTCCAAGCATAGCCTCTAGCGGGTTATTGTTTGATAGAACTCCTTTGCTCGCGGCTCAAGCTCTCCGGTCGAACTACAGTCGAAATATAGGCAATTCGCGACTTAATAGGATGGCTAAGGCGTAAACAAACTGCAGGGGGGTGTGTCAACATACTGACGTATAGCCGTGATTTTAGGACGTATATTCATGACTTTATCCCTAAGACTTTATCACCTATGCAACTTAAATCAAACTTGCGGAGCTGATGACTACTAAACTCCCGCACCCCCCGCCCGTTGGTGCGAGAATTATCTTAGCCTACGAAAGGTTCTAATTAGTTTTACTCTGTGACAAGGCTAGTCATACTCGTACAGAGGACGTATCTAGATCTAGGCCAGACCCTACTCAGATCGTATTCTAGAACCGTGACTACATCGGCCTCGTCTTCGCCGCACTGTAGAACCGTCTACAGCTTGGGGCGATTACTCGACATCTAGAGATCGCCCTAGAGATCGCGGAGTGAGTACCTACCAGACTAGAGAGCTCAGGAGGCGAGAGAGCAAAAGGTCATCCCATTCCAAATGGTGTCAGCATCCAAATGGTGCCAAAATAGAAAAAGTTTTCAAGATCCAAGATCTGCGACAGGAGTTCCAGATCTTTACTGAGAAAGCCCGATCGAAATAATCAAGAATAGTTACTATCTTATCGAGCAAAAGGAGGCGCGAGATCGCTCCACTAAGTAAGTAGCATTCGTTTGATCTTACAAGGGAAATCGCATTTGATCTCGCGCCTATTCGTTCATGGTGATGCCATGACTCAAAGGTCGACACTTGACTCATTTAATATCTTTCGGAGGTGACTGAGCACGCAAATGGTATACAACTCCGGATCATGCGCTATCATGTGAGTAGAAGGGTATCGGACTGATCATTTAAGATAAAGGGCTACGCGTTTTATCCTCATCATTAGATTAGGCATCTGCTCAAGACTTCTTCGTATTGATCAAGACGGACGGAGACAGGAAATGTCGCGTAGTCATCCGCTTATAGCGTTTGACTTCACAGGTCGACTGTGTGTTGGAAGTACCCAGTCGCAATCCATAAGTGATAAGTGCATTTGAGTTCGCATTTGTTTGAACCATTTGGCTTCGCATTTGTTTGAGCCTTCGCATTTGTTTGGATCATTTGGCGCCGCATTTGTTTGAATCATTTGGCTTCGCATGTGGTTGATTGTGTATTGGAGTGCCCAGCCACAATCCTATCCATAAGCACATATACAGGTCTACGCATTTTATCCTCGTCACTTTGTTTTCGCATTGATCAAGACTTTCAAGGTTTCGGGTTGTAATCAGGTCATCCGCCTATAGCGTTTGACTTCTCATTTGTGTCGATTGTGTATCTATTGGTAAGACCCGCCGCAGTCCGGCAGTGCATTTATTTGCGACATTTATCGGACGAGAAACCTTTTGGAGATGCCTTTGCGCTACATTTGTTGCTATTGAATATTTGTGCCGGCAATAGCCATACTTTACAAGACGCGAGATATGCACCTCTCTAGGTAGTGTTGCCTATTAGGGACTCACCCCCCATTTTAGTTGCTTTAGTTGTGTGTTCTTAATTGGTTCAGATGACTGGGCTAGCAGGAGTAGAAGCGGCACGTAGAGGCACTCTCGTCTTGGTTGTGGTTAGGAGCGTCCTCTCTTATGGCTTACAGGCGAGGCATGTATCAAGCGAAGAGACCGCCACACTTGCAGCGGCGGGAGTGGAAATGGCCGCTATTCTGCTGGGAGTACCGACGTGGAAGATATGGCGCAGGGTGGTGTCGAGCGCGGAGCTACTTTCGTGGGCAAAAGTCCCTCCCTTCGCCGAACATGTGCAATATCTAAGGGCGAAGCACTTCGCGCACCTAATGAGGCAAAAAGGAAACTCCCTCGACAGGCGGGCGGTAAGCGGCGTCTTTCTTCCTGACAAGATCAACGAAGACGACGGAGGGCAGATATGCCTGCAATCTGCCTCAACCGACAAGACCACTGAAACGGACGATCGGCGCATCGGATCGCTTGCGACTGACGTAAAAGAGGAGCTCGTTGCTGTCTTCGAATGGAAATTAGGATATGCGCTGTCTCTCATGAAGCCGCTCGACGTTGGTCAAGAAAGGGAATACGCAACCAGAAAACTCGCATGCCACGAAATTACCCGAAGCCTCTTAATGATGAAAACGGTAGAAAAATGGGAGGCCGATCCTGAAATAGATCCTGCGCCGGAGTATGGAAATCTCGAGTGCAAGCGTTTCCACTTGAACAAGTCAGGCCCACGACCACTAGAGCAGAGCGAAGTGATGAGAAGGGGCGAAGTGATCAGTTATTACTCATCTCGTGATGGCGTAATTGTATCGACAAGGACACCCGAACAAGCAGGCCCTTCACCCCTAACGGACAACACGCGCGCATCACGTCAGAATAAAAGCCGAGCACTACAAGGAGTCAGGAAGGGCGTGGAAATAATGCACAGGCAACACCTTCCTGCGCAATTGCATCCATATGGAGGAGGAGAAATTTTATTGCCGGAATCGAGAGGAATCGTCATTGATGCGCTTACCACCGGAGAAGGGAAATTTGCTCTAGTTGATGCACAAGGCTCCTCAAAACCGTTTCGAGATGTGCTTAGCATAAAAGTCGACACACCCTCTAGGGCATACCTTGTTAGAACGCCCAATGGAGCAGGAAATCGGCAGCCGGATCTGAAAGAGCTGAAGGAGTGGCTCGCTGATGTCACCCTAGCTGCCCATGAATCTGCGACGGGGCTACAATGCAGAACCATACCCAGACTACTGCTGCCAGGAGGAAAAACCACTAGGATTACGTGGCCAGGCAAGGAGGCTCTATTGCTACTTGCCCCATGCAAAGGAATTTCTCTCGAAGAAGTCGAAGCAGAGAGATCCCACTTCGCGAACGGGGCCTGCGCTGCATGTGGATGGCATCTTCCTGAGGCAGAGCCGTGGATGCAGAACACTGTAAGCCAGGCAGGACAACTCTTATGCCAGCACATTGAAGAGCATCATCCGCGTCACGAGCTCCCCTCTACGGTATTAGGCGACAGGCTCGAAGCGCTTGCGAAAGGAGAGCAGATGATAAGGTATGCCGCCCTTAAGTCCGCGGCCAAAGCTGGCCGGCTAGGATTCTTCAGGCGCTTAGCATCGGTAGGCCCGAGGAGACCGGGCTGGAAAAGACATGCAGAGCGCTATCGCTGCAGATTTTGCGGCTTGACCTTCCAGACAAACCTGGGCGCCATGAAGAAACACGGCAAAGCACACAGGAGCAAGGAGCTGATCAAGGTGGCCAAGTTGATCATTAAGAAAGGGAGAGGGACCGCAAGCCCGGCGCTTGGAGCTGTACGCAATGCATGGAGACCAGAAGGGCGTCTGCTTTCCAAATCCACCACCGCAGCAGCATTCGGACCAGACGCACGCCTCACCAGAATCCTGACCCCAAAGTGTGCCTGGACAGATCACAACGAGAAGACCGCCATCAAATGTCGAAGATGTGACAAATGGGAGACGAGCTTCGATCCAAAAACGATGACGCTTCGCATGCTATCAAAAAGAACTGACATCTTTCGCAAGCACGAGAACAAATGCAAAGGGAGAGCAAAAGAAGCAAAAAGAGCAAAAAAGTAGTAGAAGAAAAAAGAAAAGTGATCAAAGGTCACAAAGGAACAGATTGAATTAAAGTGCTTCAAGGAAGGCAATGCAGACACCTCTTGCTAGGCACATTCATTCATTCATTGCCGTTCACAGTCTAACAAGTGTCGATCTAGGCGACAAAAGATTTCCGCATGTTCGAAACGTAAGGCGGGAAATAAAGCAGATGGGAGGTCGATGCGTTAGTGGTAATGTGCTGCTTTGTTCTTATATTTTCAAATATGCTGCTGAGACCTTATTTTCAAAAGACGAGGATTACTCCTTCCGAAGGGTCTTTTTTCTTTTTGCTAATACCCCTCTCCATAAAATTCAGGCGACGTCTTCATCTTTTTCTACTCCGGTCATGGCTTAAACGTACCTTATGATTGAAGACGTAGTCTACCAAGACGAGGATAATGAAACAACATAGAGATCTTCCTCATCTAGTACTCAACACACGTTGTATGGCTCAATCGATAGGACGATGAATAAACAAAATAGAGATCTTCTTCATCTAGTCACTAGTGTTCAATACTCTAGTAGAGTCCTCTAGTGAACAACAACCCCGCAAACAACAACCCCGTGAACAAAGATATAAACCCCACCCCTGCTCAAGCACGATGTACCCCTAGAATGGGTTTACTACTACTACTACTACTACTGCTACTTATAAGTATCACTCTAGTATAGTCCTCTAGTACTTATAAGTATACTTAAACCGATACATCGGATGAAACAACATAGAGATCTTTCTTCATCTAGTCTACTCAACACATGTATGGCTCTTCTAATCTTCCGATAAAGACGGTGATGAGGCTGATGGAGAAGATGAGGCGTTCGCCACGCCAGATCGCGAAGGCGATTTAACAGAGGATGACGTTTTTATAGACGACGACTTCGTTAAGGCAACAACTGTCTCGGCGTAACCTCATCAAACTCCACGCTAGTTCTGCCTTCATCATGAGCTGCACGCTAGTCCATTTACATGTACTTAAATACTTTTACGTGTTGTCGGGAGGGACTAGAATTTTGAGTCATGGAGTCCTGAAGATACCTTTGGAGGAGTTTAAGTTGACCGATTCGACGAAGGGGCCACACACCAGAAAAATCTGCACGCAAGTCAACAAACAATGAAGTTGTCTGGACGAGCATGAGTTCAAAAACTAGCTCTTCTAATCTACACCGTCTACTAGAACGGCAGGCTTAATGCTCCACTACTTATCTCTACTACTTCTAATCTAGTAACCCGTCTGTTAGAACGAACAAGTTGTACAACGGCAGGTTTCGTGTTCCACTACTTATCTCTACTACTTCGTATCTTGTTCCACTACCTAGCTCTTCTAATCTACACCGTCTCGTAGAACGCTCTAGCAGTCTCTTCTAATCTACCGCGTCTCCTAGAACGCTCTATCCCGGCAGGTGTGAAGATTTTAGTGATAACAGACTGTTGCCACTCTGGTAGCATCTGCGACATCGATTCGTTTGCGCACAGCCATGAAATCATTGCAGTAGCAGCTGCCCAAGACGATCAGACAAGCATCGATATGGCGAGTCTGGGGGGACAAGGTATTATTTTTGCTATATGATATCAAGGAATACCAGAAATATTTATACAACCTGCTCCTACAATCTAGTCCGTTCATTATTATCATCCTCATCATCATCATCATCATCATCGTCGTCGCTATCTAGTTACTTAGGTTGATGCTCTTATATCAGCTGATGTTCTGTTGTTATGTAGTTAGTTGAGTAGCCGTAGCAGTAGCTTATTCTTATTTGTCAGTCACCTCAGGTGGCATCCTCACGAACGCTCTGGCCGAAGCTGTCTTCGAATTGCAGCATGAGAGGCACGTTTCAGTAGCGGACGTGTACAATCTTAGTATTGTTAAGGCCACAAGAAATTTCTTGAAGAAGACGAATTCCATGGTGGAAGATGAGAGGAGATAAGAAGATGTAACACAAGTCTCGAGAAAATGTTCCTCAGCGTCTATCAATCTTGGTCTTGTTTTTAAAGGGAACCTGGAGATGGATTCCTCTTAGAAGTTCTAACATCGGAAAAACAGCAGCGATTGCACAGAAACTTCACCATGTGCATTATGGGAGAAGATGTGTCACTGAAAAAGAGCATGTTGAAACTGAAAGCACTTACTTATACTTTATCGAGGTCGTTTCCCACAAGCATCGATGTAAAAATTGTACGAATCATAAGAAGGGACTTCTCATCGCGTATGAGAAAGAGTGCGTTATTTAGTGAAATCGTCGGTCTCTATTGAGATTGACGGAGGATCTAATTTGAACAAGAAAACCGCAAAAAGTAAAAGGCTCTACTATACTTACCTATGTTGATGTATAGTATCTAAATCTATACTACTACAAATTATACAACACAATGTGAATGTTTCTTGTTGCACCTACTTACTACAATCTTCATTATTTTTTCCAGTTAGACTGGCACTGGCTCCATCACTTTATTTGTTACTACAATATTTTTCTAACAAGCGGCAATGAATATTCAGTGTGCAAATTGTCACGCTGGTGAATTTCCTTGGCCTCTGAGGAAATCTTACCTCAGCCGACAGGCCTCGGTGGATGCAGTACGACGTGCGGGCGCCTTAAGTGTGGGGAATGGCGTTATGAGCAAAGTCGCATGTCAATATGACCAAAGTAAGTCGCCTCTGTTACTTTCGCCTTGTTTCCTGATTAAGCTTACTAAGGTCACACCTAGTACAGCTCGCTGAACAAGTAAGTTGTGATTTTTATAGAAGATTCAGAGGAGCTACAAGTAGAATATTGGATCAAAAAAAACAGTTTCATTTACTCGAGACCGGGCGATGGCATGAGGGGAGGTTGGACTGGAGCGATGGGGGCGTAAAGAGGATGCGTTAAGTGAGGACTAGGATTTTTCTACATGAACATTTTCAACATTCTTCAAAACTCCATATTCAGGTTTTTATGTAGCTATGCTCATGCGGGGAATACAAACAGAAACATGCACAGTTGTTGGATCGGTCTTTTGATATGCACAAATCATGACTGAAAGACGATGAAGACACAACTCACACTTCTCAGTTGTACTTACTACATGGTGAACTTCTCAGTTGTACTCACCATATTAATTTATGCATGATGAACATGAAGAAAAGTTGTCGTGAGTGCATAAAATGTCAACCGTTTTTTTGTATTATGCGAAGGAAAATACCAATCTTCATATTCAGGCTTTGCCATGAAATGTCAGTTGCTCAAGGAGAGACGTCACGGTCACAAACGACAAATGAAGAAGGACATTAGAAGCAGAGCAAGTCTCTCATGAACACACTAGAAGGCTCTCACGACCTTCCCTCCATGCGGTTCCACTTACTCTTTTGTGTTGAGAGAAAAGGGGCATTCCCTTTCTGCGATGATGTTGCGAGGCCTACGTGGAATCCAAACAAGACCTCTCGCATCCTCATTTCTCTCCTTCTGAAACGAATGCATGGGAAAGTACTCAGTGATCCTGATGATGATGTGATGGGAACCAAAAAAGAAAGAACTGCCCTTTACGTTGAATCTTGAACCTTGTCACCAGCTATCTTTGTTTTTGTTTCTCTTTTTTGTTTGATCATGTTCTTGATGTTGCGTTTTATCTCTCTTCAACAGGAGGGCGTGGGCAGCGGCGTTGTTTTCTTGTTACCGGTAGTGTATCGATTATTGCGTGTCAACATGATAGTGCTTGTCTTTGTTGAAATTCCATCTTAAAAAAGCGACGACGATCTCTCTTGCGAGTAATTGCTTTCGAAAAAGATACACAAGCAAGTGGAAAAAAGCATCATACTTACATCAACAGATACCCGGCACTGGCCGCGACTACTTTCATGTTCATGATACAGACACAGTAATATATTGGACGCGAGGACTTCCTCATAGATTTGACTGGCTGGTTGTACTATTGATTATTACAACGTCTTATTCTACTTCTACACTTTAACAACCGAGCACTTTTTAGATCACGAACTACTACATACTTAGTATACATAGTTTGTCAAGGCAGGAAGATTCATTATATTAGAAAGTGATCATGATGGAGGGTTGTTACCCTAATGGCGATGGGGACGAGCGGACTTGTTCTAGCGGTTCATTGGGTTGTGCACCAGCGTCCTCATCTACCTCTTCCAGAATGTTGGATCAGAGGAGGTCAAACAACGTTGTTTTAACACGTAGAAGAGGGGGAGAGGAATCCATAGTAGAACCAGCTGCAGTTGCCACAGGAGGCCATGATGTTAAGGCTCTGGTTTCGTAGTACAGCGTCGATATTATTTACTGAGTGCTTGTTCTTCGAGATCGTCATCGAGATATTTTTGTATTTATTTATTAAAATACTTCTTGATGGAAGTCCTCACTACAATTTCACGTGGTCATAGAAATACTGATCTTAGAAAGTCCTACTAGGTTCATCTTGTTATTGAAAATACTTCTCTGAATTTTTTTCGTCTCACTGGCTCTAAAACTAACTCGAAAGAGCAGATGAAGAACAACGGCACTACAGCAGGAAGAGCAGGAGGAGAGGAACGAAATGAGGACATTAAAAGGGCAGGTTCAATACCAACCTCCAGCGGCAAAAGAAGACACATGTTGACCGCAGCGTTTCTCTTTTTCTTATGATTGGCAATCACCATAAAGATCATGATCATCATAAGCTAAAAATATCTCCAAATGATTTTTAAGTAAACAACATTAAGTAAAAACTAGGTGAGATTTTTTTTGAAAATTCTAATTTGCTCGACAGCGCTCTTTGCTCACGCGCAGACGATGGTGCAGGACTTGTCACTCAAATTCCCGATCACACACCACGGACTGGATGCTAATTTTATGGCCTCACTACTACTAACTAGAATGATTGGGGTTTCTTGTTAAACTAACTACGTGACACAAAACGGGTACTTGAGTACTACTGATACTGATACTTACGTGACACAAAACGGGTACTAGAGTACTACTGATAGATACTACCACGATTGCTACTTCTGCCCCACCACGACTACAATTGGCAGCCTACTGGCAGTAATGGCGAAAGAACTACAGAAACAATGTTGATCGACACTTCTAAACCAGTTCTATTTTTATAGAAGACAATAGGAAACCTTCAAAAGACAAAAATCGATGAAGATGTAGTAGATGTTGACCAAACTAGTAGGTAGAAGTAATGGACAAAAATTGCATCAATGTTACTGTATTAAACCACGAGGACTGCATCCTATTGCCCACGACGTGGAATGCAGGAGATTCATCAAGTATTTTTTTTGTGAAATGACTATGAGTACTCTCTAATGGTAGGCAGTTAGCAGGCACAACTAACCCAGCAGCAGACGACAAGAGTATCTTCTTAGGCGTGGGAGTGCCTGGACGTGTCGGTTACCTTTGGAGCAAGACACCCTCACCAACATCTGATTATGGCTCATGTGAGTTTCTTTGTTTTGCTTTTGATAGATATGTCCAGTGGAATTAGTGCTGGTTGTACTTATACTGACAGGTTAATTGTTTTGCTTTGATGTGTCAATGGAAGTAGCATTGTGTTGTAGTTGTGGTACCATGAAACTCATAAGTAGGACAACATAAGCATCGTGGTTGTTCCATGAGTGGAACAAGTGCAAGAAGTGCAAGTGGTATAATGACGTGACTGAGACATGATTTTCTTGGTGTGTTACCCCGCTTCAATAAAAGACAAGAACACCTTCTAACTCTCCGTGGAAATCGCATTCAAATTCTCGGTCAATGCTGGCCAGAACGTGGCGCATAAACAGGGATGGGGATTTTGGTACTGCTAAATTATATATATGTGAAGAAAATTACTTTTAGACTTGGAGTTCTTGCAAAACGAGCTTGCTAATGCAGTATGTTGAACTTAAGAAGTGTAGGAGTAGGTCTAGGTAACTACACGTCTCTACTGGATTTTCTTGAAAAATGTAGAAGAAGCAGGAGACGATAACACGACTCTACTGTTGACCTTCTTACACTAGATTTTCTTACAGTGTAATACAATAGATTTGCTTGTTCTAGGATCAAGACTTCTCCGACTCTACTACTCTGTCAACCCGGATCATAATAAACAACCTTCACCTTACTGTCATCTGTGTCCTAGAGTAAAGAGTTTCCTGTATTGAACCCGACTTTCTAGGTTTGTGAGCGACCAGGATAGCTTGGATCCTAGCGTTATGAGCATCCTCTCCGATGCCGTCTACATGCGAACGAATACCTTGGGCATGTCTTTGAATAAGGTACTTGTTCTACTTTTTGTATTCACGACTGTCCTTTTGATCCTTCTCAGCACATTGCACCACGTCGAGGCTCGTCTGATCAAAGTGTACTTTCAGCTCTGGTGACCACTCACTCATAATTCTCACATCCCCATACCACTGATACCACCAAATCCGTAGGCCAACCGCGACGTTTTCGCGTACAAGCAGAAATGGAATGGTTTGGGAGTGTTGTTTACTCCTCGTACTGTGGACTACGTAAATAATCCTGCTGGTGGAGGCCAAATCCCCAGTGCGAAATATTATGGCAAGAATAGACCAAACACCGCAAATCTATCATGAACATATTCATAATTGTTTCTGAATCGATCCTCGTGTCAAACTCCTCCTCCTTCTCCCCTTCCCCTTCTCAACTCCTCCTTCTCCCCTTGTTCCCCTTCTCAACTCCTCCTTCTCTCCTTCCCCTTCTCAGCTCCTCCTTCTCCCCTTCCCCTCCTCAACTCCTCCTTCTCCCCTTCCCCTTCTCAACTCCTCCTTCTCCCCTTCCCCTTGTCAACTCCTCCCTCTCCCCTGGCACCGTCTAAGTCCACGAAGAAGCAGTGGTCGCCGCAATGAATGACGGCACGAGATCGCTCTATTCCAATGGCGACATCGCCTCAGCGCTTGGAACGAAAGTCAACTACAGGACTGTGTCGCCAGTTCCAGGTGCAAGCCGCTTAGGCGATATGACCGGCGTCAAAGTCATGCAGCTGCGTATCAGGGGAACAGCGACGTCGACGAAGTTATGAAATATTACAAATGATCTATCTATTCGAAAACTCAAAATATGCGAGCTACTGCCTGAAATAAGAGAGTCTTGACTAAGTAAGGTTTACCCGCATATTACGTGATCTATCACAGGACGAAGTGGAAGAACTGTTCTTACAAATGATATTGGAGAATGATGTTCGTCAGATGTTGTCCGAATGACGTTCGTCAGATGTTGTTCTAATTTCTGTCGAGATCCAGGACATGGCCAACCCAGGGTCATGGACGAAGTTATTGGAGGAAAACAGGCCCCTGCCAAAGGGCGCGCGAATCGGATTCACGTCTTTTATCGACGATGAAGCGGTAGATTACCAAGGCGGACGACGAGAATTCGATACGATTCGATTGTACACAACTTTTTATTCTTAGTAGCACCGTTGGATAGTACTGAATTGGATTTCGATTGTACTTATGATTCCTAGTAATAAAGTTTGATACTACATCAACTACTTTAGCATCTTCAGAAGTGCATAAACTTTGATTGGGCGCCGGTTTGTTCTAATACCTACTGGTCTTACCACGAATACAACAGGTGGGACCTCGAAGTGAAGAATTATGATAGCTCTGTCCAAATCGTGAATAAGCAGATTCAAGCAGACAAAAAAGGTGAGGATATGCATGGCGATTTTCTATACGAACACGGAGCTCAGAAGGAGCACCGAGAAGAGTCAGCAGCCATTCATCAGTTGACGAATATGGTACTTGAAAACTTGAAATAAGCGAGTAGATGAATTGAGATGTATCTATAAAATATGTTCTCAGTTTTGAGACGAGTACACGAATGTATCTATAATATGTTCTACTCAGTTTTGAGATTCATTTTCTGTTGGCATTAAATACAACTTACTAGAGTAGTTGGTGTTGGTTCAGGATCATGATGAATACTTGAAGAGATCTACAATTTATTTGTTTCCCTTTTTATTGTCCAGCATGAAACACACGAACCTCCTGCTCCCCCTCCACCCTCTCACTTTCACAATCAAGCACACAACTTTCACAAACAAGGTGATGAAACTGATCGCAGAGACGGAGCCTGTGCGACGGGAGATGGAAAAGACAGTGAACAGCCTGTCCGCCAGAGTCATAAATCTAGAACGCATCTTCAACGAACTGAAGGCAGAGATCAATCAGAAGACTGGACACGACCTGGATAAGGAGTTCGAGGAAATCAAGCACGAATTGGTGCAGTTGAGTCAGGTATATAATCCGGTAGTTCCACTCCCACCCGCATCCATTCAGGAGCCTCACTACAACCTTCTGCTCATGAATCTATCATCAATCAAATCAACATGTGTTGATCCATCTCTGAACATCTTATCCACCTCCAAGAAGAAGATGGATCAGACGTTCAGAAGCCAACATCCAGATATGTCGTATCCAGCACCAACATCTTACCCACCGGTCTGAACTTTATCCACCTGCGCCAACATCGACCACCTACCTATCTATCATTGACATCAGACCCTCCACCATCAACATCTTATCCACCTCCACAAACATCTTATCCACCTCCACCATCCTACCAAAACCCCAAAACCTACCAAAACCCGACAAAGGTCGCGTCCACCGAGACAGAGAAGCGAAAAGAGAAGATGGCTGCACTACACGAGGATCTCGAATCGATGAAGGAGAACACAATGGGTGGTGCCCTGGAAAAGCTCACGGAGACAAACATTATGAGCAGATTTTTACATCAACATGAACATACTTACTTAAATACAACTTCATTCGATTTACATATCGAATGTACTTAGTTGTTCAAGAAGAACTTTAGATCATGTAGTAGGCCGTATCAGCCAACCACAGATTATCAGGTAGGAACAAGAACAACTACTAGTAGGTAACTTAGAGCCAAAGTACATCGGTGGGTCTAGATTTAGAAGTTATGTGCCTACCTACTTAAGTACCTACTTGCCTACTTACCTACTTACCTACTTACCCACCTACCTACTTGCCTACTTACCTACTTACCTACTTACCTACTTACCCACCTACCTACTTGCCTACTTGCCTACTTACCTACTTACCTACTTACCCACCTACCTACTTGCCTACTTACCCACTTACCTACACCTCTTTCGTTTAGTACGGAGTTCCCTACCTACCTCCTTCTCTCCACTTGTTAGTGCCTTCCCCAGTGGTCCAATCCTTCAGTCCCCTTAGCCTGTCCCCCTTAGCCCCTTCCCCAATCTTTCTGTGCAACAATCTACTTACTTGCCTAGTACCTATCCCCAGTGGTCCAATCCTTCTGTCCCTTCTATCTACACCTATCCCTCACTTATCTACACGACCTCCCCCAATCCTCGTCGACTTCTAACACCTACGCCGTCTTGGAATCGCTGTCCAGTGGCCATCGGTGGAGCTTTGTCATCTCCCTGTGCGCTATCGGAATTATCATCATGGCGGGTTTTGCCCTCTACCAACGCTTCCGCAACTGGGAGAAGAAACACATTCTGTAAACCTTCTAGAGGACTCTAGAGTCTATTCTTGTACTTACTAGAGTCTAGGATAGTACTCATCTAGTTGTAGTAAGAGGACTCTGTAACAAGGTCGTGATGAGAAGTAGTACTACATGTGTAGTGAAGCTAAATGTTATTCTTTTTCTGGGAGTCGGAGCTGGTGGTGATGGAGGGAAAAGAGAACATGTTGATAGTTTCGTTGAAACGGCGAGGGGCGTGAGAGGAGGATTTTTTTCTTATCGTAAGGCGGAAATTGTTTATTTCATGATGTGGAGTTTTTGTGCATATCTATGTTCATCTTTTTCATCAACATCATGGTGCTACTTAGGTGCCGTGGTCTTTGACACAGGTAACTAAGAAGAGGACGATACTAATACGATCGAAGATCATCACGTCTTCTTCAGCATACTGATACATGATCATCTGCTCTACTCGAAATGATAGATTGACAATCATTATGCTCATAGTAGATGATACAACGAACAGCTGACAGTGACATAAAGATTTGCTTACATCTCCTGAACAAGATGCTGGTGTAAACATTATCTCGTGGACCGTGTGCACAAGGACATCATGTACATGTTGTACCCATTGCTACTTTTAGCTCCTATCATCGAGTACACACAGTAGATATGAATGTAATCGTAAGTAACTCGTCGTCCACTTGTACTCGTCTGTCTGTTCTCTGAATCCAAAATCGTAGTTGTCGTAACCAGGTGGCAAAGGCAAGGTGGTCTCTGCTAAAATTTAGATATGATTGTCGCTAAAATTGTCAACAATCAAGTCGTAGAATCTACTTAGGCAGGAGTCAGAAGTTACTGTCTATGTGTATGCTTTTTCAAGATAAAAATTTCGAAGAAGAATGTCAAATCCATGGATCTTCTCACCCCAAGGAGAGCCAACAAACGACCAAGTAAAAAAAGAGCCCAACGGACCGCCCACTCTTCATCTCATAGTGAGAAAAAATGTCATAAGGACCCTCACTACGATCAACACTTCTCCTTTCATTGTTTTGCGTTAATATCGATTGAGGATGTACTACTGAAACCTCATGAGAACCCCAACCCAATAAATATTGACAACGCTTGCGAGAACACCAAGCAACTGCGCATCGACTCTTTTGTTCTGAGCCAACATCAGGAACTGTGGTGCTGATCTTCTTCCCAGTACGAGGTTCCTGTGAATGGAAAACTCTTTCTGTGGTGCTGATCTTCTTCCCAGATCGAGGTTCTTGTGAATGGCAAACTCTTCATGGATTGGAGTATGGTGAAGCTCAGCATGTCGATCCCGTTATGGAAATTGAAGCTACCTGGATGAGAATGACCATGACGTTATCTAGTAGCTAGTTGTAGAATTATGGTGTTGGGCGCGATCAATGAATATTAGGATCTGAACGATGGCGAGAAAGTTCCATCTTCTGGGAACTCTACTAGATGTTGCTCATTATGGTTACCATTGTTCACTCACGCTTTCAGGTTCATGTTGTTCGAGGTTTCAATGTAAGTAGTCGATGTAAGTAGCTGAGTGAAATACTGGTCGAAACATGCGAAGTATGTAAGAGCTGTCATTATATCTTTTTATGTCTCCGTTCTCTGATTAAATGATACAAGAAGTACAAGAACACACTCTCTAAGCGGCACGCACAGACAAGATGTCGACCAGCAAAGTTCCCAAGCGGGCTCAGCAGAACAATCTTGCTGCAGCCTTTGGCGTCTTTCAAGCGCAACAAGCCTGTGCTGATCATGCTGCCGCGTCAATCTTTGAGCAGAGTGGGCCATCAGGTGAAGGAGGGGTAGAAGATGAGGAAATGTTCAGATGGGATCCTGTGACTAAGGAATTAGTGTTAAGGCTTGTTGATACAACTCATTTCTAACGGTCTTTTTCTTCTGTTTCATCCCTCTATCTATTGGTTCTTGTTTTGTTTCAATATCCCTCTTGGGAAGTTATAGGACAATTCATTTCTAACGGTCTTTCTTGTAGGCTTTCTACCGGTTTAAGTGTTAAGGCTTTCTAACGGTCTTTTTCTTCTGTTTCATCCCTCTATTCATTCTGAAGAAAGAAATGAAGGGAAGACCAAGATGAAATGAATTACTTTGAGCTCTAATAGTGGAAGTATCTTCTGCCACTGCGGCTCCAGCAGAAGCAGGCGTCGACGCTTCTCGGCGCGCTGCAGCTGATGCAGAATTATTGCAGGATGTATTGGAGGTAGAGGCAGCAACTACTGGCGGAGGTTCATCATCCGCAGCTAAGATGAAGCTGGCGGAGGAGAACATGCACAAGGACGAAGATGGTAACAATAAAAGAGGGTCCACCGCTAGCTCAAAAAAAGGGCGGAAGAAAAAGAGGAAGACAGATGGTGGAGGAGAAAAGACAGATGGTGATAAAGACGAAGGAGACAGAGGCGATAAAGACGAAGCTGAATCTTCAGAATCCGACTCAGAATCCTCAGAGGAAGAATCTCTGCCAGTTTCTACGCCGAATTTGATCGGTGAAGCCCTGGAGGAGGGACCAGAGAGCACCATTTACCAAACTATCATGGATAAATGTTATGCTACAAGTCTGGAGCTGGAGCAGATTTCTCATATCATAGATCATTCGCTTGTGATGAATATGATCATTGTATCCTCCATCGAAGATTCTTGTTTCTTGGTCAGATATTTTTTAAGAAGCCTTGTGCTAACTATTCATCGTCCTCGTCGTGCTACTAATAGTTCCATAGTAGATAGACATAGTCATAGAGAGTTTTTACCTTCTAGGTGATCACTACTCCATGTTCGAAATGACTACTAATTGAATAATCAAAGGATTAAGTAACCTTAAGACCTCGAAAGAAATACCTTTCTAAATCTCGATCCGCGACGACAAGATGACGAACCTGTATTTCTACTACCATGTTGCGGAAAAGAAGCTATACTGTTGGAACGAGGATGACTGGTCCATGTACCGATGGCGATCCAACTTCACCGACATGGAGTTTATGCATCATTGCCAGATCGATACGACCAACAGAGGGTTTGTGGGGAGTGGCCTGACGTCAACTTCGAGTAGCGGGGGAGCGCCAAAGGAGAAGAAAGGTAATGGTAGTGATGTAGTAAGTACTTCGTAATTAAGTATGTTGATTTTTAGAACACGTAATGGTACTGATGTACTTAGTTGATTAAGTAGGTTCATGTTGTTTTAGTTGATTAGAAGAAGAAGTTTGTTGCTGTAGTACTAAAGATTCTTTGTGATTGTTCCTGAAATGGAACGCTCTTCGTCTTGGAGAAAGAAAAAGTGACACTCAAAAAATGTTGAAGGTTCTCCAAAAACTACCAGTATTGAATATGCTTCTCTTCCAGCACATCTTCTAAGTACATTTAAATGATGATAATGATAATCCTATCTTCAACTACTACCATCCACTACAGCAACCAACGGTCCCGACTTGTGGCTAACCGTTTTGCCTCCAGAGGTGACGAGCACTCTGTCTAGACAAACCAGGGTCTACGAAATACCAGAGAAATTGTTTTCCAGAGTGTTCAAAACTACTAGTACTAGTACTTCTTCAAAAGACAAGGAACTAGAAAGTGAAACATCTAGTAGGGAAAGCCGAGACGCAGTTCTTACTCAGATGAAATCGCAGAGCGGCGTAGCTACTGGCAACTTCGTGTTTTTGGACGACGAGCAGGGTCGTGAGGGTGATTCAGCAGGTGCGACATCAAGTGGTGGCGGTGGAGAAAAAAATGCAGAGACAGAAATCAAAAGCGGCAAATTCGGTCGGCAAGTGCAAGTATCTGGGACGCCAAGGCAGATATCCGATTTCGCTAATTGTCTAGAGATGGGTCTACAGGCTGCAGGAGGCAAGGGTTTTGACTCGAGGAAGTGGCGTAAACACCAAGACGAGATCCATTTAGAACACATCAAGAAAGAAGGCGCCTTTTTAGGTGCGGCGGGAAGTAGTTCAAGTTCTCCGGATGGTGCTGATGTTGAGCGGGATGAGGACGCACTTCTTTTGGGAGAAGAAGAGAAAGGCCTCTTAGACGATGGCGAGAAGCTGGCTGAACCGGGTTCACCGAGTAATTTTGACGCAGTGGCAGAACTAGCGAGGAACGTGGCAAAGTTTGCACGAAAACAAAAGCTGCCACTGCAATCGACCAGACACTTGCTGAAGTTAGACGCGCAATTACAGAGGTACTTGTTGTTAATACTTCTGCTAGCTATATTACTAGCTTGGAGCGTCCGATAACATCCCTCCCACTAGGATCCCCCTCCTCCCCAAAATAAGAAACCAAGCAAGGCAAAGATGTAAGCGATATGCGTTCTCAAATTTCGAAAATTTTCCACGTTTTGCCATCGTTTGAGGATTGGGCCTCGTGCGTTTGAAGTCAAGGGCGAAGATCCCGAAACTTTTTGACTTTAAGCCGTTCCGCTGAAATTCAACTTCTTGGATTTGCGTTCTTCAAATTTCGAAAATTCTCCGCGTTTTATGGTCGTTCTGGGATTGAATTTTGTGCGTTTGAAGCGCTAAAGTCCCAAAGTTTTTGAATTTCAGCCCGTTCCCTGCGATTCAGTTTATTGGATTTGCATTTTTCAAATTTCGAAAATTTTCCACATTTTGGCGCCGTTTTGGGGTTGAATTCTGTGCGTTTGAAGTGCTAAAGTCCCAAAATTTTTGATTTTAAGCCCTTTCCCTGAGATTCAACCTCTTGGCTTCGCGTTTTTCCAATTTCGATAATTTTCCACGTTTTTCGTCGTTTTGGGAGTGAATCCCGTGAGTTTGAAGTGCTAAGATCCCAAAATTTTTGATTTTAAGCCCTTTTGCTGAAATTTAATGCCTTGGCTTCGCGTTTTTCAAATTTCGAAAATTCTCCCCGTTTTTTCGTCGTTTTGAGATTGCGTCTCGTGAGTTTGAAGCGTTGAGATCCCAAAATTTTTGATTTTAAGCCCTCTCCCTGAGATTCAACCTCTTGGCTCCGCGTTTTTCAAATTTCGAAAGGTTTCCACCTTTTTCGTCATTTTCAGAGTGAATCGATTGACTTTGAAAGGCTAAGATCCCAAAATTTTTGATTTTAAGCCCTTTCGCTGAAATTTAATTCCTTGGATTCGCGTTTTCAAATTTCGAAAGCTTTCCACGTTTTGTCGTCGTTTTGTGGTTGGGTTTGAAGCGTTAAGATCCTAAAATTTTTGACTTTAAGCCCTTTCCCCCGAAATTCAATTCCATCGCTTCGTGGTTTCGTGGAGTTCGTGGCTTCGTGGTTTCCTGGTTTCCTGGCTTCCTGGCTTCCTGGCAGGCTTCCTGGTTTCACGGTTTCGTGGTTTCGTGGTTTCATGGTTTGTTTCGTGGTTTCGTGGTTTCATGGTTTGTTTCGTGGTTTCGTGGTTTGTTTCGTGGTTTCATGGTTTCGTGGGTTCATGGGTTCATGGGTTTGGGGTTTGGGGTTTGTTTGTTTTTGTGTCGGAGGTTTTGGGTTCGGGTGTTGGTTTGGGTTTGGGTGTTGGAGGTTGAGGTTTCCGAAGGGATGTGTTTGCAAAGTTTTATTGCTCTTAATATTGATCACTCAGTAGATTTGAATTTCTGTAACGCCAGCAGCACAGAACTTTTCGAGTACTAAAGTTCTTCACTGTAGTTCTCTGATAAGTGTAAGTGGATCAAATGGTCTTGTTGTTGACGACCAAGTATTTTCCTCCTCAAGAACTCTATTTTCCCTACCCTTCTCACAACAATCGCAGATACGTCCTGCGCAAGTTCTACCTGCCAGCAGAGAACAGCAAGCCTGAGAAGGTTTTTCAGAAGTATGTTCAGCGTTTGTCCCAGTATCCTCAGAAGTGGCGTCTGGAGGCTACCATTTTAGATGGTGATATGGACGACGTCTGCACCACGCGCATGCTGAGACAAGGAATAGATACCGAGATTGAACTAGGTGCCGAGAGCGCGATGCTGGATGACGAAGCAGGAGCTCGAGAAGACGGAACATCCAAAGTAGATAATAATGACATGAAGCAAAGTAAGGACCTTCAACTGCCAATCCCCGATGGTTCCGATCGGCAAGTGTTTGGTGACGTTGCTACTCAGCATGCTCGCGTCCACGATATGTTTGGATACTGGCACGTAACCCCTCTGGAAGATAAAATCGGAGTTTTGATTGATGGGGAAAAGATACGAGCAAGCTTCGACGGACCAGCACCACTGCGAGACGGAAGCGTTATACAAATTGGCAAAACGCTAGTGCTGTGTGAGATTGGGGACGCGTCGTGGCTCACAGAGAGGCGAAACAAGTACTATGAAAGGTTACTGAACGGAGTATTGGAAACATCAACATCGACTACTAGTGAGAAGAAAAGTAACGTTGAAACTGGTACTGCCGTAGATGGAAAAGACAACGGTGAGGAAACTATGAAGCCACCACCACCTGCTCCGAAGAAGCGAAGGTGGGATAGCGCACCCGAAGGAGCTGAACAGCCGTCAAGCTAAGGAAAAAAATGACATGAAGTTGACCCACAGCCATATTAGATTTTGATGTAGATTAAATACACCAGATACACCAGAGACTGATACACTTAAACTTGATTTCACACCTCCCATTCCCTTGTAACTTGTACCATTGTGATGCTCCTTATCCTTTGTAACATTGTACCATTGAACTTATCACGACCAGTGTAGTACAGTACCTCCCTTGTCTCGCCTTCAAAACTGAGAAGTTCTCAAATTTCAATTCAAATAGACGTTGAAAACAAGGAAAGATCCATCTTCCTTTCTGACGCTTCGAGGATCTTCCTGGACGAGCTCGAGACGGGCCGCGCATCTTCTCCGCAAATCGTGTTCCATTAATCACTGGTACTATGCAGAACACCAAGAAGATAATACTTACTTACTTACTAGAATGGAGGTAGTTTTCTCTCCTAATGTCTACCGTAACAAGTCAGACTCGCAGTGCATCAGGTTCTTCTTCATTCAAAAAGTAGAACCTATACGCAAAGAAACGCATTAAACAATTCTATGAACAGGGCCGGCGGCGCGGCAATTAGTAACAAATCGAGGTGGTTGTAGGAAAGATGTAGTGAGATGAGTTGCGAAAAAGATAATCTTGAGGTCACTAGTGATATCCTTGCAGCTTGAGCTTCTTGAGGTTTCCTCCAGAGAAGTATCTTTGTAACTACTAGTTTACAAGAACCACGGCATCATCAAGTTCCTCAGATTAAGACAACATGGACCGTGCTTTGTTGAACAAGGCGACTCAGCCCGACCAGAATCCAGTTACTGGCGTGGAACTGGTCGAAATTGCCAAGCTCACTTTTCAGACCTTCGAGGCAACTGAGCAGCTGGTCGATTACCTGATAAACAAGCTGAAAAAGGACAATCCATGGGTCAAACAGAAATGCTTGCGCATCATCAGGCATGTTTGCGAGAACGGAAAGCCGGAATTCAGGAGAGGGATGCAAAGGCATGCATCAGTGGTGAAGGAGAATCTGCAGTATAGAGGTAGTTCTTGTTAAGAAGGGCCTGCTGTGGTTGTATAACTTGTAATTCCTACAAACAGGAGGGGAGCATTCCAATCGGAATGTCTGAAAGCTTATCATCAAGAATCTGAATCAAGTACTATTGAAGAAGACGTCTACCTTGTTCTTTTACTACTTCTTCTCCATCTTTTAAAAGGTAAGCCCGATCCCTTACGTGGTGACGCACCGAATAAGGCTGTTAGAGAAGAGGCCGAACAAGCAGTGAAAGCTGTTTTTAGCGAATCTTCATCGTAATGTCTATAAATATTTAGTATGCTTTTTTTTTTCGTCCACAAAGAATGACTCTGAGTTCGGTAGAAGTTACTTCGTTCTCATCATCGGACTTTTTTACTGTTTTTTTCTGGAGCTACTTACTCACATTGAGCTACTAACTTACTAACACTCTTCATCTTTTATTCCTCTCGTCTTTTATCTCACTTCTCCTTCCACTTTTACAAAATAGTTTCGGTCAAATGCCGCACCAAGTGGCGCCAAAAATGGCGGGCTTTGGCTCGGATAGCCAAGGTCCTTTCGCACCGCCACCGCCACCGCCGCCTAGTGACTCCTTTGGAGGTAATTTTGGAGGAGGTCCTCAACAAGGCTTCAACAGTGGAGGAGGCCCACCTTCAGCAGGAGGTACTATGGGAGGAGGACCCTTTGGCGGAGGTCCGGGTCCTAAAAAAATGGAGGGATTTGGCAACCCAGCGTTTGAGAATCGGAGGCCTACGGTAGACCCAGTTACAGGACTGGCGGAGACTGGGAATCCGACGATTGATAAGGTATATTCGACTTTGGCTTTTGAGATCGTCTATCTCTATGCTTCACCTGCTTATAAGACAACTTGTTCTTGTTGTAGTTATCGTTCCTGGCCATAAGAATGTCAACATTTACCAACGCGCAATTTGCTACACATACGAATTCAAATTTAAACCCTTCTACCAGGCAAATGCGATCATCAAGTCGGGTGTGGATGCTGGAGTCGAGTATTTGAAGTATGGAGCCAGCAGAGCAGTGACCTACCTCCCAGATAGTATGAAGGAGAGCATTCCTGCAAACGTGCTCAACAAATTCGGTACTACTTTTGTTTTATTTTTTGACTTTGGACGATTGATACCCCGTGATTCATTGGGTACACTAGTACTCCTACTATAAATTCTTTCTTACTTGTTCTCTGGAATAGTAAGTAGTTACATTTGAATTTATGATCAAATTGATTTTCACTGTGGTCCCAGAATCAACAACAACATATTAAAACATTCACTGGGACTTTGCAGGTACAACAAATAGCGGTCCTGGCGGTTATTCCAATGACAGCGGACAAGGCGGGTATCAGAATCATAGTGACAGTGGTGGCTATTTTAGCGGTGGTGGAGGCTATAGCGCACCTAGTGTAGGAGGTGGCGCTGGTGGCACGACTGCTGGAGGTAGTTATAGCGCGCCTTCTAGTGGTGGTGGCTCAAGGCCTGGCGCTTTTGGTGGTGGATCTGTTCCTTGGGGCAGTGCCACAACCTCTTCGACGACACAACAACCGTCTCCAAGTGGGTTCTTAGCACCATCTTCTAACAACCATCTATCCTCTAGTCCAACCGGAACCGGCGCAAACGCGGGAGCAACAGGAGCATCTTCCTCATCCGAGGGTGGCATCTACGAAAGGCAATTAGTGCAAGACCTGTGTGCTCCAGGAGGGGCCAGGGTGGCGCCTGCACAGGAATTCTTAGACGACTTCTTGAGGAAGTGCGAATCGTTGAATGCGGAACAGATATCTCAAAATCTGCTACTCATGCTGCGAACCGGGACGTGGCAGCAGAAGGCAAAGGTGTAGTTTACAAAAACCATGGTGATTTGAATCTATTCGGCAAGATGCCTAAGATTTCTTCGTATTTACAAAGACCATAATTATATGCAAGAATTATTTGTGCTTAAAATCCTGAAGTTAATATCTTCCATAAGTACTACTTCCTCAAAATGAGTCTTCGACCTTCCTACAGACGCCAAAAGGTTCCAACAACTTCCAACCTTTTCCCAAAAGGTTCTCTATGCCGTCGACGCTTGCATCGAGCGGCAGCTGGACGCAATAACAGGGCACCTCTTAGAACAAGGCAGTGCGGACCTTGAGGGCTGCTTGCAGATCCCTCAGACGAAGCAAAAAGCCTCAAAAGTTTGCACGAGTTTAGGCCTCACAGGCAGTGGGGGAACCACAACAGCGTCCACTCCAGGTAGCGCGGACGGTGGTGTAGATCTTCTTGATATGGGTGGCGGTAACGATGACTTGTTGGATTCTGTTGTACAACAACCTGTAGTTGCAGCACCTCCTAGTAGACAAGCTCAAGCAGCTCCAGTCTCATCCGGTGGAGCTGGTGGCGGAATAGACGACCTCTTAGGCTTAGGAGATTCAACTGCACAGCCAGCAAGTGCTGGAATGAGTATTAATGTTGATGGAACAAGTGGCACAAGAAATGCGAGTACCTCATCTAGCCCAAGTAAAACGCCTAACTCGAATAAAGCAAATAAAGGTGGCCTCTTTGGCAATCTGAATGTCAAAACGGCATCAACCAGTAGTAGTAGTACCACTGCCAACGCTTCAAACGGTAACGGATCTGGAGGTGCACTAGACTTGCTTTCCTTAGGTGGTGGTAGTCAAGCATCCAACATCATGATGCCGAACACATCCCCTGCGCTAGGTACTAGCGCAGCCTCTAGTACCGACATGATGGGAATGAACACGTCCCCTGCTCCTCCTATGATGGGGGGAGGAAATATGGGGATGAATAGTATGATGAACGGCAGCATGAACATGATGAACGGCAGCATGAACATGCTGAATGGCGTTGGGCTTGCAGTTGGTATGATGGGGGGCCAGCAAATGGGCCAACCAATGATGAATCCATATGGCGGTGCTGGAGGTATGAACATGATGCAACAACAGTCTACTAGTGGCTTGCCAGAAGCTTTCGCATTGGGCAGAGGGCATCCTGGTATGGGGATCGGAGGTGGCATGCAGATGCAGATGAATCCTCAATTTCCCGTTGCAACAAAAACGCAAAATGCTCAAGCAAACGGAGGACCTCCAAGTGGAGCTAGTGGTGGAAGTGCTTTTGGCTTCCTCAACAGTGGGGGTGCAGCAAATAAAGGTTCTAGTCCTGCTGCAGAACCGGAAGTATCAGCGACGAAGAAAGACGCCTTCGGAACACTGTTGGAAAACACATTGGCAGATCTTTAGTACCAAGCGCCCGATTTCGGAACACTGTTGGAAACACATTGGCACAACTCCAGTACTTCTCCTAGACCCACATCAGTACTTTTCTAGTCCCATTCCCTTTTCTTTTCCAATCATTTTGAATTTTTTCCTTAGAACACAACAACAAGGTTGGCCACAACAAATAGGACTACTATGAGCAAGAAGGAACTACAGGCCACTCATTGAGAACGACTTTTGCAGCAATTCTTGCTCTCTATCAATCATGCTGATGATGGTCAACAATGTAACTGGAACAAGTGGTTGACATCTAGGTGGGTTAAGACATCTACTGCTAAGTAAGAAGAAGAACGCTGTTTCCTCGAAGAAGATGGGTAACGCGCCGTGTTTTGAATCGTGTGTTCGACATCGTTATCTACATTCAAGTTTCGTACAATCATCATCATCATCATCATCAACATCATCTCGAGTCGGTATCAGGACTGGTCTTGGTTCGTACTAGCAGGTTGTTCTGCACCTCCCGGCACCGGGACAGAAGTGTAGGGAGGTTTTCCTTTCGTGGAACATCATGCATAGCAGGTACTGAATCTTTTCACAAGACCGAACATGATGACCCCCACCTCCTTGTAAACACGCGCGGTGGTGCTCCACCTCGATCGGTCTTTCTGTCTCCTCCTCGTTGATCAGCATATTGATGTAGGAAGAGAAGTCCTCAGTTCTATGCGGCTATTAGTAAGTGCATGTAGATTTTCATTTTAGTTCTTTCTGTTGATCGTCACCGTATAACAGTACTATGATGTGAAGATATTCATGGTACAACCAACAACAGCAACAATTCAATACAACATACCGGATAGGTCGTACAACGAACTTCTAGCCGTTGGATTGAGAACTGGAGTCACTTGCTCATGCTCTGCAGCAAGTTTTACGTGACCACAGAGTAGACTCGTACTCGTCAGAGTTGCATTCTCTACCAAGAACAAGTAGCCTGCGACTTCCACAATTGCTTACGCGTTTTCGATTCCCAAAAAAAATAGAGAATAGAGTTCTCAACGTAGCAACAACCTGCTTCCACGTACTCGACGCTTTCAAAATTTTGAACATCTAGACTCTTCACTCTTCACCACGTCCAAGGACCAAGAATAACCAAGCACGAAGACAAGAAGAGGAAAAAGATGCAAAAGCAGGTGAACTACTATGAGATCTTGGGTGTGGAGCCCACCGCCAAATTGGAGGAGATTCGAAATGCCTATAGATCTCTGGCGTTGCGCATGCACCCCGATCGTGCCTTGATCAATCAAGGCATGGAACGAGCGAGCAAAAAAGAAAATTTAAGGGTAGGTTAAAAGTGCTTTTCTTACCGCTTTTTATGCCTCTCTCATCCTAAGGGAGAGAGAAAGGCATAAGATGAAGTGGGGTAAGCGAGCACCAAAAGCCTACCTCTAAAAAACGGCGCTTCTAGTGGCAATGTTGGAAGTGGGAATCCGAATGAAGGCGAGTCTATTGGATCCAATCCGGGAGTCTCTACCACAAGCACGACGAGTAAGAGAGCCAGCTCTGGACCTGGTAGTGAGCAGATAGGGGGTTCCGTCAGTTCTACCAGTACTACACCGGCGCAGGAAGATGACCTGTCTTAAGGCTTAATTTAATAAGAAAGTAGGTACACAACGAACTGAAGAAAATTAGACCTCAGAATACGATTACGAACAATTATACAGGCACCCGCAGGCTGCCTGACTCTTATTTTTCATCAGCTAAAAGTCGACATGCTTCTCAAATAGATTGTTCCGCGCTTCTACTAGGCTCTAATCATCAGCATCCGCAAGAAGCTGTGCGGCTAGTGAGACTGCTGGTAGCGGTGGGAGGTCGAAAATGAGAGGCAAAGTGAATTTTGAATTCTACCAGATTCAAGACGCATGGAAAACGCTGAGCAATCCGAGTAGGAGGTACAACTCTAGTACTATGTGTTTGCTGGAAAATATCATTGGGAAATCCAAGTAGGAGGTACAACTCTAGTACTATTTACAAAAACTCTACTAATGGTCAAGAACAAGGAACTCAAGGTCTTACAACTACCTCCACGACGTCAACGACGTCTTACTTTTTTTGATTACCTACTACTGCAAGAACGTACAAAACTACTCCTTCCTTTTCCACTCTCACCATTCTCACCACATGATCTCAGATTTCTCTACGATATGCGAAATTTTGGGTCTTCCACTGAATTCCCAGACCATGACGAATCGTATTTACTGGACTTGGAACGCGCTCAAGCAGAGAAAGACCTACATCAAATGAGCAGCTATTTGACCAAAGTAGTGACACGAGAAACCAAGGCGAAAGGAGTCATCATCATGGATGCTTGGTATGTGACTGACTCTTCATTAGCAGGTGTTGTAGGTAAGCTACTACATCACGACCGCTAATAAAAAGCCATGATGATCATTTGCATTCCTTTTCATGGATCCTCCACACAGCAACGTACTCATTTTCACTTCACCAGGTATGGCGACATGGCTACTTTGAGCAAGTTTCATATGTCACATCTCCACCAGGTATGGCGACATGGCGATCTTGAGCAAGTTTTATCTGGCTTTCAACGAACGCAACTCCCCTAATCGGGTTGGGGAAGACGGTTTGTATGTCGACGTTCGAGTGGCGACCCAATGCCAAGTCGATTACAAGAGTCATAGACTGATCATTATGGAGGACGGATTCATCACTGTTGAAGGAATTTGGAATTTTTCAATAGATGAGTGTACTACAGATTTATTGGGTTTACCTTGTCCTTGAGACTGACATCGTCTATGTTCTGATCCCACTTGCTTTTCATCCTCCTCAAGGTCAGATATCACATCTACTGTAACTAAAGACATCTAGGAGGGACATCTGTAAACACATTCTTTAGACTCAAAGCCCTGCTTACGGCCTCTAATCCATTGAGCGGAGGAGATTCGACGTCGAGATCTGACTTGCCAGGGTTTTACAACCCGATTCCGCTGTCTTTGCGCAGCTCAGTCGAATTAGGGATATTCATTAGGTATTGCTTCCTTTACGCTTATACTGGAAGGAGTACGCTTTCTTATATATAGCTTTCTTATATATTACGCAGCTTGTACTTATAAAAGAGGGGCTCATTGATTTTTAGGATTGAGCTTCCAACTTATCTGACTTCAGAGTTCCTCGCACAGGTACCAATTCAACAACGAAGTTCACGAAGTACTGGCGAATGATACGGAGTCTATCTGTATCCCTAAGAAATCTCATACGATTTCCAATATTGCTAAGCGGATCCGTCAGACGCAAGATCAAGAGAAGGAGTTGGAAGAAGCAGCCAAAAGAAAGCAGCGGAGCAAAACTTTACCTGGTGTTATGAACGGAGTTTTACTGAGGGACAATTTCATCATATTAAGTACGTAAATAGAAGTAGATGGAAAATTAATCGTAGATCCATCTTTACTTTTTGGTGCTTGGAATCATTTCCTCAGAAGTTTTGATTTGTGTCAATAGATCATAGGCTCATCTCGTTCCTCTTTTAATGGTGGAAGTAACAGATGAAAAGAAGTAAGTACCCAAAAGGAGAATGACCATCCCTCTTTCATACCCCTCGTCGAGATGCTAGGCGCCAATACGGAGGAAGCAAGTATCGCTGCCAACCTGGGTATTTGCGCTATGCTAACTGGTCTTTACCTCTACAAGGAACGCGACGTCCTACGACAGATATTTGCTCCACTTTTTGGAGGAGGGAAGTGATGCTTGAGCATGCTCAAGGTGGAGATGAATGGGTGATAACTGGGGAGGTGGTAGGGAACAAGCAACAGGTCATGGAATACGATAAAGATATGGTGAAAATATTTCTGAGAATATCTTCCAGAGTAAAATTTAGCTGAGCCGTGACCTAGACCTTGGAGTTTGTACATTAATGTAGGCAGCAGGCAGAGGCAAATACTAAGTACAACCCTGACCACGACGTGAAATGAGTTGAAACACCCATGTCGTGTAACTACCGGACAACAAAGTCAAATCGTAAGCATATTAATGGATAACTCGGGAAACTTCTGCATTCTAAACAAAAACGTCACGTAACGTCATAAACAAGAAAACCAATCTATCAACTTTTAGAACTTCTCAAGAACGCTCTGTTGATTTTTATCGTCTCCATTTATCTTACGACTAGTGTAGCGCGAACGAGATCATGTAATATCCCATGATGGCAGATATCCTGCTCAGCAGCCGTTAAAGTCTGCCACATCGGATGGTAGGCCCAAACCTAACCTAACCTATCCTCAAACATCAAGCACAAGTGTTCTATTAAGGACCCTTGTTCGTGGAGTGCAGTTGAAGTACAGTAAGTGATACCTGAAGAGAGAAGATTGATTCATTTGCATTTAGTATTGAGGAGCGCAAATAGCGCATTATTACGAGGTTTCTTGTTCTTCCTTCCACAATCAGGTCTGTCGCTGACTCGTCGTCATAAGAATCGGAGATAAAACTGGAATCGGTCTCCTCTTCGATCGCTTTTCTCCCCAAATGAATCTAAATGCCGTCCTCACCCACATTGCCAGTCCCGCCATCTCTTACACCCCACACCTCGATGGTACCTCTTTGACAAACAGATTCCTGTGCGTGTTATGTTTTAGGCCTGTCATGATTGTTAGTCACTACAATTCTTCTGTTTAAGTCTACTTTTTAGTTTTCCACAAGGAAGTCGTATGGTTTTTGAGACTCGATGGCTCTTCTATGGTGCCTTATTTAATGACTGATTCATGTTTGGAGAACCTATCATGCTCTCCATGTTTCAATCCTCTCTAACATTCAAAAACCTAGTTGCCTTGAGCATTACTACCCACCAATCCACCCAGAAACAACATGGCTGAAGAGGAGGCTCTGCCTGAACCCAATGTGGTGGCTTCGTCAAGTTCTCTCGTTAAAGCGCCACAAGGAATCATCTGGGCTTTGATGAAGGACTAGTACTTCAGACCTTATGTTGTTCATCTGGGCTTTTATGAAGAACTAGTACTTGCTTCTTGGCTTTGGTTTAATAGTTTGTGTTCTTTTTGTGTAAGTGCATATTTTCAACAAGGTATCCAGTAGTGGTTTCTTTTGAGACTAGACAAAGATTTTCGCACGAAATATTTATAAAGAACAACCGTAGCTCTGAGCCAAACCAAAAAGCCACCCACCGCCACCGCCACCCATCCCAAAAACTCCACCTCCCACCTCAACTACCTGTAGAAAAATAATATCTACTATCAGTGGTCTCTTTTGATAGTAGACAAATAGGTTCACGCACAATTTTCTTGTAGTTTCACTTTCAGGGAACAACCATACCAAGGAACACTAAAAATCAACCCAAATAAAACACACCCCAAAAACCACACCTTCCATCAACTACCTACAGCGCCTCCACTCCGAAGCTCTACGACCCTTCTACTTTGGCCGAAAAGTGTCTGAGCAGAGACCGACTGACTAAGAAGCCTGATGCGAAACAGACGCGCTTCTCAAATTATGGCTGTTGCTTCTACTAATTCTGCGTATTTAACAAGCTTGACTACATCATTCCTGATACAAAACAGTATGATCGAGTATGATCTAGTATGACAAAAATACTTGCCTACTTCTTCACCCCGCCCGATACTCTTCAAGGACCGACGTCACCATAGAAAAAAAGGAGTACAGGAATCAAGTTCAAGCTCATAGCCGAGTATCTATTTGAGATTATTCCCTATCCCACTTGGTTACTATTTTTAAGAGACAAACAACAAGGATCAACACCTTCACAGCTTCAACATCAGAGAAATTCGTAGAACCCAGAAGAGATTCAGGGAAGTCGTTGGTCCAATCCGAACCGACTAGCATCGTCATCGTTTCAGTTCACTGAGTACCTTTGTCACCCCCAAAAGTACCAGCACCCTTTTCATCTCGATGCTCTTCTAATCAAAGCCAGCCTGTGTCGTGGAAGTCAAAGTGGAATATGACGAGCCAGTAGAAGAGGAGGCTCCCGCAGTACCACCAGTCGAGGGTGAAGAAGCGCCACCAGCGGAAGAAGGAGAGGAAGCGGCTGAGTATAGATACTTGTTTCTCTAATTTCATTGTTGCGACTAACACTAAAACTAATGGTTGTTCCTTTTATGATGGATGTTGCTGAGTACAATACAAGTACAGCACTGCTTGATTTTATGAAGACTCTTGAGACAATCCGATTTGATCTTGATGGATAGCAACCACTTGTTCTTGTTTCTACTTCTTGATGAGTTGTTTTGGAACAAAGAAACACGACTAAGAGGTCGTTCTTGTTCCATAGATATTGATATTATAATCTTAACCAGGCCAGCGCCGCCAGCGCCACCAGAGAAATGGGTACGATGTGAGGTGCGATTTTCGGTATCACAAATCGGCTTGACAGCTGCGGAAATGAGTGCCGGGACTGGTATTGATCGTCTAGTTGGGCTTTTTCATGATTGGCGGTTTTGAGCATGTGCTACTCTACTCTCTGTGACTCAGATTTCTTCTAGTACTACCACCTTTTTTGTGACATTCAAATTTCTTCTCATTTTCTTCCAATTACATTCAGGAACCATGTGCTTGCGTTGTACGCAGAAAGTCGGCTCAACAGATTGCGAAGTGACTGCTGGAGTCAGCGTCTACTCCGAAGCGTTGGCGGACACACCTCCAGACTTTGCTGCCTGGGCTAGCACTTTGGCGGGAAATCTGAAGGTACTACGGCTTAAAACGAAATAGTAGAAATCTTCACAGTCTAGGTCCTCTACTGCATCAGATCAGCTTGTTCAGGACTCTCTCGTGGTCAAACGGAATCATCTTCATCTAACCATTTCAGTATAAACTCGAAACCTCCTGTCCCTGCTCACTTCTAAATCTCTGCTTCCTACAACAGCCTGTCAACACATCCCAAACAGACCTACTCGGAGAAGATGGTTTATTTGGCACCCAACGTGGTAAAGACCAAGGATGAAGTGTTTTTGCACAAGATGTTGGCGAAGGCCAAGGGTTTCAAGTGGATTGACCTAGCGTTGAGTCGCAGTCCCAGTGCACTGGAATTGTTGGAGAGGTATTCTTGGGTTTTCTCGTGTAGTTATTGCAGTGAGAGATGCCAATCTGATATCTTCAAGTCCATGTTTATCTTCCTCACATCGATCATAAATACGGAGGAAAAAAAATCAAAAAAAATTCTTATCGTGATCTACTTCCCATCTTCACCTTCATTTCGTCTCTAGTTACTTGCGAAGAAGACGATTCTTTCAATTTTGAATCCACCAACTCACAAAAAACAGTGGCGAAATCGGTGGGAGTCTCGGATTCTACAAAGACCAGAAGGATATTTCGCCTATTTCGAGAAATTAATACAAGAACGCAAGATATAGATATACTTTGTAATTGTTGTATAATTTTTAAGTTTCATCATAGTACTAGCACGATCAAGATCAACTACTTCAAATTTACGGAAAGAGTCAATTCAAGGATCATTTACGAGAAAAGTGAAAAGACTGATTCAATGCTGATATGGATCGATGAAATTGGTGTAAGTGCATTGCGCAAAAAGATAAGATTTGAAGGCATAAGCATAAGATGGTCAAGTTTATGAGACACGTCTTCCCTGAGATGTCAAGTTGTGGGGTCACCGACAGATTGTAGATGAGATGGTGCGTTACGATCCACACAGAAGGTACACGAATGACGAATGTAAGAATTTCTGCAACAATTTCAATTCGAAACACGGTTCCCTGCATTCGTGAACTGCGAAGAAAGACTCGTTCTCTGTTTGGAATTCCTCGTCTTTCTTGCTTGACTGTGATTGAGGAGTAGATTGTAGGTGTTGTTAGATCACTCCATCGTAGCTCTTCGTCTTTTCACCGTTAGAGATGGTTGTTGCCCGCCCTTTCGACGGTGCAACCATGTAGATTGTGTTGGATTGTATCATCCCAAAGGCAGTAAGTGCGTTCGCCTCTTCCGTTTGGATTCTCATGTTTTTCTTCCCATCCAACACATAGGAGCTAAGTACTTTCGCACGGTTGCTGTCTAGCCCGCGCTACATCTTGAGACATTTTTATTGATAGATATATATTTCCACATATTTGATATCCATAGTGACTCCGCATATTGTGAACTACATAACTAGCAGTTACTCCGTTTACCTAGTTTTCAGATAGTTTGTTGTTCTTCCTTATTGATTCGACCTAGGCACGGCGTTGCATATAGGGTTTATAGAGACGCGACCTCTGCGCGCCTCTTGAAACGTAGATATACTCACCAGCTGTGAGTGTATTCTTTTAGGTGTCCTCTCGAGACCCCGTTCTTTTTCGGTATCGTCAATCGTTAGTCGCATATTCGCTACCACGCATATCACGACATAGACTTTGCATCCACATCCGAGCATTAGTGACGATTAGATAAGGCGTCTAGGTTGACCTCCGCAACCTTGATGTTTTGGATTGTTGAGGGACACGATCGCTTCGACATCCTCAACGAGCTTGTATCTCAAGATTCCATGATTAGTGAGTTAGGTCGACCTCTGCGACCGTAACATGGCTAGGATTTCTCCAGACGCAACTCTCTCTCGAAACGTTGCTCTCCTCTCATTTTCCTTGATGCCTCTTGTTCGCCTGTGGTCCAACTGTCGATCAGAGTCTTGTCTTGTGCTGAGAGATTGAGGTTCGGGTATCCTCTTGGTTTTCCTGTCTAGGTGATCCCACGTTCTTTTCAGACCCTTGGAGGATGAGTTACTTTCACTTCCCCAAGTGGTGGAGAATAGGGCACAAGACAGCAGAATAGATAAGGTAAGACTAAATGTTGCATTTATCACGAGATGCCTCGTCGGGCGTTTGATCCAAGGAGACACCGGTATAGGCTTGTATCAGTTAAGATCAAGGTTACTCACTTAGTTGCTTATCTTGGAGTTGCGTCTGATCATTCGTGGGATATTCTTGACCCACTACCGGGCCGAATTACCCATCGATTGTTCATTGACGGACAGCGTCATTATTATAGACATATCCCTGGCCATTACAGACACGTTAGTTTTCAACCGCGGAGTGAAGGTATCGAAGTCCTCACATATTTACTTCTTATAAAAGGACTTTCTCACGTTAGAGCTACGGTTGAACGAGTTTCCACTGGACACCGATATCGACACGTTTGCCTGACTAATGAGTGTATTCTTAGAGCTAATTAGGTAGTAGGTTACGTAGACAACATGACGCATCAAATTATCAAAGTAGAAATCACGTGTGAAGAAACCATAGGGTTTGTCCAGTTTACGGTTGCCCGCCCCGTGGAGTATTCCGAAGAAGTTCGACGACGAGTAGGTAGATTGCTTAAGTACAAAGCTCGACGTGTTGACGCCTCGGCGTGGGACCCGACCCCTGACACTCGTTCTCCTTGGGTCAGTGTTGTCGAATTGACCCGTTATTTGAACAACCGCAATCGCGCAGGACGCCATTTTACCGTTGAAACTGTATTATCGTGTTTACTAGAAGAACTTCGTACCAAATACCTCTGCACATACTGGACTAGATATTGGCGTGGGGACGTTTGGGTACAGGAACTCAGTCACATTGCTGTTTCTACCGGACACCACAATCGACGACGTGCGAACTCTAACTAAGAGTTGGAATCATGTTTTTTTTTTTAAAGAACTAAACAAGGATTTGTTTGTAGTGACTGGGCTCCTCGTGCTCTCGGAGCACTATCATAGTTTCGTTGAGAGTTCTAGTAGTGTTTCGGTCGATGTGTTAGATGGGTTTAGTCATACGGGCTACGTCCGAAACAACAAATATTATTTAGTTTCATATTCTTCGGATGCTACCGATTGGAGAAATTATGATTGGCACCATGAACACCAAGTTATCGTCCACGCAGAAGATATGCTAATGTTGCTGGTTGAATATTTAGGACAAGAATTCCAGGTAGAAGAATTTACGGTAGATATTGTCGTTTGGGGATCGTCTATCTCGTACGACGAGGTTGTTATTACAAAAGAAGAACTTGTACAAGCTGTGGTCTTAAAGTTACACGACCGGTGTTAGTAGTTCCTTGGTGGGAGTTTTAGGATAAGTCGTTTAGTTGAAGGAGTTGATAACAAGGCGTAAATAGAAGAACCAGTAAAGGCAACCGAGTAAACGAATTGGAAGACGGCGGAGTAAATAAAAGAAGTAACCAGAGTTACATAATACTAAGTGTACTAAGTAGTAGTTTAACAAAACGATTGACAATTATACCCAAGATTTCATGTCCTTGCGCAAGCCGAGCGCTAGAGAGTGAGCTCGCATGCTCCCCGGACCGCATTTCCCGACTGTTTGTTCCCCGAAACTTGGTCCGACCGCTTCGAGTGGATTGGGCGGGACTGCAGTCGCTGGATTTGGATCCCAAGTAGTTACCGAGAGTGTCCGGCTTTTGAACACGGACTCTCGACGTCGGATTCTGAACCTTGAGCCGGTTATTGTTCCTCAGACGGAGCTTTCTCTCCGTAACCGGATTTTGACGGCGGAAATTAGTAGTACGCACAACATCTTCCCGATCCACTACGTTCTTGGTGGAGTCCTTCGGACTCAAACGCCTGTCCGAATCGACCACGGTTCAGAGGAGACAACTGCGGCGGGAGCGCCTGGCACTAACGTTTTTGCAGGTGACGTTACCCTTTTTGAGACGTGGACCGGTGTTGGCACATTAGACGGCGTGGTCGACTTTGAACATTACGTCCTTGACATTGACGATTGGTGTTACACACCCCGGCCCTTGAAGATTTCACTTTGGAGAATTTTTGTCAGAGATTTTCTCCGGGAATTGCCTCTATTCCGGGTGGTCGGCATCTTCGAGGACATACGCGGACCCTCTGATAGCGCTCTCTCGAAAGATGAGTGCTGATGAGGAAGACCCTCTTGGGCCTCCCGGAGACGTTACTTCTCCGTGGACACCGGGCACCGTTTGGAAACTCAGGAGCCGACCGGTGTTCTTACAGAAAGCGGTTTACAGAGGGAAGTGCAACGTTTTCTTTGTCAGCTTGATCGACGGTGTTGCGGAACCCGTAACCAAATTCGTTGGGTTTTCTCGTGCACAAATCCGAGATTGGAGCGAATTTCTTGATGAAAGTTCAGCAGACGAATATCGGCAGGTGATTGGACGTGAGGTGCAAGACTACGACCTTCTCCGGATCGGTGCTCCGAGTGGTTTCACCACTGCAGACACGCCTGCGGGAAAAGACTTGCTCGCCAAGGGCAACCCTACCGGACGAACGATCCTCCCGAGCGGAGACGTGCTGTTGACGTCGTTTCTGTACCCTACATCCGAGGTATTGGGCGACTCTCCTCAACCTGGAAGTGGGGTGCCTGACCACGATACTGACCTCGATGAAGATGTCCTGGTGGACGACCCGATGGGTAGCGACGCTACAGCTCCTTCCCATAGTTGTTCGATGGTGGGACCGGGAAACGGAAACCTTCTTCCTCATGCTGCGAGTACCTCCCCTGGTCGCGATGTGTTGAATCCGCCGTCCTCGGCACCTTCGTCTGCAGGTCTTAGCAGTTCGTGGATCCCTATTGTCGATCCTCCGTCTGGAGGTCTTTTTGGATCCGGTGGGTCGGGTGGTTCTATTGCTTCGAGTTCGTCAACAGGTCCACTTGCCGCCCCTGCGTTGCATCCACCTATTGGACCCGAAAGTCGCGGGTTTTTTTCGCCTTCTTTCGAACCGGGAACGACAACCAGTTCTAGTCCTAACGCAGCCGGCGGACCTCCGTCCATTTTCGTTGGAACTGCCCCTTTGGGTTCGTCGACCGGAAATGTTCCTCGGGGGGTGCCTCCAGTGGCCTTTGATGGTGGCCCTTTCCCTCCTGGTTTCGGCATCGTGCCGTTGCCTCCGATTGGCGTGGTTGGTCCCTGTGACGTTGATAGCCCTGATGTTGACATGCGTGGTGGTGGTCCTCATGTTGGCGAAAATCTTGCTCTTGCGTCACCGGCTGTTTGCCTGAGCCCGCCCTTGGTGACCCCGATTTCTCGATTGCGGAGCATTAGTGCTTGCAGTGCGGCACACCGACCTTCAGCCCGTGATAGAAGTCCCTACGGGAAAAGTGCGATTGTTCGATCAGCGTCGGTGACTGGTCCTCCGAATTTTTCCTCGTCGTCTTCTCCTCCCACGTGGGATCGGGTCCGTTACTTGGAGGAGCAACTCCGAGTCGCAGAACATCAGCTGACGGACGTCCGCAATCGCCTCTCCGAGTGCGTTGCGGCAAAGACCCGTGGAGAGACTACGGCTCTCCAGTTAAAGGAGGAACTGCGCGAGGCGGTTGGACGTCGAGACAGCTTGACAACGGAATGTGATTTGCTACGTTCACAGTGTGAGGCCGCGACCCAACTGTCGAGAGAATGGGAGAGCACGAAACGGAGGTTGAACCAGATGAACTTGGACCTCAGCCAACAGGTTGGAACGTTGCGGAAAGAGGAGCGCATCCTTTCCGACACGATTGCGTGCAGTACTCACCGGATCAAGGTTTTGGAGGTAGACCTTGCACGTGCAAACGAGGAAATCGCGCGGGTCAGTAGGTTGGTTCCAACAGTTGAGACGGAACGGGCCCGTGCCCTAAAAGAGACCGACCTCAACGCACAGGTCCAGGTAGCGGAAAACGCTCGGTTGAAAATTCAAGTTGAATTGACAGAGACGAAACGCGACCTCTTGCTTGAGAGTGAGAAGAACGCGGTCGCGCAGCAAGAAATTGAAAACCTTCGCATCGAACTCTTGCGACTGGCTCCGCGCGGTTCTTCAACCCCGGAAGCGGAGTATGAAGCAATCGTTCGAGGTTTGAAAGAGCAAATCCAGGCTGAAGAGACCCGTGGACTCCAACAGCGGGACCGTTTCAAAGAAGAACGTTTGAGCTGGGAAAGGTGCATTGCCCAGAAAGACGAGTCTTTCGCTGCTCTCAAAGACGACCTTGCCGCTCGGTATGAGGAGGCTTCACAGCGCTCTCGCGAGGCGTACGAGACCTCGTTGAAAGAGCGAGACCAACAGGTGAACCGACTTTCGAGCACGGACAGCGCCTCTTCGGGTTCGCATCGGCTGTTGGAACAACAACGCGAACGAATTTCGTCCTTAGAAGCTCGAGCTAAAGAGGCTGATGACTTGTTCGACGCGCTCAAGGTGAAACTGTCCACGCAACGTAACGAGTACGAGGCCGAGGTCGGTCGGCTCAAGATAGTGGTCGCAAAACTTGAAGCGAAGACTCTTTCGAGCGCTGGTGGCCTCCATGGACCTTCTGGACCTACCTCTCCTGGCGGTGAGGTTCCGGAGAAACCCGAGCTGCAGGCTGAACTTGAGAAAATGCAACTGTTGTTGACGTCGTTAAAAATAGAGAAAGACACTCTCTTATCCTCGAAGGATGGCAACGAGAAACGGTTGCAAGATCTTGCGAACAGTTTGTCGGAAGAGATCAAAGGGTTGAAAGAAACTCACGAAACGCAGCTAACTGCTGCAACGGCCAACTCCGACACGCAACATCAATTAATTGAGACCCTCGAAGACCAACTCCAACATGCCAACCGCAAGTGGACTGAGACGGCCGCTGCGTTAGAAGAAATGAAAGAGAAATGTCCTGCAGAGTCGCATGAGGATATCCTCTCGGTTTCTTCACCGGTCGTTGCGACGGAGGAGGTTGACCGGTTGAATCAACAGTTTGAGACGGTGCGGGATGAGCGTGACCAACTCCGCGCCCAAGTTTCTGCCCTCGAGCGGACAGTCTCTTCGGTTATTTCTCCTCCCCTCCCTGCTGGAGGTCCGGCTGTCGACCGAGAATCGGAAGTTTTACGATTGAAGACCGACTTGTTGGAGAGCGCCAAGAGAGAAGGACGGCTAAAGATCCAACTTAAGGAGCAAGAAGCTGAACATCGCCGTAGTCTTTCGAAGACGCGAGCGTCTCTTCTGAGTTGCCCTCGGGAGCCTCCAGGACTCGAGAACGAACCTTGCACGACAGAGGCCTCGCCTCCTACGCCTCCACCGAAGAAAGACGACGGTTTGGATACTCAGTCACTTGTTGGTTCAGCTCCAGGAGGACCGTCGCATTTTCCGGATGCCGCCGCACCTTGGGACCGTGCCTCGAAATCGCGGATTGCCTCTTCCGGTGCAGCGCCGGACCGGCTCCTCTCTTCCGCTGGCTCCGGTTGGGCGCTGAGTGGTACTGAAGAGCATCTTGACAATCGAGATGGAGATGGTCCTTGGACGACCGTCGGCCCTCGGCGAGGACTTGCTCCTGCTCCTCCGGCAGCTCGCAAACTCTCTTCCGTGATGACGGGAATGGGACAAAACCGGTGGTCGGTTGGACCTGCTTTTCCACAAGGAAGCACTCCTCCTTCGGTTCTCCGAACCTCGGCTGCGCCGGGCGGATCTGGACATTCGACTTCGTCGACCCTTGCATCGCCACCGACTGGTCAGCAACATGGTCAAGTCAAACATCTGGTTCCGACACCTCCTGTTCCGGGTGCTTCGGTTGGATGCGACCCCACCGGAAGTTTTCCGGGGGCTGATGAACGTCATGGAGTTTTGCTAAAAGGAGTTGGTGATGAGTTCCGACGTGCAGCTAAAGAGGCTGCCGCGGCTTCGGCGAAAGAGGCTGTTGAGGCCTTGCTTCCTGCGGTCCAAATGTTGAACAAGAGGATCGACTCGATAACTGACACCGCCTCTGTTGAAACGGGGAGCGGGGTTTCCAAGAAAGAAGACCGACGTGTGGTGCATGCCCTTAGCCCCGTTCGTGAGACTGACGGGTCGTCTGCGAGTGATTCTTCGGCCGATAGTTCTGATGAGGACCAGCACCGGAGGACAAAGAAGAAGAAGAATCGCAAAAATTACTCTAACCGATTCGGTTGCAAGATTCCGACAGGACATAAACCACTTCCACCACCTCCTGACGGCTGCTCTGATTTTCCGACAGCCCATTTGCCTCATTTCGGGACAAAAGATGAGAACAACCTGTCTCGCCGAGAGAAGCGAGAAGAGCGCGCTGTTCTTCTGGATCGCACCCGTGTTGGTGGTACAGGTGGAGATGCGGTCGATGGCAGCCACTCGTTGCCGGTACCGGCTGCTGGATCTCACTGTTCGGATGAAACGGAACTCAGCCCTTTGAAACCTTACGTTGACCCGTTCCGTGGGTTCGAAGCCCGTCTCTGGACCCGATTGCAGTCTGCCTCACGGCACGGGCGCAGCAACACAGGAGAGCAGGCCTCTCAGTACGACCGAGCTCGCAACGAGATCCGCTACCTTGCTAAGATTCGGGACCGCCCCAACCTGTCCGACCCGCAGAAATTCTGTGGAGGAGTTGACTCTCCGCACCTGGAGACGCTTACTTGTGGTCGTGCTATCCCGGTTAAGGAGGACACAGGCAGTGGGTCTGCCCCCAATAGCACTTCCGATATGAATCTCCTTTCATCGCCCGCTTACTGCGTCGTCCGACCTGAGTCTTCCGCTGAGTGGGATCGTCGGCGAGTAGCGTGCGTCGAGTCTGACTTGCCTCGCCGGTGGCCTCGAGGCTATTGCTTGGCCTCGCTTCTCGGTGAAGCTTACACAGCCAGCTTCGAGGAGAACTTTTTGCGGATGACGAGCGGTGCTGCAGCTACGGCACCTCCGCCGTTTGAGCAAATTCATGTCACTGCTACGTCTGATAGCTGGGGAAAACACCAATTGTACCTCGACCAGCTCCTCGAGAGGATCCGATTTTATAGATCACACAATTTTCGGCTTGGGCTGATCTCACATTTGAAATGCGACTCTCAAGAAGCCAAGTTTGCGTATACGGAAGCCATCCGGGTGATTCCCTTTAACGACACGACCCTCGAGCAGTATCTCGTCTTCGAGATGGTGCTGGCGACCCGGTCCTTCATCCAATATGACGTTCTCTTGCAAGAAATCCAGCAGGAGTTCTATTTCGAGCTGGACACGCAAAAGATGATGGCCCGTACTGCAATGGGCGAGTGGGCTGATCATTATACACAGACTGAGAAGAAACTTCGCAATGTTGGCTACTTTTCGCGCGATTACCGGTACGGCAGCAACATTTTCGAAGCTCGTTCCGCCGTTTTCCAACCGGGGTTCATCGTCAATTTGGTTTCGCGCACTGTCCAGGCTTCCACGGATGGTTGTTTGAAAACGGAGGGGTCCCTTCCGTCTGGCGGATTCGTCGCGCCGGATTTACATGAAGAAGTCCATAGCCTTTCGATGAGCCGGGTTGTTCAGTGGTGCGTTAATATTGCTGCTGTCACTCGCACAATGGGACTGGCTACGCACTACCTGCCGCCTAAAGGGCGAAAAGATCGGTTGTTCCGGGGTGTGGAAACTGGCGATCCAGATGGTGTCTTCGATGAGCCTATCTGCCCGTTCAATCGCATCAACCCTCATGTTCACGGTTGGAAAGGGACGTCCCTCGACTTGCTCTGTACCGAAGTGTCTGCTAAGGAGGCGGTCCTTTCGTTTCAGCTGCGGTTTGGTACTGATTACGCTGCTGCTAAGATAGCAGGTGCGTCTGACGTCGATATCCATGCGATGTCGCTGGCGTCGGTAGACTCGGAAACGGATTACCTTTTCATACAACGCATTGTGGAAACCCACCGTAGTGAGCTTGCTGCGAAAGGTAACGCGAAAGGGGTTCCGAAAGGAAAAGGGAATAGCAAAGGTGCAAAAGGCGGCAAGCGTGGTCTGCCGCGCGAGTCTCCGAACGGGGTCGCAAAGGGCAGTGCAGAAAACCGCAATCGTGCTTCTGCCCGACCGAGGCCGCCGGTTTCCCGTTGTGGTTCCACGTTGCACTCGTCGGCCGATCACGACACTTCGGACGCCCTTTCTGGATTTGGTCGAGCAGCGGGGACGGCTACGTTGTATCAGGACCGCCAATGCCCGGATTGTAAAATCTCGCATTCATATTGGGTCCTCTCGTTTTCGGGTAGTGGTGGCGTCCAGTCTCTTTGTCCTACCGCGATTCATCTGTTGCGGGCGCGTCACAACTCAAAACATAACGGGAGCAATCTTTCGTGTGCGCGCATTGCGGGTACCAGCTGCCCTGGGGATGGTCTTGTTGTGCGTGCTGCGACTGTCGCGGCGGCTGGCGGAGCGAAAGCTTGGTTAGACGAAAGGCGCAACGAAACAGTAAAGCAAATCCTTCAAGAGATCCAGCTTTACAACATAGCTCTCGAGCTTGCAATGAAGGCCGCGTCTTCGCCGAATGTCGAAGGGTTGAAAGAACTTTGTGGGCCCGAAGACGGTGCTTCCGGGTTCGAGTGGTTGTTGTTCTATGTCATTGACTCCTACGGTGGATGGGACGACCCAACGGTGCCTGCGGCGCCTGCTAACCTCGCGGCAGCAGCCGCTCTTTACTACGGTTACTCTCCACTGCAGTATTTTCCACAAGCAACAGATTCTGGACCTGCGTTCTCGCGTTCTGCGCCCGCAGGACAGGAAGGTCTGGTAGGGTCTGTGCCCCCAGAGACGTCTTGGTACCCGGGCGAGTCTGCCTGTCAGCCGTACTCGTTGTCTTATTCGGCCGACCTATCTCAGGCAGAAGAACCGACAGGAACGGGACCTGTTTTCCAACTTGGATCCGGTTCTTGTTACTCTTCGGTTTCTGGAGCTCAGCATTTTGGCGTCCATGTCCCTGCACCGATCGCAACGCCCGAAATCCCAAGTGCTCCTCTAAGCGGACTTGCCCCTAGCGAAGAGCCAGTAGGAGACGCGATTGCTCGCTACCTCGGAACCGGTTACCTTTCGTACCAGGGCGGATGTCCGACACTCGATCCTGCGCGTAATACTCCACTTGACCCAACGAGTCCGCCGGTAGTACTTGCAGCTCATTTGGGCCTTGTGAGTCCGCCGTCCCAAATCCAGGAACTCGAAGAAAGACAACCTCCACTACCTCCCTTGCAGAATACCCGGTTGGGCGACGTTGTTCAGGTCGATGGGATTGGTACTTTCACGGTGCCTCCTGGCGGACCAAATGATTATATGAATGGTCTCAGTCTCTCTGAAGACAATCCCGTTATCGCGACTGTGCAAGCCGGTTCGGTGCTGTTATACCGCCCTTTCCTTTCGGAGGAGTTTCTTGCCGAAACGGTTGGTCCGGAAATTGGTAATGAGCAACTTGGTGAAGACACCCCGTTCCCTGAGTTACCTCCGTTTCCATCGGCAAGCGACCGGGTCGAAGACAACTTATTCGACCTTCCACTTAGCGACCATTCTGGCGCTGGAGCGGACATCGACGCGGTTGAAACAGATCTTGTGTCTAGATCCCTTGCTGTTCGAGTCGTCGCTGCGCGAAGGGTTCGCCGGGCTCGCGACAATTTCCGGGTGTCGCTTGCAGCGACAGAAACAGCAGATGAGCTGGTCCAACGACAGGTTGCCCCACAGGACGTCGCGTATTGTATTTCGCTCCTTGGCTCTGTCTTGCCGGCGGTCACCGATGAGGATGGTTTCCGAGGATTTGTGGCAGAAACATGCGAGATCTTTGCTGACCTTCTCGATTTTCGCCGATGGCGAACCTATCGAGGGAGCGATGGTGTTTTGTTGCAGCGGTTGCGGACGCGCTATATCCACGTAAAAGTTGGCTGGCGGGTCCGTCTGCCTGAGTTGTTGCGAACAACATTCTGCTGTAACGAAGTCTTTGGGTACCTCTTTTGGTCCCGGCAGTTCTTGTTCACACAGTCACTCGAGGCACGTAGGAGACATGCGTGCTGGTTGCCGGTTTCACAGCACCTCTTCTCGGTAGGTGTGTTACCAGTCGCTCTCGCACACGCGAGAGACGCCCCGTACCTTTCTGGATTGGATTTGCCTGCGAGAACTTGGGATTATGTCGTGCCGCGATACATGCCGTTTTTTCAAGAAACGGTTTCTGGCCCGGTCGTTTCTCCGACCCAATACAACCCAGTTCTTCGACTTCAAGCCCATCAGCCGTTGCACTTGATAACTAATTGCTCCAAGGTGAGGAAGGGAGCTGAACATGTTTGCGTGCTTCAGTTGTTGCCTATTCGCACCATAGAAGGACCGCTCACCGAAGAGTCTTCCGCTTCGCGGTTGCAGATCGACCCTTCCATTTGTCCTCCGACCGCTACACCTCTGGTCGTGTGGCGCCTTGACAATCGGACTTCTGAAAGTAAGCGCTTGGCGTCGATAATAGCGGCGAATGGCTCACGTCGGATCGTTGTTTTTACGACAAATACTAACCGCGGGCCGGTTACTGAAATAGAGGAATCTCTTGCTCACTCGCCGAAAACCGGAGCTGGGTTTGTTTTGGTTCGCGTAACCGAACACGAATATCGGAATGCGACGCTTCTCTGGAAGGCTCTCCTCTCCCGCGTGTTCCCTCGGTTCGCACAAGAAACGGTTTTCAAACTCGGGCTTGACCCAAAACTCCGTGACGACCCCGTCCCGGCGCAGCGGGTGGTCACCGTGCCGACCATCTGTTCCGAGCCTAGTGCTCGAATCCTCCGACGTGGGGTGCGATACCATTTGATTACGAATGATGGTCGGTTTGCCACAAAGGACATTCTCCTCAAATTCCGACATCACGGTTATTGTATCGACGGGGTTACGGAGATTGCCCGAGAACAAGGGGGCTATCCGTTGGAAACGGTTCGCTTCGGTTCTTCATGGCCGTTGGTGCTGTGGAATGAAACGCAGGACCGACATCCAGAGCATTTTATTGCCGCGGCGTCGAAAACGCATTTGCGCCATGTACATGACTTGGTCGTTATCTGCTCTGAAGGATTCATCTGACGGACCCCCGCTTGGTGGGCAAAGGCACAGACAATTCGACTGCTGCCCCTTACCTCGCCTAATCGGGTTTCAGTGTCCGGAGTCAGATTTGGAGACTCAGCCATGGTTCTAACAGAAACACTTTTGACCAGTCCGTCTTTCCCGATAACGGCTTGCATTGCGACTTTCGTTGGGCCACCCGTTGAGGATGAAACTCGAATCCTACCCGTTAACGAAGCAGAGCCGTTTCTGCCGATCCGCGCGCGACGTGTCCTACCTCTCACCGCCGCTACGGTTCGCTGTTTGCCACCGCCTCCAACAAGTCCAGTCGATAGATATTTACTCGACCCTTCGTCGCCAAAACTCGAACCGACACTCGTCCCACCTCCGTTATCACCCGGCACTGCAGCTGTTTCGGTCAGTGATGCACCTTCCGGCTGGTCACAAGTTTCTCCATACTATAATACTGAGGCGGATAGCAGTCCCGGCTCCCGATTCTCGTGGACTCGTCGCATTCCTCGACGAGGCGAACCTGAAGGACCTCCGCCTTCAGATCCAAGTTCTGGTGCGCCGAACGAGTCCGCAGCTGAACTTGTTGCTGCACTGCAAGGGACGGTCCAGAGTGTTGGAAAAGGAGTTAACGACAACCCTGCTGTTGCTATTGCTCACCCTTCTGCCCCGTCGTACCCGGCTACATTCACGACGCAAGACATCCCTCAAAATGATGGTGCCGAGGATGGAGACAAGGATGTGTTCTTCGACGCCCATAACTCGGCAGAAGGCCTTGATAGAGCGCAATTGCATTCTTTAATTGTCGATGCTTTCTCTAGTTTCACTACAACAGCCGATGCCCTAGGGCCTGGGTTGCCATTGCAACTTATTTCCGATGCAAAAGAAGATGCCTTTCATGATGTCAAGAGAGACGATAGTCCTTTACACGAGACCTCTGCTCCTGTGCACAGCTCCGTGCCCCAAGGGACTGGAGCAACAAGAAATAGCTGCACCTTGCCCGAGGCCTCTGCACCTGCAGAACGGTTGCTGCCTTCGGAAACCGAGGACGAATGTCCAACGCCATCACAAACGAGTTTCGACTCTGCCACTAGTGTGCCCCGACCGGATAAACGCGGGGTCTCGCTTTCTCGTTCGAGATCGTATGTTGTTGTTACAAACAGCCTCTCCGCGGCGCGGCAGGTCGACACCCTTGCCAAAGAAGGGATCGTTGTCGATGACGTTTTCCGACAACACACCGAGATGTACGATTTGAATAAAGTCCGACGACTTTTCGGAGAAGGAAGCGATTGCAAGCAACCTTCGCGCGAGCGTCGGTACCTTGTTCTTTGGGTTTTTGGGGACGCGGATACGAAGGATTTCCCTTTAAAAGCCGCGAGAGCGCTCCGAGAATTTGACCACGACCTTTTCATTGTGGCAAAGGGTGCTCAACCGACGCTCGACAGGTGGTTCGAAACAACCGATCGTGTTTTGCCTGTCACCGTGATCCCTACGCCTGAAGATACTCGCAGCGATTCAAAGGGACGTCGAATTTGGGCTACTGCCCTTGCTTCCTCCGGACCTACGGAGCTCTATTGGACAGAAGCAACAGGAATCCGTCTTCCGATATCGGCTCTTGCCACCGTGCAACGGAACGCTCTTGCGGTCGGGATACCGAAGAACGGCGTTACCGTCCTAGGGGGAACTCTTAATCGACCGTATGGCACTTCCGATTACTCGGTGAGAGTTTTGCCGCAAGAAGGGACTTTGATCCTTAAAGTCGAAGGAGGCATCTCGGAAACCGACCTACGCTTCGCGTTTCCTGGCCTTGACCCTTCGGTTTGGACCTGCATCACGGCGGCGCCGCACTATAGCACAGCCTCCCCTCATGAAGATTCGCGTGCTGCATATCGAGAACACCTCCTCCGGTGTATGCACTACAAGTCGTCGTCCATTCAAAACGAAATCAGACAATTGCACCGACGAGTTCGCGAAAAAGAACGGGTTGCCGTGTCAGATGCGAACTGCAGTCTGCATGCCTTTTGGACGTTCCTTTGCCTGCTCTGGCACCTTGTAGGCGGTCTTTTGTTTGCAACTGCCCGTTGCGATTACTTAGAGATGCTCTCCTCTGTCATTTCGTTTTGCGCTGCAACATCAGTCGTTGCCAAAGATTTGCACTGAAAAACCCGGATACGTCGGTTGCAGGAGTGCCTCCACGCTTCCGTGTACCGCGTTGGAGACGTTCCTCATGAATTGCGCACTAAGATCGGACTGCATAAGCAAACCCAGCTCGCGCAAAATCCATTTGGAAAAACGGCGGACTTCGCGACGGATCCACTTTGCAATCGAGTGTGGCTCAGCGTACCTTGCGGCCCGAAGAAAGACCAAGTAGTAGTGACGTTGGCTTTGCTTGACAGTGGGTGCTTCGTGTCACTCTACTTGCTTGGACACTGTCTGGCCTCGGCATATTTCCTCGCGGCGTATGGGGTGCCGTTTGTCACAATTGCGGGTATTCACGAGCTCGTGAATTTGGGAGCACCAGACAGGCCCCTCCGGGAGATCCTCCGTTACGTTTACACTGTCGTGCATTTTGGCGGATGGACGATCGCGCAGAAGGGCTATACGTGGTGGAAACTTGGAGGTGGCAGTCCGCGAGTCAGTGTGGCGCAGGGTGCAGCTCCGGGAGCGGGGCGGACCCTCAAATCTGGATGGGATTTCGCGCAAATGAACAAGGATGGCCTTCCAATTTGCCACCCTGCGAAGGCTCCAGAGATGCAGGCGCGGGGGTTTGGGGCCATGGTTGTTAGTTGGCTCTACCCTACGGATTCATACATCATCGGCCACCAAACCATGGCTCGAGTTGGATACAGTCTTCCACCGTCTGGACCTGGAGAAACCCTTGGTGCATACCTTTTCACCCGCATGTACCACGAAGCCACTGGACAAATTGCTCCATTGCTGGTCCCGCGGGCCCCAACAACCTCTCGCAATATCAATTACTACGAGATGTTCTGCCGACAAAAGGGCGTTGACGCGAAGGATCGGAAAGCAGCAAGAGGAAAAATCGAAGAAATGACCAAAGTCATCTCGCCGCCACAAACAGTCCAGAACTTCCATCGACTTGTTGCCGACGTTGAAGTTGCTGCACAACTCTCGACGTCACCTCTGACTGACGGTGCTGCAGTTCCGGCGTCAAAGGAGCCTGCTGAAGCGAGCTCTCACACTCGTGCTTTCGGCCCCGCAGAAGAGATTCTTCCATGTCTTGTTTCAGTTTTCGGGCAATATGTTGCTACCGACTTGCCGGAAGTCGATGTCGCTAACCTTTGCAGAGCGACGTCCCTCCCTTCTCCACATCTCGAAGTAGGAGCACATTCTGCGTACGCAGCATCTGTCGCCGAGTATGCATCTGCCGTTACCCGTGATTTCGACGACGAGGAAGAAACACCCTTCTTTTCTGACAACGATTTTTCGGACGATAGCGATGAGGATGCGGAGTCACAAGCTTACCGTGCCGCCCTTGACACGAGTTCGCAACCGGGCATAGACGATCCATTACGGCGACTTATGTCGGACCAACAAATCAGATCTTGCAATGAGTGGGTGCGCGACGCCGAACACACCCGCCGACTCCGTGCCACCTGGAAACCTCGTCTGCTTGCCGGCAGTGGATGGACAATGGTCGTCCTGATTTTTTTGTTGATTTTTTCGATGGCCGTCGGGTTGGTCGAATCACTAAGGCGCCCTCCGTCCTTCGTTTCGAACGCGGACCGACGCGATGAATCGACGAAGACTAACCTTGAGCCGAAAATCCTCGGGTTGTGGGAAAACGACGCTCGGACCTCTGCACAAATCGCTTCGTCGATGCTGCGGTCCGACCGCACTGAAGGAGCCGTGCAGCAGGATGCCGCAAAAGGCTACTTTCAATGGCTCTTGTCGAGCCGTCTTCAGAGGTTTATGCCTTGGGTTTTTAATGTAACCCTTGCACGCCCGTTGCGAATGTTCTTGGGATGGATGCCCTCTCCGCAAATTTTCTGTGCAGGGACCCAGACATTCTTCGGTCGCCTCCAAGATCCCGGGTTGACAACCGACGAGATCTGCGATATCTTTGGGCAGGTGGACCCTTCGCTCGTAGACGATCCTGCCGTACTCACGCGGTTGTCAGACTTGGTTTCGGCTCACGCCCGCGGGGAAAACAGTACCCCGTTGTCGGTGCTACATGACGGTGAAAGTTCGTTCCTCACGGACAGTGATCCGGTTTTCGTTGTCCGCCAATATCGGCGAGCAGGACACCCGGACCTTGCACCCGTTTTACCGCCCGCTGGTGATGTTCCTGACTTGCAGCCCGGCCTCTCTGATTCCGAGGACGAAAATATTTCTGGTAGCGTTCGGGTCGATGGACACATCCCGGTTTCCCCGTTATTGGAAATCAGCCCGTCGGGGGATCCTAGTTCTGACTTCTTACCCACCGACGCCGGTTCGGAAACGACGGAAAAGGAACAAAGTTCAAGCTCGGCCCCGTGTGCCTCACAGAACCGAGCGGTACATCATACCAAAAGGGCCAGGGCGTCCCAACGGGAGGCAGCTGAGAAAAGGGTCAAGTTCCTCAACATGAACATCCGCGGGGAACAATTCCTGATACCGTACGTCGACGATTTGAACTTCGTGTTCGTTTCCGCGTTGCAGTTGCTTTTCCGGCTCATCCTTACCCTGGTGCGCAGTCTCCAAACCGGATGTACGTTCAGCCTTAAAAAATTGGTGATAGCGCAAGTGGTGGACATGCTAGGGTGGAGGATCGACGTGCCACGGCGTTGCAGGGTAGTCGACCCGGACAAGGCTGCCGCGATTCGCGCTTTCAAATGGGATGCTGTGTGTGCTAGCACGAAGAGTTTAACACAATTTTTGGCTATCTCATCGTATTTGCGCGATGCGTTTTACGACCTTGATACCGATTACCTGGCGTCCTTCCAAGATCCCAAGAAACACAAAGGCATGAAGGGTGACGCCAAGGCAGCGGCTGCTTTCGAAAAGTTGATAAAGGAGCTTTCATCGTCAGTCGAGCTATCCGAAATTGATGTTCCTGCTGCTCGGAGCTGGTACTGCGCCGCACCTGGCGAATGTGGAATTCTCCGGATCTCTGTTGACGCTTCGTTGACTCGCGTCGCGTGTTTCGTTGTGCAAAAACAAAAAATTCGCGACCGATATGTCAACCGCCTGGTCCTAGCAATGTCCCGCAAGTTCTCCAAAGAGGCCAAGAAGCGCGTTGGCAGCCACTCTCTCCACGTGGAGATTAAAGCCCTTGTCTTCTTTGTGCGCGCAGTCCGGGCGAAATTGCCAAAGGCCGCATATGTGTTGCATTTTGACAACTCGGTCTTGTCTCTCAGTCAGCTTTGGTCGGTCTGTGCAAACGGAACGATCATGCGTTCACTTCTATCGTCCGTTACCGAAGTCCTTACGGCGCTGTCGCAGGACGAATCTTATTTGGTTAATGTCGGGAGAGTCGGCAACATCGCCGACACAGGGACGCACCAAAAACCGCTCCCTGAGGACGTGAAGCGGGAACGTTTCGAAGATCTAGTGGACCTCATCAAACAACTCTACGGGAAAGACAAACTCGTCATCCCGAAAGTCGAGGCCCCGGCAAATGATGAGGCCCCTCGTCCTCTACTCGCTAGGCGATATGCTTGCCTTTGCAGCGCTTCAGTTGCCTACCACGACCAGTCTTGCGGCGCCCTCCTGTCACATGGGCTCTCTGCTTTCCGATACGGCGCCCAGTTGTGCGCAACACACGCAATTCGTAAGTCGTACCTCCAGGCTAACGTTCCGACGAGGCACCTTTTCCGCTTGAGAGAGCCAGGTCAACTCGACGCACTTTCAAGATACAGCGTCCAAATCACTTTCCCGTCTACAGCAGCAGATGTCGTCTGTGCCCCTCCGCTGTTGGTTTGTTCGGTAGAAGAACTCGAACAAGGCTTCGAATTGGTAGTAACGGCTGTTGGTTCCAAAAACGTGTCCGTTACCCCTAAGGTCGTTGTGACATGTGTTACTTCCGGTGTCCGGGTCACTCCCCGGTTTCTCGTCGTGGTCCAGATTGAGAATTTCGAGCACGCCGACGCCAGTCCGGAGCACTCGCTGTTAGAGCCGGAGTTGCGCCTGAACTTGCTCGAATACCGGACCAAGCTCACTCAGGGCGCGTCGGATGAGGAAGTCGAGCGGAAAATTGAAGAGCGCCTCCAGAAAGCTCGTAATCGCAGCCGCCTCTCCTATGAGGATTGGCACGCCTCCACAGCATCACTGTTGATGGATCGTTTCGACAAGACATTGCCTTTACTTGTAAAGTGTATTGTTGTCAAGTCTTGTCTGGTTTTGGGTGAGGCTTTGTGGACGGAAGGAGTAGAGTTCCCAACGATCGAAATCGCTCGCGCGTACCATCCAATCAAGCCCAATTACACAGGTTGGGGACGTTTTCGGAAAATCCAGCTGGAAGGAATCCTCGCCAAGATTTTGGACTTCCACAGGCAGGAGATGGTTTTGGAAGGCCTGCTTGCTGATTATCTCCCTTTCGTGCATGGCGTTCCCGCCCACGTCAGCAGTATGTTTTTGGCTGTCCGGTTGCGAGACATACTTGCGCGACTTATTTGCGAGGCGGTAGAACTATACAAGGGCTTTATGTCGGCCGTAATGCCGCTCTTCGCCTGTGCTGACGTGTGGAAACAAGTCTTGCTGGCGCTGCAGAAGACCTCCGCTTCTGAGTACTTGTCGTTGCGTTCTTCGCCGAATAGCTCGTCTTCATTGGGCGCGAATCGAGGAGTTGTCGTCGACAAGCCTACTGTCCCCCTCGAGTTGCCTTTAAAACGACCAGTCTCACTTTACGTTTTTCGGGTCAAATCCGACGCGCAAGATTCGATTGCGTTGACCCTTGCGCCAAAACGGTCTTTCCCGCCGGAGGGACGACGTGACCTGCGTTTCCGAGGAGTGTCTGAGCAGGACGCGCCTTACTTCAGATTCCAGCGGATACTCCGCACCCTTTTCGCGCCTGCTGTCCACCCTCCCCGGCCTTGTAACTTCGTGGTTTACGACCTTGTAGCTGGAGCTGACAACCGAGAGGAATGGGAGTCACTGGCTAGTCGACGAGGTGGTTATCGTGTGGACATGATCCCTGCGGGACGCGTTTGTTTTCCAGGGTTCCCAGTAGCCGGGTTTGAATGTAGGATTTGCGTCCTTACTAATATCGATGGATGCGCGAATTTTTACACTTGCGGGCGAGCGGGCGTTTCAGCCGACGATGTCAAACGACAAGCTGCTGGTCCTTCGGCACCTGATCATCCGCCTCTAGATCCAGACAATGCCCTTCCGCCTCGCCTACCGATACCTGATGAAATTGCGTTCCAAGATCAAGAAGAAACCGCTCCGGACGCGACCCGTGAGGAGTATGACCGCAATGCACGCCAAAAGCAAATGAACGACTTATGTGCGTCTATTTGTGACGGACTGCCTCCAGACTGCACCGGCCGATACTCTGCACCTTCTCCCGAGTACGCTGTATGGATCGATGTCGTTGTATAAACTTGCATTCCCCGAAGATAGGCTCCAATCGATCGAGCAAGTCCTTGTCACAGACGGACGAAATGAGGTAGAGAATTTCCACGTGGAAATACAGGAGACCGTCCTTCGTATTGCCATGGTTCGAAACGATGCCATCAGATATTTCGGATGCGTCCTTCCGGGACTCGTTGCGCTCCGTGGTTCTGGTGTGGACTGTGCGGCACACACGCTGTTGATCAGTTTTAAGCATCAGCCAACCTTGTACGCGAACCTCCCGCCAACGGTATGCCATTCACTCCACGCCGGATCTCGGCTTGAGCTCCCTCACATTTACGAGCTCGAAGATGCCCGAGCACGGGGAGTGCCTGAGACTGGGTTTGCAGGAGTGCTCCGCGCAAACCGTACGAAACGCGGGCAGCGTACGACAGAAAGAATCCTTCGTCAACTCATAGCGGATGCAAAACGGTTCGCATTCCAAGGCGGCCTCCTGTTAGTCCATCGGGCGCATAAAGGATGGCTCTTATGGGTGCCTAATGCTGTTGTCGAGGAATGCCTGGGCCTTGAAAAAGTCTGTGTCCTACGGCGGATACTTGACTACTTTCACACACACAGAAAGACCATTGCGGTCCACTTGCCGTCTGCCGGTGGATGGAGTCCAGGCGACTACACCACGACGATATTTTGCGGCATGCCCGGGATTTAGTGGCTTTCTGTTTCGAGTGTCTCATGACCCGTTCAGCAGTCCCCAGCTTAGGATAGGTTTGCCTAGGGGAGACAAAGCAACGACGCTGTGGCCGGGACGGACCTTGTTTATCGATTACATGACGCATTTGCCGAGGTCGTCGATGGGCAATACGTCAATCTTCACAGCTGTCGACGCGGGCGGACCCGTTCTTTGGGCCACGGCTTTGCCGGCAGCCACTGCGAAGGCAGCGGCTAGGGAAGTCACAAATATCAACAAGTATGCGGAATGGGGCGGATATGAACTTATAAGGTGCGATAACGGATCGCACTTCTTGGAGGAGTTCATAGATGAGCTTCAGTTCTTACACACAGAAGAACTTTCAAAGAACGCGCCGGAGACCCGACATGGTGGCTGTTGGCAGCCGACTGCCCTAGCTGTTGTTGAGACCCCGCTTGCCGAGATCAATCACGGATTCCGAACGGCATTGTTCACCGCAGACTGCTTCGTGCGCTCAGCAGAAGGTATGCTCGAATTTCAGGAAGACCTTGCTGTCACCGATTTGCAGAACGATTCTTCTTGGGATACGCGGTTGCAGGGCATCGTCCGCCGCCTCTGCGATAGGCCCCGCTTGTCGGACGGCGCTAGTAACCTCGTAGCGTACCGCGGCCGAGGTCTTCGCGTACAGGCCGTAGAGCCGCATCTGTTGTGCGTCCCGGTCACCGACCCTGCGCCCGCCGAGATTGGATCTTCGTTGGCAACAGCTCTTTGTCGCACAGTTGCGGAGCGCAGAGCCCAGATGGATGCAGCTAACGTTGCAAAGCGTAAGCAAAGGATGGGCGATGTGAGAAACGATCTTTCGCTCTGGTTGCGCAAGGGCCAATTCGTTGCACGATTGAGGCCTTCTCCCAGGAAGTGGGAGCCAAAATTTATTCGCCAATTTTTTGTAATTGCGAAGGCAGCGACAAACTCGGCATACATCGAACGGCTCGACGGTCGGACATACACGGGCTTTAATCCGATATCGGTCAGCCAGATTGTGCCGATCTCAATGGCCCTTTCCGCTACGCGTGCATATCTGGTAGGCAACGGACTAAGTAACGAAGAGGTCAACAAACAGCTTCGCCACCTCTTGGCACTTGGCGTTGTGTACATTCCTGAAAATGCTGCGATCTCCGAACTCAGAGACACAGACCCAGCGGCAGGAGACATGTTCAAAACGTTCACAAACGAAGCGGGTACGATTGTTGGCGTCTGGAATGTGGATGGCCTCAACCGGACGCTCGAAAATTTCAGCCGATGGCGACGCCTTCAACTTCTCTTGCGAACGACGCACATCCTTTTTTTGCTTGAATCTAAAATTTCGAAACGAGAAGAGCATCGTTGGACAGTTGCACTGTTGGAACTCGCTAACGAAACGTGTCACCACGATTGGAGTGTTCATTTCGCAAGTTCGGTAATGCGCCCCGGTAACTTCGGCGTCGCAGTCCTTGCTCGTCGAGCTACACAGGCGTCACTCGAATCCGGAGTCTTGCGTAGTACGGCAGGTACCGACGATTATGACGTTGCAATCGAGGGACGAGTCGTCACGGCATCGACTCCGAACCACACTTTTGTAGGTGTTTACTCGGTGAACTCACGGGCTGGACTCCGACGGATACATACGCGCGAAATGTTCGACAACCGCTTGTCAGAATATCTGTGTGGTTTACGGGATGATGTCGGACGGGTCCGCCCGATTGTTGTTCTCGGAGACTTCAATGCATTGTTCGACCTCAGTGCAGCGGGCATTTCGCCGAAGGCACCGAGAACGGATGAAAACGCAGAAATAATTCCAAGCTTGACGGAGCAAGAACATCATTTATTTCACTCAGTCCTCGCATTAACGCATTTTCGGCGAGTTTCTGCAACACAGGTTGACAGAAAGGACGGCTGCACATACACGTTCACCCCGCCTCGCTGCGATCCATCGATCGGTTTTTCATTGGACCACTTGCTTGTCCATGGGGCCGTGCGTCGGGGACCGTCACTACAGTCCCGCTTTAGATTCCTTCGACCCACGACTTGGGAAACACAAACTCCAGAACAGGAACCGCTAGAACTAGCAGTCTTGCAACCGGTGCATAGCGATCATGGGTCACTCATCACATCTGTGGGCCACTAACATCTCAGGGATGCCGAAGAGGCGTTGGTCAAGTTTATGAGACACGTCTTCCCTGAGATGTCAAGTTGTGGGGTCACCGACAGATTGTAGATGAGATGGTGCGTTACGATCCACACAGAAGGTACACGAATGACGAATGTAAGAATTTCTGCAACAATTTCAATTCGAAACACGGTTCCCTGCATTCGTGAACTGCGAAGAAAGACTCGTTCTCTGTTTGGAATTCCTCGTCTTTCTTGCTTGACTGTGATTGAGGAGTAGATTGTAGGTGTTGTTAGATCACTCCATCGTAGCTCTTCGTCTTTTCACCGTTAGAGATGGTTGTTGCCCGCCCTTTCGACGGTGCAACCATGTAGATTGTGTTGGATTGTATCATCCCAAAGGCAGTAAGTGCGTTCGCCTCTTCCGTTTGGATTCTCATGTTTTTCTTCCCATCCAACACATAGGAGCTAAGTACTTTCGCACGGTTGCTGTCTAGCCCGCGCTACATCTTGAGACATTTTTATTGATAGATATATATTTCCACATATTTGATATCCATAGTGACTCCGCATATTGTGAACTACATAACTAGCAGTTACTCCGTTTACCTAGTTTTCAGATAGTTTGTTGTTCTTCCTTATTGATTCGACCTAGGCACGGCGTTGCATATAGGGTTTATAGAGACGCGACCTCTGCGCGCCTCTTGAAACGTAGATATACTCACCAGCTGTGAGTGTATTCTTTTAGGTGTCCTCTCGAGACCCCGTTCTTTTTCGGTATCGTCAATCGTTAGTCGCATATTCGCTACCACGCAGATCACGACATAGACTTTGCATCCACAACCGAGCATTAGTGACGATTAGATAAGGCGTCTAGGTTGACCTCCGCAACCTTGATGTTTTGGATTGTTGAGGGACACGATCGCTTCGACATCCTCAACGAGCTTGTATCTCAAGATTCCATGATTAGTGAGTTAGGTCGACCTCTGCGACCGTAACATGGCTAGGATTTCTCCAGACGCAACTCTCTCTCGAAACGTTGCTCTCCTCTCATTTTCCTTGATGCCTCTTGTTCGCCTGTGGTCCAACTGTCGATCAGAGTCTTGTCTTGTGCTGAGAGATTGAGGTTCGGGTATCCTCTTGGTTTTCCTGTCTAGGTGATCCCACGTTCTTTTCAGACCCTTGGAGGATGAGTTACTTTCACTTCCCCAAAGATGAACAACACGTTTGATGTAATAAATGATGTGGTAACTACATCAACAACTATCAAGATGTGAATAGCGATGGTGTACCAGCAAGAATTGAAGAGTGCCAATACTCGCATTGCCGTCGGTCTGTCGTTGACTTGTCCCACTTGAAGATGTGCGTCAAGATGTATGCTGAAATCCACTGGTTGAGAAATTACTACACATCGGTAAACTCGAGAAAAAACTTCGACTTCCCCATCATTTCATGCCCCTGACTTCCCCTTTTCCCCCACCCAACTCCTCTCTCTTCCAATAAATTCCCTCTTTCAATTTCATTTCTCTCTTTCCTTAGTTTTTCTGGCACCCACTTATCTCACGCTTGTTACCACGCTATTTGAATGTTGCCCAGCTACTCGTTTGTCTATTGATTATCTGTATCCTTATTCTGATCTTAGGCTTAGCTACTCGTGTGTCTGCTCTATCCGTGATACCTAATCCCCATCAAGACCACATCAGGTGTCGCTTTGTCTATGGAGCAATCATTTGAATAAAGAATTTATTTCAACAAAATATAATTCTCCTTATTCGTTATGGTATGCTGGCTGTACTAGCAGCCTTAGAAGTGACAAGAATCTGAATATGACAATTGTAGATCATTGCAGTAAATTAGTTTTATCGTTTTTATGCTTGAAGTGTTCATCTATGGCAGCTATTCAATATAGTCTAGATGAATAGCCTCCACCTCCACAGCCGAATATAGTCGTGCAGGCTTTTGTTGGGTTTATGAAGCTTGATCAGATCCGCAAGAACATTCTTTGTCTTGTCTTCTTCATGTGATGAACACATGGCTCGAACGTAACAAGAACATCCGTTGTTCTAGAACACAGGACTCGCTAAGTGGTTCTGCTGGTGGCGTCTGAGAGCAGTTCGCCAACCTGCCTGTTGGAGCCCACAACGAGGCCAGAATCATCACTGCCTCATCTTTGCTTGTTGGAGCCCACAACGAGGCCAGAATCATCACTGCCTCATCTTTGCTTGGTGGAGCCCACAACGAGGCCAGAATCATCACTGCTTCATCTTCTTCAAAGCGTCAACCCCTTACAGTGGAGACCGAGCTGCATCTTCGTGTGGTACAACCTGTTCGTGGATTAAGCTGCCGTACCACGAGCACAACGGAAGTGCTGGATCAGTCTGGTAAAAAAACTTTCGTCGACCATCATGCCGCGGCCTAACACGTGCAAGAGGGTCCGTTCCTGCACTCGTCAGACGGGTGTGGTCGCTTTGTGTATTAAGGCTTCATCCGGGCATCCATCTCCTTCTCCAGAAGCGAGCATCTTGGGAGATGGATTCCAGGAAGGTCTAAGTGTAGCAGTGGAACTACTACTTCGCTGGTTGGGCCATGTGTGATGGTGGGTGGCACGCGGCGCAAGAAGTCCACCAACCTGCGTAGATCAGCCTCTTTATGCCAGACTTCGTGGTGTGGCGAAGCGCTATGATGAACAATGGTTTTTTTAAATGATGTTTTGTTCTCACATTTGAGACAGTTGGTGGAGTCGGACTTGGAAAAAGAAAAACAAAAAAGTTACTTAAGCTGATCAAACCTCGAACTCCAAGGACTTATGCTGAATATCTCTCATCGCCTCCTGGAAATTATGTTGTTAACCCCTCGTGGCAGCACTTACCGCTAATAGCGAAAAAGGAGACCAGTCCTGCCACACCGGTAAAGCCAGTGGAGGTGCCGAGCAGTGTCAATTCGGTAAAGACAGTGAAGGCGCCGAGCAGCGCCAAAGCGGCAGAGAAGCACACGAAGGCGGATACAACCAGAACAAAACAACCAAAGGAGGACCCGGTAAATTTTCAAAAATCAAAGGAGGACCGGAAATGATTCTTATTCACTAGTTGGTATGCTGTCCTCTTATTCTTTGTGATAAGTGTTGTCTCCTCTTCTTTAGGTTGTTGTTGTATTAATGCTGTTGTCCATGTTTGTTCCTCTTCGTTTCGACAACTTGACTTCACGCAATAAAGCAGACAAATAATTTGTCTACTTTCGGATTATCCTCGTCTTTTTCCTCTTACTTTTCCTCTTGCCTATTTTTCACTTTCAAGAACACTACGATAACGACGGACACAGGCAGCGGAGAGCAACGGGGATGCCTTACCGAAAAAGGATGAAGCTCTAGAAAAGCTATCCGTGGACATGAAGAACAAGGCTCGCGAAATGCAAAGCGATGTGCCGGATCTTGAGGCAATTAAGCGGCAAACGAAGAATAGCCGCAACTTTATTATGAAGACAGCTACAACAACAGGAAATCCATCTTCCCCAGCATCTATTTGGTCTTCCAATTTTTCAACAGGGAATAAACAGGGAGAACGAGCACTAAGACGGGCCTGAAGATAAAACCTCTCGGAGCTCTTCTAATATTGCCTGGATTATCGAATGCGGAAGGGCAAGTTTCGAGAAAGATACAGCTATACTCAAAGACCTCTCGAGCACAACGTCCAATCGCAACGAGCTGGCCTCTGCGCGCAAAGACGCGATCGAAAAGATGAAGGAGCTCGGGGACGACTACAAAGACCAGCTCGAGCATGTGAACGAGCAGGCGACCAGCGCGGGGAAGGCGATCGAGGAGTTCGATAATCTATACCTACAAGTAGTAGAGTTACGGCGCTGTAGGCCTTGTTATAGTGTTGCCCCTTTGGTTGTACCTTTGTAAATGGAGGACTGTGAAGAAGTATTTACTATAGATTTGAAGCCTGGCCCAGAAGGTCCTCGTATGATAATGCTCATGTTGTCTTTAAGGCTTATCAGATAATATTAGAAATGAGGCCAAAACGCAAGTCAACTCTAAGAGAAAAGAAGTTCGATAATCTTGCATACCTAAAAGTAGTATATGCACCTAAATAAAACAACCGGTTAGTTTTACCTCTGGCGTGTAGCCCCTCCAAGAATATAGGCAAAGTTACGGCGGCTTGTGGTGTTGCTTTGGTTGTGCCTTTCGCTTTAAATCGACGTCGTTCAACGTAGTAGGACTCGTCACTTTCCTTCACGCTTCACTAAAGATAAGTACTCGCTTGCCTCCTCCAGCTGCCACGATTCCGAACTCGCTGGCACCATGGCTAATCGACTCCTCTCGTCGCGAGGTGTTATATATGTTCCAGGGCTCAGGGCGGGGGGCTCCCCCTCCGATCTAACTTTTTGAGGGGGGGCCTCCCCGCCCCGGCCCCTCTTTTCGAGAGGCTGCCGGGCGGGAAGGCCTCAAAGCGCTCACTTCTGACCCCTTCCCGCTTCTTGCATGTACCCCACAGACCTGGCAAAGGCTGGGCCCTCTTGTCGTGTTGCGTGTGCCCGACAGAGCTGGCAGAGGAGGCAAGGCGGGGCCCACCCCCTTGGCGTAGGGTTGGGCACATGCAACACGCCAAAGGGGTCCAGCCTTGCCACCTTTGCCAGGTCTGTCGGGTACATGCAGCACGCCAAGGGGGTGGGCCCCGCCTTGCCTCGTCTGCCAGCTCTGTCGGGTACACGCGACACGACAAGAGGGCCCAGCCTTTGCCACCTTTGCCAGGTCTGTAGGGTACATGCAAGGAGCGGGAAGGGGTCAGAAGTGGGCGCTTTGAGGCCTTTCCGCCTGGCAGCCCCTCGACAGACCTGGCCAAGAAGGTGGCAAGGCTGGACCCCTCTGGCGTGGTCCACCCCTGATCCATCCACAGGGGGGGGCCTCCCTCCCTGGTACATATATACATAGATCCTCGCAACCAACTGGATTTTCATCCTTATCCCTTCACTGCGTCGATGTTATTAGGTGTAAGCGAGCTCTCTATAACACAAACACTGATAAGTGAGAAGTTGTTCCGTATTGTAGTAGAATGATTTATAGAACGGATTTAGGATGGACTTGGATGGATTCGATGGACCCCCCGAAGCCTTCCGACCCTCCTTGAAATGCTGGGAAGTCCTTCCGATCCATCCGGTCCTGGATCTGGCACCCCTATAGATTATTCTACTATAACTATAGAGGTCGGCCCTTGCCTAGGTGGTCGTATGATATACCCATGAAGAGGCGGATGCGTCCGATCTTGTCCTATAATAAAAATCACGCAAAAGCGTAAGCTTTGGCCACTGGCTTTTGCTAGCTCCAGAGTCTAGGAATGCGCCGGATTTGAATGGCAGCGACTGTTCTCACTCGTCGCCATGATCGTGATCCGTGCCGTTTTCTGTCTTGGTCTTTCACTGGTTCCGCGTAAGATCGTTGCTTGAGCGCAATGACTTCCAGAAAAATGGCGACGCCTACTCTGTTCAAAATTTTAGCTGTTTCTTTGCGGAGCCATCATTCACACCGCGAAGGCCTTGATGATATGGAGCAGCTGACGACGCGGAAGCGATGCGCAATAGCTGCGCCCTGGCCTTGCGTTCATGGCATCCCATGACATTGGGCCCACGTTGCTGCCATAATTTTAGGGCCTTACACAGTCAGCGACCCCTCGGCGCTTCTGTTCTGGTCCTCTTTCTGTCTCATTGCGTCAATATCAACCCCACTCGCCCACAAGAGCTTCGCAGTGCGTTCGGGTGTGTTCGGGTGTCTATTCTGAAAGGTAGCGTTGGCGCTTTTCTATTCTAATGAAGAGCAGAGAAGAGAGAGTAGACCATGTGCTATACATGGCGGTTGTGGACCTCGAGCACCTCGGCAGGTACAAGTCGAATTTGGGCGGTCCTGTTGGGGAGCACTTTTTTAATCTGAACGGAGAGGAATTCCAGCCGCCGATCGGCGCCATTAGGGGCGCCAAGGGACTATTAGAGTCCAGAGGGGACTTCGCGAAGGCGCTGAAGTCGGCTATAGAAGCTTTGGGTGATCCTGTCGATCCCAAAAGTTAAGTCTTTCTACCACACTAATAAATATGTACTATACGAATACGTATAATAGACGTCCAGACGATTTTCCCCATCTTCCATCTCTACCCTTCTCTGTATTGTCTTCTAGCACTCGTCTCAGTCCTGTAATAAGGATTCTTTTCATCTCGTGCAAAATAAGACTCTTGACTATCTAAGGATCAAAAGCTTATTATAAAGAGAGCCGCATCGGCTTCAGCCTCTCTTTATTATAGGGAGAGCCGCATGAATAACAATAACTATAATAGATACTGCCGCATCCTCGGCTTGACCTCAGAAGGTTAATGTCACTGGCGTCTTGTCTAATCACTGTTCAAGCTTCCATAACTTATCCTCTAACGCTGCGACACAGGCCGCATCACGGCGCTGGAGAAGTGGGCCGCAACTTCTGTGCAGCACGATGAGAAAGCGAATAAGCTAGACAAGCTAGTGAAGGAGATCACAGCGGATTTTGACTTAAGGCTAGTTTTTCACTATGGTCCCATGTGATGTGTGGACTATGCTGAGGGGAGTCCCTGACCTAACAAGGCTGGTTTGATTTCACTATCGTCCCATGTGTGTGGACTCTGGATGCTGAGTCGACGTTGAGTCCTCCTCGATTTAAAGTGGAGTCCCCCTCCTCCTGCATTTCAAACTGTATGCCATGAATGGCTTAACTACTACTACTACGTACTCCTGATACTGATAGTACTACTAAAATAGCGGAGGAATGCGGCAGCTTACTCAAGTAGCCTCCATAGTGAAAAATTGTAGCGCTAACTGACGCTGCCGATACGAAAATGGAAGAAGCAAACAAATCTCTCTTCGACAAGTTCACTCGCGTTGCTTATGAGGTGCAATCAGTGAAAGACGCCCGTTATGCTGTCTGGAAAGGTAATAATATAGTGCAGATATCTGATATCACACTTCACTTTAGATACTGACTGAACATCTCCTGCAAACAACTCTACTTTGGAGAAATCTCAACACAGCTGCTGCTACTGTGCTGTCCTTTGGCATTGTCATTCTGTGACTTCCAAAAACAACAGGAACTGCATTTTGATTTCCTTTTTTTCCTAGCTGTTCCTTTCCATCCTTATGCTTATTCTTCTTTCTCCACTGCTTCACTTTCTCACTTATAAACACTCACAGAGATGAACGCCGCAAAAAAGAAGGAGCTGGTCGACGCATTTCCGGAGGTTTTAAAGAAGGCTGACACGGTTATGGCGGAAGTCGAGGCAGAAAAGCCGGGTGATGATGCACACGACGTCGAAGCCTTCATGCGCAGAACGTGTACAGCGATGAAGAAATATTATGACGAGGATCTGAAAAAACCGCTGGACAGTCCAGCAGATGAACCTAAGTTGTATAAGAACTAGGTCAGGCAAAGGAGTTTCGTGTTCATCATCATTATCACATATACTCAATATCAAGATGTGTATCTATTAGTAATTGATGTGGCCTCAATATCAGAAGATTTAGTTGACTAATCGCTTACACGAAAGAAACGGAAAAATCGAAGTACTACTTGAGCGCATAAAAGAACAAAATGAAACAATCGTGAGCACATTAGTGATAGTTCTTGCACTGTAAAACGTTTCTCATCAAGCGCCGCCGACAAGATTAATATCTGTGAAGAATTATGGATCAGCAGTAAATCGTATCTGCATCAATCATGAAAAATCTAGGTCGAATTATGATCAATTTGTAGCATGTGCATGTCGTATCTCTAGTACAACCAGTAATCCTATCCGCATTATTCCGACAAACTGTCAGAGAATGAAGGTAAAAATTGAAATAATCAACAAGAATACCATATTACCATATTTTAGCTGCTTTCATATTCAGTACGGAAGGATAAAGAAAAGATAGAACAGATCTCAACAAACACAAGAGACGCATAAGTAGAAAAATACCAATCATGAACTTACCTTAAAAGATGTAATGATGTGCCAAGCCTTGGAGAAATGTTCCTTCCACATGTTATTGCCGTATTTATTTAGATGTTCCTTCCACATGTGCCACGTCTAATCCGTATAAAACTTCCTTCAGGCTCACTATTTAGATGGCTGACCTCCTAGAGAGTTACTTACTCGGTTATTTTAGTTTCTCGAGTATGCAACTGTTGTAACAAAAGCAGATTTATGCAATTCTCCTAAGTGAATATACATCGCTACGGCTGGAGCAAGAGTCATACAACTGTACACGAACTGACTCATTTCTGCTAGATGACTGCTGCTGCATGTTGAGACAGATGTATATCTAAACATCAACCCGCGTGTCCAAATGATCACCTTGATATGCCAAAATCCCTCCGAAAAAAAAACGTTTATTTGGTCCAAGTTACCTTATCCCAACACTTGTCAGATGCGTTCTTCCACTTGCTGTGCTGCGATATGGAGCGAGCTGTATGCGAAAAGATCGGTGTGTGAGAATATTAGCAAAACGCACCATGCATTGTAGTAGAAAAGTTTTGTCTAAATCTGTTTGGCAAAATGGTGCTTCACCTGAAACCGAGTCAGCTGCTCTACTCGGTTTTGAGAGACGGAGCGAGACACACACATGGTGGATGCAAATGACACTGGAAGAAGTTGCGCAAAAATCTGTACTAGAATACACGTTAGGAGACGTGGCGTAGTGCCTTTGCCTCAATGATCACTCTTGCTCATTGGAAATGCAAAATAAGTCTAGTAGAGGAAGAAGAAATATACTCAAATGGTTCAGAACTTAAAGCTGCAGGACATGCAAAATAAGTCTAGTAGAGGAATGAGAAATATATTCAAGACGACTGGTCGACTTCGAGACAAATAAAATCATGAGCAACAGTAAAAACAGTGACAACTGCTCCTCAAACCCTTTTCAGCAAGGCCAAGATGAGACAGCACCTATCAACCGCGAATGGGTTCCTCCGCATATCTCTTTTTCCTCCGCGACGCCTTCAGGACCAAGCCTTGCGTCGAAAAATGCACCCTCTTCGCCATTGCAAAGTCAAAGTTACGGCTAAGCACAAGGAATAGCAATAGACTCATCACTTTCTATCAAAAATGTTGAGCATCTTGCTCCCTTATGATTTTTTCACGGGATCTTTCACTTTCCAACAAGTCTCTTCTACGGTCATCTTCAGGAAAGTTGACACCAAGGAACCAGGATGGTCTTGCAGATGGACGGGCACCAAGATGAAGATGATCTTGCAGTCTAACGAACGGACTTCCTCGATAATGCGATGGGTCCGCTCCAGAGAGCGTTGGGGAGGGTGTCGCCACTACTGGAAGGGAGGGACGCGGCTGTTGGGGGTCCTGTTAAGGCACAACAGCAGGTAGCAGATGTACATGTAGAAGTTCATTCAGCTGCAGCGACGCCACCGCCAGCTCGAATTCAGGTAACGCCACCAACGATTTTACCTAGTAGTACGGCTCATTTGGGCTCTTCGACTGTTTCAGCTAGTTCATCTAGTGCAGCACACCACCAACATCTTCGACAACGGGACTATATTCAGCATACTGGAAATTTTGATGTTAATCGTGTTGTGCCTCCAGTTGTTCCGATGATTGGAATACAGCAAACAGCAACATCTTCTTCTACATCAGGCGACACCAGCCATCTTCGGCGACCATCTCGAGGAACAACATCTGCGAAACTTGAACTGCATTCGATGCGGTCTAACTCTTCTGCTGGAGGGTTTGGTGGAGTACGTGTATTGCAGCAAGGCCACGCTGGTCCGCGACCACATCTGCAAGAACATGATACACACGACAACTTCCAGACGAGGAGCGACTTCTACATGAGCGACGACCACCAGCAACATGCCTCCTCGAAAAGCAGTGTCGGGACGTCTTCGATCATGAACAACCAGAATGTTGAGGCCGCGTTTCAGCAGGATATTAATCACTTCCGCACCACGATGAGTAGTACTATTTCTGCAGCCAATACCAAGTTCGTGAATAGTCAGAACTATCTGCGCTTAATGCTGAAGAAAAGCGAGGCTGAAGTCGTAAACCTACAACAGCAATTAAAAGCTTCGGAGAAGCAGAGACTGGATTTGAAGTTGCAATACAAAGAACTTGGTAGGAAAATCGAGGTGTTGGCAGAAAAGTACGAATCCGAAGTGGAAGAAGCCAAGCAGGAAACGCAGGATAGAGACCAGAAGATCGTGAAAATGCGCGAAAAATTGAGGGACTGTAGGAGACAGGTGAGGGAGTGCGCAGAAGATCTAGAGCATAAGCTGAGGAAGAGGTCAGAAGAGGTGGACCTGTTGAAAGAGAAGCTAGTGCGTGACACAGAGCATGAAGCGGAGCAGAAGGCGAGGGAGTTGGAAGCGAAAACGAATGCACAGATTTATGGGTCCGTTGTTGTTCGCTTTCCACTAGCACTAGGCAGTAGCGTACGAGCAGGACGTAGTTGATCTTGATACATTCATTAAAGGGTGTAAAGACAGTAGTGTACGAGGACGTAGTTGATCTTGATACATTCATTAAAGGGTGTAAAGACAGTAGCGTACGAGCAGGACGTAGTTGATCTTGATACATTCATGAAAGCGTGTCCAGACTATACAGACATGTCTTCTATTTTTGTGCTTTCCCACTCTCCTCCACCCCTCCCTTTCATTTCCCCCGCACCATGTCCGAGAAGCACAACCGCAAAATCACAGAACTCGTCAAACAACTCGATGCAAGAACTGAGGAGAAGGAAATTTTCGAACAGAAACAGGCGGAGACGGCTCAAAATTAAGGCCGCCTCCCCGAATCCATCCGAGAAGAATCGATCCCGAGATGGATTGCACTGAGCTCTAACAAAAGTTGAAGGACAGGGAGATGTCCTATCTTCACGTCAAAGCGGAGAACGAAGATTTGCTCCGAAGACTCTCAGAATCGCACACGATATTGTCAAAGTTGAGGAATTTGGTGGACAGCGAAAGGAAGGACCATGCGGAGGAAGTGGATAAGGTACTCCATACCCATAGGTGCAGCTATGCAAGACCTTTCTAGGCTCTGCTAATCCACACTGACTGTTAAGGCTCAACTTGTTTCATTGGTCATTGAGTTTGGTCGCTGAGATTCAAGCTGCGACCCCTTGAGAGAACAGGCAAAAAGGAAGGGAAAAGGGGAGAGCTTTGATGAAGGTGGTCTCTTCCGTTCAGCATCGGTGACCACTGACTGCTGACCTTTAATAGGGTGAGAGACGACTTGGCTTTGAGTAGGGAGACAGGGTGGAAAGACATGCCGAGGATGAAGGGGAGACGCTGAAGATTGGTTGTGAAGTGAAGTTGGTTGTAGAGAGACGAATGAATGTGGACACATCAGGAAAATAAGTGATGATATCAAATAGTTGTCCTCACACAAGACTTGACTCCTCCACGACCACGCACACTTGATTCCTCGACCAAGTCTTCACACAAACTTTGCCCAACGCACAGCTCCAGCGACATATCCGATCCGAGACGGATACCGTGCGCGAACACCAATCCGGTACCTACGAGCGCCTTCTTCAGCAGACCAAAGCGGTTGCGGAGAAGCAGGTGAAGCAATTAGAACAGATCCAAGACGACGTGAAGAAGGAGAATCATGCATTGCGGATGGAGGTCTCAGATAAAGACCAGAAATGTTTTCAAGTCCAGCACGCTTTAGACCGAGCGACGTTCTTGTTGGATCAACATCGGCAACACGTGAGAAAACTGGAGGAGAAGATAGAGGAGAAGTGCGGCGTTTTGGCTTCGCATAGGCGAGAAGCCTTGAAAGAGATGGTGAAGGAAACGTGCATTATGAGAAAAAGCGCAAATGGTTCTATTTATCGTTAAATCAATGCCTTACACTCTTTGGCTTTAAAGTTATTTATAGTCAGCTTTTTTTTTTCCATCATTCTCGGCATCTTGGTCCCCTTTTCCCTTGTATTGTCGTGAAATACAAGGTAAAAGGAGTCAAGATGAGGGGGCCGAGATGCAATCTAGGAGCAGACTCTAATAGATTTATAGACTAGTCTTCGAGCATAGGAGTGTGATGAACGCCGCCCCCTTCTGTTCTGCTCTAACCGCAGCACCATGAAAACCGAGCTATCCGATATGAAGCAGCAGATACGAGGGATTGAACGCTACGTGTACGACGTTTGCGAAAAGTGCATGCGACGAGTGCTCAAAACTGACTTCATACACTCTGAGGTGAAGAAAAAGGTGAAGCATACGGCCAGCTTGGTGAAACTGCATCGTTATGGAGGTAGTAAGGCTAAAGAGTATTCGAAAACTCAAAATAACCGAGTTACTGACTGAAATAAGGGAGGTAGCTTGACATCAAGGCTACTCTTCCTTCTCGTCAGTACCTCGGTTATTCTGATCAGTTACTTGCTTATTTCAGTTTATTTTCGAATAGATGACTCGTGGATCTGAATGGACCCGAATATCTTCAAAGTTGTAACCACATCCACATGAATACCAACATTTACGCACCATGGATGATGTAATAGTCGGTCCTTGTCTTGTTAGTCCACTTCTAACTGATAACAACGAACGTGTGTCTTCTGAAAACTGGCGAAGAGCTCGTCAAGACGCGGTTGCATGTGCAAATCGCGTGTCGTTTCGTCCGAACTGTTTTGGCGCATTTCATCGCTATTTTCACAGAGATGCTAGAGAGCGAACTCGCCAGAGTATTCGAAGCTGCGACGAACATAGGAGCCATTGTGGATGCTGTAGGAAGAAGCACTAGTGCTGATGCGGGACATGGAGGCGGACAAGGGGACCACGGAGGACAGCACGATCCACTAGCACCAGAGCGTTTCTGGCACATAGGGGCAGTAAGAAAAGCATTGGATGATCGGAGTGAAGCATTCGGTAGAAGGGGTGGTGAGGATGAGAGCAGAACGAAGGGGAATGCTAATAACTCATCCTCGTTTTCTTCTGGAGAGGAAGGGCCTTCTTCCGACGAGGATGACGACGCAAACCTAGGGCCAGACCAGGATCGAGGCTTGATCTTGAGCGCTCAAGACCGATTTAGATTGAGGGAAATGAGACTGGAAAGACGACAGCGGAGACAAGTGTTTCGTACAGTATTAAGGTTTACAATATTGCATTCCCCACAAGCATCCTTGGCTTTTTTCAATTAGAAAATAAGCCAAGAATGGTCTCCTGCGGAATCATGCAGGAGAAATTGCGTAACCTCTAATAGTAGCAAGGGTAGAAAGAGCGAGGACAGGGGAGGATAGTTTTTACTTGCCTTTCTTAATCCATGCAGCGAAGAAAAACGATTTGAAAGCGGGAAGTGCGATGAGGCAAAAGCTCCAGGCGGCGACCTCTGTTAAGCCTTCCCCGAATCCATCTTTGCAAGCGTGGTCTTGGAGACGTTTTCAAGGGGAAACAAGAGGCCTCGGGATGGGCTTCGAGATGGATTCGGATCAGCTCGAATAGAAACAAGAAGAGAGCTTTCGAATTTATTGACTACGCGACTGCGGTCAGGGAGAAGAACAAAAAAGTGAAAAACCTCTATCAGCAAGCAGTCAGGGACTTAAAACTGTTGCTGGAGAGGATGGAGGAGCAACGTCGAAAATTGATAGAGAACGAGCTTGGAGAAGTCGGGGAGGGCGAAATTGATAGTTACTACAATCTTGTTTCCCAGTGGCAAGACGTTTTGAACGACACCGATGCACAACAAGTGTTGAATCAAGCCGCTCAACAGATGTATTTCGACGATACCAAATCAGGTGGAAGTGGAGGCGGTCTTCGAGGACAAGCAGCTGGAACAGCAGGGCCATTAAAACTCATAAAGACAGGACCAGGTGCAGCGGGATCCCCATCATCTCCTTCTAACACCAACAAGCTAAACTTAAGGGTTCCCAGCACATGATTACATCCCTCACTATCATGATCCCTGACAGACTCTTTTATTTCCTGTACAGGAGATGATGATGAGTCAGGGACGTTCATCTGAGGAATGTAACTGCTCCGTAGCCTCTAATAGACGTCATCAATCAACTCGAGAAAAATCCTGCTTTAGCTGTCGGGGATCCGGGAGAAGAAACACAAAAGGGATTTCTCAGGCTGGCTCACTCTCTCCTAGGCAGATTGCAGAAACGCGCAGCTTATGCCACGAGAAAAGTTCAGAGTGAAGTTTTTGATGTGCGCTTGACACTTGGGGTTCCGCCTGCTCGTGGGATGCATTTGTTGATGGGGAACAGTCACGTGAAAAGGGACGTAGGGAACTTAAGAGCGCCTGTGGGAGAAGGCGGAAGAGGTGGGAATATTAAGGAGTAAAGGTGGATGATTTCTTTCGTACTATTCTCGTTCTTGATGTGGCTTCTTATAACATCATCTAAAAAATGGTTCGTACGGTTTTTCTTAGATGTTCTTGAAATGGCTTTTGTTACCAACGCCCATAGCATAAGAACTTCCCCACTGGAGCACCGCACTCTGCAGTGCCCCAGTGGGGAAGTTAGATGAAATGGCTTTTGTTACCAACGCCCATAGCATAAGAACTTCCCCACTGGAGCACCGCGCGCCGTTTCCTCCATAAACCAACTTCATTTCATCTAATTTCCCCACTGGAGCACCTCAGACCGACGAGCCATCTTCTCTGGGTCAGGTTTTTCGGACAGTGATGCAGAAGCACAACAACTTCAACCTGGCAGGAGGTGGATCCCATGGGGAGAGCAAGAGCCAGCAGCCATTGTTGTTCTACAATAATGAGGTTCATCACGACAGGCGGATGAAGGCACCACCGTCTGCGGATGAGCGGCCAGGAGTTTGTTCTAGAAGTGGTGCAGGAGGATCTCTTTCTTCATCATCTCGTGGAAGAACTAGTACTGGACGTGAATTTAGAGCAACAACAACTTCCAATAATATCATCCCACGAGGACCTTCTTCAACAAGGAAGATATTTTTATCTTCCGCCTCTGCCCGAATACAAGCAGCAGCGCCTCCTCCCACAGTTTTCTTCTATGGCGAGGTAGAGCCAGAAAAGACGACGAGATTGATAGATGGCTACGTGTCTGGCACGCAAACTGGCAGTACGAAGAAGATGAGTGGGGAGGACTACCACGACTTGGCGGATGAGATAGCGGAGGTGGAGAGCTTGTGCGCCTCTAGGGATTCTGAAGATGCTTCATCTTCAGCATTCTCGTCTACCAGAAGATCCAGCACAACACCATTTGCAGGCTTGCTGTTAGCGGCTTGTAAAATAGTCAGCCAGTTTCGATCCGACGCTGCAGCACTCGAGTGGGAGTTGCTAGCCCAGTTTCAAGACGATCGATTGCACAAGCTGGAGAAGGCGAGAGAGTCGAAAGACCTGATAATAACGACACTGGAAGCTAGATTAGAGTTATGTTCTTGAGAAGAGAATTTTTGGAGGTGGAAGTACTTTTTCTAATAAGCTTGCTAGAATAGATGTGGACTTAAAGCTCTCTTTCCATTTACATAATAAGCTTGCTACAACTCAGTCCTCCTACTTGTTGTTGAGCGTCGTCGTCATGGTTTCAATGTCTTTCACCTCTAATCTCAGCTATCGCCCTCAGCGACAAAGAACGTCTCCATGTTGGCGAAATCGAACGGTTGGAGACCAAAGTCGTCGAAATGGAGGACCGCTTAAATGACGAGAAGCGACATAAAAAGGAGATAGAGAAACGATTAGCGAAACGAGATAAGATGTTGGAGAAGATGATGGCTGATGCACGATCGAAAAAGCATCTGGAAGATGTCACCGGAGGATATTTCTCTGGAGTGAATATGTTCAAAACTACTACGAATGCCTCCATAAGGAATGAGCAGGAAGAAAGTACTGAGCAGGTAGTAGCGCCACCAGCAACAACAGGAGTTGAACAGCCAGTGCTCTCCACTGCAAGTGCAACACCAGCATCCTTGCGTATTTCTTCACGTCCTCGTAGAGACACAGCAGACTCGAGTCAATTTTTGACGCCACTCGCTACTATGGCTTCTTCGGAGCAAGTTAAGGCTCCATCCCCTAATCCATCTCTTCCAGAGGCATCCTGGGGAGGCTTATTCCAAGGGCAAGGATGCGTCTCGCGATGGATTACGGCGACTTTTAAGCAAGGGGTTGAAGCGGAAGATGAGGAAATTGATGAACAAGTAGTCGTGCCTGAACAAGTAGTACGAAAGAACGGACAACGCGATGAAGTAGATTCATCATACCAGGAGTCGAGAAGTGCAGGGGAGGTAGTCCTACCAGCAGAAGATCAGTGGTCGTCTACACGGACAAGTGCTAGGAACGAGCTAGCGCCATCAGAAAATGAGGAAGATGAAGAGGCTGCGAATTCGAATATGCCTGAAGGTTCTCGCATACCTTCTTCCGGAGAAGGAGGTGCTGGCTCATCTTCTATGTTCCATTTCTATGCGGCGAAAGACGACGAGGATGTTGACGCGGTGCCAGAGCCAACCTCTTCTAGGAGAAAGAATAGTCAACAGCAAGAACAACAATTTCCAACCAGCATAACAATCCCAACCACGACGACCACCACCGCCACGACTGAGAGGGCCATCTACAAACGGTATCGAGAAGCCTTGAAGCAAGAGCAAGAACAGATATTATCCCAAGCTGCTGACGTCGCAGAGGAACAAGAGGAGATGACTCCAACAGCGAGAGCGGACGTACAAGCACTGCTTGAGGAAGTGGATAGCTTGATTGGGAGAAGAGACGGGGTAACGTGAGGCAGTAGATGGGGATAGCTTGATTGGAGAAGGGATGGAGGGGTGACATAAGGAAGTTGGTGGGGATTTGATACATTGAGAATATTGCTCAATCGAAGATCGTTTAAAAATAGCGAAGATCAAGATCGTTTAATAGCTTTAGCTAGTATGGTATAGAAAATTGCGACGTCAAAAATTGTATTGTTGTATTAATGCTAAAGATCGTATGGCAGTCTTAAAACGTTATTTTAGCAAAACGTTAAAAGTTGATTTTTTAAAATAGCCGACTAGATTCCTAAGAAGTCAATTTTTAACGTTTTGCTAAAATAACGTTTTAAGACTGCCATAGATCGTGATTGGTTTCCTTTTCATGACAAGTTTCGTCAACCAGAGATTGATGTTGTTTCGACAAGTTTCTACAAAGAGTTACAAATTTGTGGAAGATGCCACAAATATCATGGGTTTCCGTTTCGATAGAGATTAGTTTCAAGTAGGATTACGAGTACAACTGTTGCTGACGATGCAGCTGGTACCGGTTTCGCTTTGGTTACTACAAATAGAGATTACAAACACATAGAGAATACAAAGAGAGACTACACTCACAGCGACGCTGCAGTAGCTAAAGCTACAGTTCTTTTTTTCGTCGTTTTTTCGTGGTCGCTGGATAATTTCTTGATGCAGCAACCAGACACAGAAGCGGGTTCATCGCCACAAGGAGCAAAGTCAAACTGCGGTTGGAGGTTGCGAACTAACTTGGTTTTTTAGATGTCTTCAAATAAGCGGTAATAAGCATAAGCTTAAATAAACACCAGAAGGAGAGAGAAAGAGTGACGAGAGAGGACGAAGCCTTGTTACTTTTCCCGGATGAGGATTTTAAACTCAAACTGACCTTTGAGGTATATCTACTTCAGCCAGTGTAAAAATGCTAAATAATATAGATTTGTATTTGTAAATGAAGGTCTACGCGCCCGTTTTTTAAATTTAGACACCAGTTACTCTTATCAATTTTTGTCGCTCTCCATCGTTGGTTACACGACCTCTACTACCGCTCAACTTTGAGCATAAGTCTTCTTGTTTTCACGTTTGTTTCGTCTTTCACGTGTCTCAAAGCATTTCATCTAACATTGAAAAAACCAGAACGAACATTGGCAACGTCAGCCTACTGACACCCTTCTTCCATCAAAAGAAAAAGAATGTCAGACCCACGTTCGGAACTGTTCAAGCCTCTCCCCCTCGGTTCGAATAGCCAAGGGGAGATTGGGTTAGGCTATTATGTTTCACAGCCTAACCAGACCTGTAATGCGACGCCGTGGTCCACAGGTCCCTGGATCGACTGCGCCTACACAGTAGCCGCAATGCTCTTCATCATGAGCTTGAAAGTTATGTCATCATGGATTTTGTACTACTAGCTAGTACTAGCTGCAACCATTAGGAGGAGAGCAGAACTAAGTAGACCCGGACTAATGCTGCAGCTGGTTCGAATTTATAAGAATAAAGCCTAGTTGTTCTAGAGGACGACGTGTCTTACTACACAGTGACAGTATCTCCGCATGAGTACAACCACCTAGCCCTCCAGAAACTCGTCTAATCTCCGTCTCAGCGACCAGAAGACTGCAAACTGGGGTTGCTATTATGGCATCATGGGCATGACGATAGCCATCGTTGCGGCTTATTTTTCTGCCTATGTTTGCGATGCGGGTACTAGTTCGTTCTTCTTTGTATGATCTGGAGAAGCGGACTATTTCGCTTTTCTCTGACTGTGAAGACTTGGGTTGGTTTTACTTAGATACCTTGCATTATGATTATTGAGAAACTTACTCTCACCTTCTCACCTCACCTCCCTCTTCCCTCAATCATTCAGGTTCCTGGCTCACTTGGGCAGCTATGGCACCTGGCATAATTGTCGGTTTGGTCATGGCAGTTAAAGTGACGATGATCCAGATGCCGCAATTAGTGGGTCTATTGAACGCTTTTGGCGGTCTCGCTAGTGCAGTAGAGGCTATAGGGATGTTTGCTGATGAGAACGCAAAGTTACGATGGAAAGGAACATTTTCTAGTGTGACTTCTAGTAGTCTGTCTGTGTCTCTCTCTCTCTCATGTGAGGCATTGATGTAGTGTGAGTCGTGAATATCCCGTGACAGATTGCATTTTCTTAACGAAGCAAAGACGCGAAGGCCTCACGACACTCAACGACGGACCGAAGTTGGGAAAAAGCACCTCTATCATGATCATTATAGAACTAGCACATCTGGTCTTTCTTTTTTCTAGTTAGGTCGGCTCCGCCACAATTATAGAACTAGTACACCTCTAACCAAAGACAAAAAATACATCGAATTCACAAGACAATCGCCGAGTAACTATTTGAGCATGAACACTCGTTACGAAGACGGCACCTGGGAAACGAGCAAGAAGTATTCGATTATCCAGTCTGCGGCTCTGCATCTGGCGTTGATCATTGGGTCGATCACTTTTTTCGGCTCCCTTCTTGCCTGTCTCAAGCTGATGGGTAAAGTTGGAAATTACGTTCCGCCAGCTCGCAATGTGGTGAATTTCATTCTCCTAGGAGGCTCTATCGCTTGCTGTGCGGTAGCTGAGGAAGTCAAAGGATGGGGCTACGGGAGCACAGAAGGATTGATCTTCGTTTTGATTGCTTTTGTTATGAAGACAGAGAATCAGGAGTAAAAGAACTAAGTACAAGTTAGTAGAAGTTATAAGTTAAATACATGGCCAATTTCATCATGCTTCTTGTCATTCTTGCCATTCTCCTTCGTCCCCCCATTTTTCCTTTTTTTCCCACTTTCATACCCTTCCTCTCCGCCTTGTGGGGCGTTCTCTTCGTCTATGCCATCGGCGGAGCCGATATGCCTGTCGTTATCTGCATTCTGAACACTGGTAGTGGCGCAGCCGGAGTATTTGCCGGCTTCATGATGGGCAACAAGCTTCTTGTTATCACGGGAACCTTCGTAGCGAGCTCCGGTGCGATTTTATCTGCCTTGATGTGCATTGCAATGAATCGGAATTTGATTTCCGTCCTAAGCGGTGGATTTGGTGCAGGGATGAGTGGGGGAGGTAATAAATTATCCGTAATGATTACGGTAGTACAAATTTGATAGTTTTTTTTTAGATTGATTGTTCTTTCAGATACTTCTGAGTTCTAACTTTTAGCTATGTACATCTTGACACAGACACAGACATGATCATCAGAAGAACCGCCTGTCTTCCACTCTCATCCATGTTCTTCACCTTCTCACTTCTATCTAAAATCTACATGCAGACACTTTCTCCTCGTTCAGGCCAACAACAAGCGATCGAAGGTGAGATGGTTGAGACCTCTACGCCTGACGTGGCTAATCTTTTCAACACCGCAAAAAACATTATTATCGTACCTGGCTACGGCATGGCTGCTGGCAAGGCACAACACAAAGTCGCTGAATTTAAGGCTTCCCGTCAGCTGGAGAAGCATCAGACTTTGACACGTTTGTTCCTTTCTTTTCAAGGGGAAAAACACGTCAAAAATGCTCTCCGAGATGAATGGAGGCGCAAGTTCTAAGGAATTGACCACATTGTTGCGGGGTCGTGGAGTCAATGTCCGATTCGCGATTCATCCAGTTGCAGGCAGGTTGCCAGGTCACATGAACGTGCTGTTGGCGGAAGCGCGCGTTCCGTACGATATTGTGCTGAGTATGTTATGCTTGGCGCGTGAATTTTGCAACACTTCGGAGATGGCTTTTGAGTTGAAGATCTTGACGATCGATAAGGATTTCATATTAAACTAACCAGTGAGAGTTCGTCTTCCTCTCCACCTCCTAGTACATGAAGTCATGCTCCCTAGTACACACTAAACCACACCCATCTCCCCCTCTTCCCCTGTGCAATAAAGTTTTACTTACCCCAAGAGTGGGTAAACTACTACTACTACTACTAACTCGCCCAAAATTTCTCCTCATCTAACTCCCGACGAGATCAACCAAGATTTTCCGAATACTGATGCCGTCTTAGTCTTGGGTGCTAACGATATTGTCAACCCCGCAGCAGAGGAAGATCCGAATTGCTCTATTGCTGGCATGCCAGTGCTGCAGGTGTGGAAAGCAAAGACAACGATTGTAGTGAAGAGAGGCAAGGGAAGTGGCTATTCTGGTAAGCCTTGATCTGTTCTTTTTATCCTTCATCATAGTGAAGGTCCAATCCGAATCGACTAGCATCATCATCAATCATAGTGAAGATGAAGTGACTATAACACTACTTTTCTATCCGAATCGACTAGCATCATCATCAATCATAGTGAAGATGAAGCGGCTATAGCACTACTTTTCTATCTTTACTAGACTTCAGCGCCCGATAGCTCTCCCTCCACTAGAATCCTCCACCTCCTTCGAGCATTTCCTTCGCCAGGACACGCCTCCCCCGCTCCTCTTCCGCCAGCTCGCGACGCTTTCCCGGCGAAGTGGTCCGCGCCAGAGGAGTCGGAACAGAGGCGTCGCGGAATTTAGCAGAGGGGGCTGCTTCTGTCTCTGAGGTTTTTGAGATGTCTCAAGGTTTGGCTGCTTTTGAATTTAGTGCAGGGCTTTGGATTGGGAGCCTTTCTTGAGCACGAAGCTTCGCACGTAAGTCGCGGAGGTGGAGACTTGGGGTGGGATTGATGGATGCTTTTGGCTTGCAGCTTGCTTGAAGCTCGCGGCCGCTTTCAGTGTGAGGCTTTGAGCTTCAGCAAAGCGCGAGGCGTAGTAGAGCTTCGAGCCTGGCGCTTTGATTTTGAAGCTTTGGGCTTGCACGCTGAAGCTTTGGACCCGAGCGAAGTGCTGGGCCTGAAGGGTTTGGCCTGAAGTCTTGGATCTGGGATTTTGGGTCTGAAGCTTTGGACTTAAGATCTTGGATCTGAGGCTTTTGGTTGGAAGTGTTGGACTTCAAGCGTTTGGCCTGAAGTCTTGGCTTTGAAGTTTTGGGCTTGAAGCCTTGGACCCGAAGTTTGGCGCTTTAGGCTTGAGTTTCTGGATTTGGGTGCTTGAATTTGAAAAGTTTGGAACTTCGTCTTTTTTGATAAAGTCAAAACTTTGCGGCTTTTGCGCAAAATAGCAAAGCCCACTCTTGGACTTTGTCGCTTAGAATCTAAGTTGGGGGTATTTGGATCAGGTGCATTTTGTTCAAGTGTTTTTGGTCCAAGTGTTTTCTGTTCAGGTGCTTCTGGTTAGAGTGCTTTCGGTTTGGGTGTTTTCTGTTCGAAGCTTGGAGGGGCGTTGTTAATTTTTCATTATTCGGGGGGGGGGGGGCGGGCGTAGGGTCTACAGGCTATTGGTTTTAGCAAGTTTCTCTGACGTTCAATCTCTTGGATTCGAATGCCTCAAATCCAAAGACCTTCGACTTTAGCAAGTTTCTCGGAGATTCAACTTCTTGGATGTGAATTCCTCAAAGCCAAAAGCTGCTGACTTTGGCAAGCTTTGTTTTCTGAGATTCAATCCCTTGGATTTGAATTCCTCAAATCCAAAAAATTTCGACTTGTTTCGCGAGTTTTTCTGTCATTCAAGCTCTTGGATTTGAATTGCTCAAATCCAAAATTTTTCGATTTTAACGAGCCGCGCGGAGGTTCAATTTCTTGGATTTCAATTTGTCAAATCCCAAAATTTTTGATTTTAGCAAGTTTTTCCGAAATTCAATTTCTTGGGTTTCAATTTCTCAAGTCCGAAAGTTTTGACTTTAGCAAGCTTTTCCGAAAATTCAACTTGTGGGCTGGATTTCAATTCATCAAATCCGAAAATTTTTGATTTTAACAAGTTTCGCCGAAATTCGATTTCTTGGATTTGATTCGCGAGCCTTCATAAATTCCTAAATTCATAAATTTACAAATTCCTAAGTCCTTAAATTCGTAAATTAAATCATAAATTCATAAATTAATGAATCTTCATGGCAATGCCCTTCCCTCGCAAGCACTAGAAGTCGACCTCGACGTCGGTCTACCAATCAAATCTACTGACCTCTACCAGAAAGAACTAAAACTCTTCTCTCCCCCTACTGACCACTCTTCTCTCCTAACCCTAAGCCCTCTCAGACTCAAACCCTTCTCTCCCTAACCTCAGGTGTCGAAAACCCTCTCTTTTTTCGAGAGAATAACCGCATGTACTACGGTAATGCCATGAAGCAGATGGATGAACTGTGCCAAGCTATTGGCAAATTAGACCCGCCAGGAGGCGCAAAAAAAGCCGAAGAAACGGTGATCGCAGTAGAATTAAGGCAACGCAGCCTGCATCCTCAACATCTTCATCCTTGTTGTTGGTCCCCTTTTATTCAAGTACTTCTTAGATAATTCGTAAGTACTTCTAGATTAAGTGCTACAGTACAGATATCATGCTGTACATTGTGTAGCACAACGTGTTCCTACTTAATAATTGCTAACCTAACATAGCCTGTATTTCTCGGCTCTTATCCCTTGCTTACCAGTTATTCAAGTATTTACTTAGAAAAAAGGGCCAAGAAGGATGGTCTCAGGGATGCCTCCACGCGGTAGCTCTAATAGAATCGGACGTGAAAGTCGAAGAGGTAGAGACGTTGACACCTCCCGAGAATCCAGGATTGGTTTTGGGTGTAGTAGCGGAAGATATTATGAAGATTCAAGATTGATGGTAGTGGTAGCTAGTGTATACGAAACCGAGGACCTACAACTACAACAACTTTATGTCTACAACCTGTTCGACTATTTTGTATTTACGACCTACTACTTTTTACTTGTAGTCGTGCCGGTCCGTGGATCTGTTGTAGATCTTTTTCTCGCTACTTCTTACGACGAGCGACCCTGTCAACATCTCTAACCCCCGCGAAGCGTACGAAAAGCGCGTCGGTCTAGTTCCCTCCATCGTGACGAAACTGACCAAGTTGAACTACAAAACAGTCGTTCAATCCGGCTGTGGCATGAAGGCCGGCTACTCAGATAAGGAGTACCTAGCTGCTGGAGCCCAAGTGCTTGCCGAACGAGCTGAGGTCATTGCAGCATGTACCATGCTGATATCCGTGACGCCACCCTCGGAGCTCAGTACAGCCTCAGAATCCTTGAAGGACAAGTGGGTCGTCAGTTGGGTAGGCAAGTTACTGCCGGATGGGAAGGTTTTTTATGGAGAGTTTCTCCGAAAATTGTTACTCTTATTTCCAAAATCGTCCCATTGATTTTTTTTGGAAATGCCCACCTCTAATCCCCAGTCGAAGCCGCTGCCAAAGCTGGCATTAATGTCATTGACGTAACAGCAGTTCCGCGTATCACGATAGCGCAAAAGCTGGATGTCCTCTCCTCTCAGGCTAAGATTGCCGGTAACAGAGCAGTGATTGAGGCGGCGATATTGTTCGGTAAGTTCATGTCCCCAGAGATCACGGCCGCAGGGAAATTCCCACCAGCTAAGGTCTTGATCCTCGGCGCTGGGGTGGCGGGATTGCTAAGGCTGGAGATTTGTTCGTAAACCTGATCTCAAAGTGGTAAACTGTTGAGAATCAGGAGTATGTAGTTGAACAGAATGTCAACCCACAACCTTGTTCTCACAAAGACATACCTGACTCTAATTCCAGCAGCCATAGGGACGGCAGTGGCCTTGGGCGCAGAGGTACGCGCCTGGGACGTCCGAGACGTGTCGGATCAAGTGGAGTCAATGGGTGGAAAGTGGATCACTGTGGATTTTTATGAAAGAATAGAAAGATTATAGTACTTATCAACAACAGAGCAGTCTCATACTGACGTAAAAAATACTAGATATCATGTCACTTCTTTCACTTCGACGTCATCGTCTCCTTCGGGCTTGGTAGTAAACCAACCAATCGAAGAACCTACGCTTACTTCTCCATGCTTACCCTTTCATCACCCCAAGGAGGAGGGCGCTGGCGCTGGCGGTTACGCAAGAGAATCCTCAGCCGCATTTCAGGATGCGCAGAAGCAGACTTTTGCTAAGCATTGTAGAGAGTGTGACATTGTTTTGACCACAGCAGCAATTCCAGGAAGACCGAGTCCGAAGCTGATAGAAGGTTGGATGCTCGACAACATGAGGCCAGGCAGCGTGATAATAGACCTAGGCGCAGTTGGAGGTGGGAACTGCACGGAGACGAAGAAGGGAGAGGTAGAACTAGAAACTACTTGACATGGACATCAGTATTTTTGGGAATAGCTACAGGTTTTCAAACATAATGTGTGATGCGTATTATATGTCTGATGAATTACTGCACATGAACTCGGAAGATTTCCATCTCTACTACAATTACACAACGACCCCAACCGCCCCGCGGATAACCCAACCAGCCCTATGATATATAGGTCTTCGTCTACGACAACAAAGTTACTATCTGTGGTGAGCTCGACTTTCCATCGAAGATGGCCAGACAGGCTTCCGAGATGTACGCAAACAACATGCTAAACCTGTTAGAGCATGTTGCGAAGGCAAAAGACGCTTCTGGCACCTCCAGTGCTGTCGTTGAGAACCTAGTAGCAAACCAGAAGAAGGAGATCGAGGAGGTCGTCTGCACGCAGATCGTGGCTGCGTACATTATGGCGTTGGTTGCTCGATAGATTGTAAAGCAACTACAACATCATACCAGCAAGACATCTTCCACTTCTTGTATACGGAAAATGTCTTGGTATGTTGTAGTAATTGCCACTTGACTCAGTCACAAGTCGAATTCGATTTGCGCTTGGTTTGAAGTACGCAATTCGTAGTGAGTCACAAGATGATCAAGGTTTCTTCTTACGAGGAAAGATTTCCAGATTCCCATTTCTAATCCCAACGGCGAGGTGATCAACGCACCACCGCCACCCATGCCCAGTCCACCACCACCGAAGCCAGCGGCTGCACCAGCGAAGAGCGAACAAAAGATCGCCAAAGCATCACTCGTTTCCGACTCAGTCTTGATGAGCACGCAGTTCTTCATGTTCTGCTTTGCGGTGATGATGTTACGTTGACTGGTTCTAGATCTAGTCTGTTCCAAGAACTTTTCATCTTCTTTTCTCTCTCGTCTTGTCCACTGAAAGAAAAGAAAAACAAGTGAATCTCCTGTCTTTCCATGTTTCTAGTACACCTACTTACTCACAACATCAAATTATAGCTTCAACACCTTTCACGACTCAGTCCTGACAACACTGATCCAGTTGATGATGGTCTTCATGCTCTTTATAACAGAGTAGTTTATATCCATGCCATGCGAGCTGTGAAACCTTATAAATTGCTCTGTATATAATTTCCGTCTTACCCCAGCCCCCCTTCGCACCTCTCTCTAACTCTCCTCGGCGTCGCTTTCCTCGACAACGAAATCCTGATCCAGTTGATGATGGTCTTCATGCTCGCGGCTTGGGTTGGGTATATGCTGGTCTATGGCGTGCATCCTGCTCTGCATACACCCTTGATGTCGGTGTCGAATGCGATATCTGGTCAAGTCATCCTGGGTGGGATCTTCATGGTCTCATCTGAGAACATTATGGCACCTTCCACAAATTCATCTTGTTCTCCTTTTAGAACGTCTTGTTCTCAACACAGGGATGAACAAGACGGGGACGAAGAGGCGTCTGGGGATGGATTTATGGTAGATCTAAAAACGAGGATGGAGACATCAACGCTACCGCTTTATTGGGCGCTTTTGCTGTGTTTATTGCGGCTATGAACGTGGCTGGAGGATTCGCTGTTACTTTCAAGATGCTACAGATGTTCAAGAAGGAAAAAGAATAAGGAATGTTCGCAAGAAGACCCTGATGATAAGTGAATAATTGGATTAATACTTCCACTTCTTCCTTTTGACTGTCAACATCGTGTGTAGAGAAAAAGTGTGTAGAAGAAGCATTGTAAAAGAATTGTGGTGACTGAAGGTACTATGAAATTCTAGTGTTAATAGTAGTTTTCCAGCAGCATCTTCCTGAAGTAGATGAAGTCGACTCGGGTTTCAACCTGTGACTTCTTCTCGAGGACTTCGATTTGAAAAGGTGTATAGTGAATGCTCTCTTGCTCTTCGTTTTCCACATTTTGGAGTGGTAGTACGAGAAGTATGTAAATGATAAGATGCAGTACTAGATGTAGCTGGCTGCTTTCTTCCAGGTCAAGATAAAGATTCGTGTCACCACAACTTTTTGAAAACTCGCTGAGCTTTCCGGGAGATAAAAAAAACCAGGGTTGTAGAGTTTCATCAGCATTAATATGCTCTTTCTTCTGCGAACTTTGCCTCTGCCTGGAGCGTTGCATAGCGTCATCTTGCAGATGCCTCGAAGTTGCCGTTGCCCACGTTGATCCTTACGGAGGAGAACGAAGAAACAACAAGCGATACGTCAGTCTGCAAAAAAAATGATCTTCTCAAGATAGTTCGTGATTAACTTGATAGGGTATCTAGAAGAGGAAGAATTATGGCGCTTCTCACGAGCTGGACGTGAGTCATCATTATAATGTACTACCACCCTCTGAATAATATGTTGGATCGTACCACGTGTAAAAAAGTATTCGTATCACTCGTGTCCTTCTTCACTGGAGACGCCTCGCTGGATGAAGCGCCTCGCAGAAGAAACGAGCCACCATGATGGGAAGTAGAAAACCTGTTGTAAAAGTAAATGTAAGGTCTAGGTTCGCTTTCGCTACCTTGTTCTTACGTAGATCATCAACATCGTCATACTGTTATCAATCCTACTGGTGTACGTGTAGAAAAACAGGGCAGAAACACAATGTTGAGCACGACAGAGGATATGACTAACATTATGTTGAAAAATGAATGAAATTGAAGGACGAAAATCACAATTGGATGTCGTCTGACCAATACCAAATTGGGCTTGCTGGTATTGTTCTTCTTGCATTCTCTCTCTCTGCTGGTGGGATTTGGCATGGTCGTACTTCTCACCGATTAATATGATCTTCTGAATAAAAGTAGGGTTATTGCCGTCAAACGGAATTATCATCGTAGCAAGGACAAGACAAGAAGGATGATCTATCTGAGAAGAAGGGGATGTTTACATCATTATCTGAGATGTTTACGTAGTTGAGAAGAAGGAGATGTAGTTTTGGATGATGGACTTGGATCCCTTTTGTCAAGTGAATTGATTTCATTTTCTAGTTCTTTCTTTTTGTTGGAACACCCGAACACGTCCAAGCGCAATATGAGGCTCTTGAGAGTAAATGGAATGATTATCGTTGCAATGTAACAGAAAGACGATCAGAACGGACGTGCCGAATGATCACTGACTGTTTAAGGCCCTGAAATGGTATCAAAATGGGTTCAATGTCATTGGGATATCATGAAGGGTCATAGTGCAGTTAAAGATCTGGGAGATCTTGCTGCTAATTCATGTTGGAATTCATTGAGTTCAAACGATGATCATAGGAGGAACTAACAAGAGTTCAAGACAAGGAACGGCATTGATCATGATCAAGGTGACGAGTGAGAGCAGTCATTTGACATTGAAATCAGGTTCGTTCGTTGGATCTTGAGCCAGTAATGACCATTGACCAACACCCCTCCTCAATCGCTAGGTGAGGAAATGACGAAAGTCACAAACGGTCTGGTGTTACCTGCTCTGACCCAGAACCATCACGATTCTCTATATCCACTGACGTCACCACTTGACCAACGACCTAACACCCTAAGAAGATAGAATAGGTAAGCACCGCCACGGAAGCAGAACTTGAACCAGACTCATCATCTTCCGTTTCCGAGTCACTATCATCTTCATCATGGTTACGGCTAATGACTGGATTCTCTATGTGATGTAATAATAATCTGCGTTGAGTAGATGAGCATGAAAGTTTCGTTAGTCCATCAGCTTTCATGAGGTGAGTAGGACAGAAAACTACTTTCTCAGCTGCGTCTCTAACTCGTAAATAACGTAACGCATAGTGTCTACTCTTAGGCTTCGTGTCTTCACTCTTTGCTGTCGAGATTGCAGACTGGTTGTCTATCCACAATATGGCATCATCGAGGGATGGCGATATACCAAACCGCGTTTCCACTAATTGAGTGGGTAAGGGATTGAAGAAATCTGTAAAATCATGCAGCTCGCTCATGACAATAGTGTCCGACGCGGCTATATACTCTGACTCTGCAGTTGAATATGCACGCACGGTTTGTGTATTGCGTTTCCAACAGATTGGAAAGCCCCGATAGTACATAATCGAACCACTGGTCGAGCGCATGCTCTTTATGCAGTTTGCGAATCCTGCATCTGAGAACCAGTTAGTATACGGTAGCTCTCTTCCTTCTGGTAGGAGCTTCTTGTAAATTCCGTTGAATTCTTCCTCACTTTCTGGAGAATAATAGAGTCCTTGGTCTTTTGTCGTAGCTAGATACTTTAATACTTTTCTACAGGCTTTTGCAATTCTTTCTGTAACGGGCTTACTGACATACCGAGCCAATGTCGCCACAGGGACGCAAATATCTGGCCTTGCGGTTGTCGATATCCAAAGCAGTGCGCCAACAATCTCACGCAATGGAAACCCGGCTGCTAGCTTAAGCCCCTCCTCAAGCAAAGCAGACTCGTCGAAATTTGGAGACCACACCGGCTTACCTAATGTTATTTTATACTTCTGTATAGTCTTCTCTATGTACACATTCATCAGGATTTTCACTGAACGTGCTTCCCGACAATAGTGCACAATCGCACCAAGAAAGTCGAACTCTAGCCATTCGAAACCCGTAAGAGAATCGACTCGCTTTGCCATCTCAATAGGTCGGCCAGGGGCGCGACTAAAGATCCGGTCGAGCTCAGACCGTAACTCGTGATAGTCAGGTCCAGTAGCTAAGTTATCATCAACATAGACTGACATCTTCATATACTTTCCTGGGTGCGTTTTGCTCTTTTTCCGCCACAATCCTGGAGCAGAAGGACACGGCTCCCATCCGAGTTCGGACAATAGCACGCAATACTTCTTGAACCAGGCTCGTGGAGCGTCCTTGAGCCCATAGAGAGCTTTCTTAAGCTTGACGATATCCGCTCCATGCTTCTCCGCCCACACTGGTGGAAGACGGCAGAAGACGTCACGATCGAGTTCAGCATTAAGGAACGCAGAATCAAGGTCGAATGGGATGACGAAGTCAGAGTCCGTCGCTGCTGAAACGAGTAAAAGTCTATTCGCAGCATGTGACACTACAGGGGCGTAGGTGTCGATATTCCCCGAACGATCAAGATTCCCGAGCACACAAGCACGAGCTTTGAAAGTTCCATCACGTTTTACCGTGAGAACGATTGCTATAGGCATTACCTGAGAAGAGGTTCGCAGCTCCTCGTCAGTAGCTGGCGCCCAAGTCTCAAAGGCAAGTAGTCTAGCTTCCTCCTTGGTGATAGCTGCACGCCATTTCTCGGCGTCAGGGCTTTTCAAGGCTTGGGAAACTGACAGCATGACATGTGCTTCGAGAAAGGTCTCCCCTTCTTCCAGCTCATGCCCGCCTGCTAGCATGGCAAATTTATGCATGTCTTTTCTTAATGCTTCTAGCTCGGCTTTTGTTCTTCTTTTGCGTTGTCCTGGATTCTTATCCTTGCTCCCTTTAGGTCTTCCTCGGCCTTTCTTCCCCTCCTCAACTTTGCCTGGTTGAGATGGTGGAATGGGTAAGGTCCTCGGATCCCTTGCTTCAGGATTAGAGTCAGGCGACACACGCTCCGATGAGATATTCCCCTCCTCAACGCGTTGCGCGTCAGAGTTGGAATCATCACCGGTCTTTGGATCTTCCTCTTTGTCCAAAGATTCACAGAAAAACTCACCAATGTCATTGTTATCTAGTATCATTTCCATGCCGGTTGGATCGCCTGAGCTGTACTCCGTGCCAGAGAAGCGCGGCTGACAGGCCATACGTTGCAGCGCATGTCTGTGCAGGACGGGACCCAGCGACGGCGTGCCAGACTGCAGGTTTTCCAGCGGGTCATAATCAACATAAATGCCCTTCGACGTAGGCAATAGCCAATCAATGTTCTTGACTAATATCGACTCTCGAAATTTTACGTCTAGTGTGGAATACTCACTCCACTTGAAGCCAGCTTTCGTTCTCCCATCGTTGTGATATGTACCTACTAGCCAACCAGACGAAACTGGACACAGACCGAGAAACACACCACGCCGATAAGGTGACGCAAGCTTTGCTTCTTTCTTGTTGGTGGTGTCTACGACCTGTTCACGAAAGTACACCAAGCAACCAAATCTTCTTAACATACCTAGACCACTTTTCGAGGACTTCTTTCCTATCCTCTTTTCTAGTATCTCGACAGGACTCATTCCATCACGTTCTGGCATTTTTGCATAACGATGCGGTAAGCGATTCCAACAATCTCCGGCATACTGTAAGCAGTAACACCAAAGACGTCGGTCGACTTTGACCAACATGGTACGTACAGCACCGAAAATGGTCCGCATGAAACGTTCGCAAGTTCCGTTCATTTCTGGGTTGTAAGGAACTCCAGGAATTTCCGAAACCAGTAGCGATTGCATGACTTTGGTCATATGGTCACTACTTAGGACGGGTTCGTTATCTCTACGGATGAACCACACCACCTTGTCGTCGAGTGACAATGAGTAGTCCTGGCGAATGCCTTTTATTACTTCTTCAATCACCTCTACGCAGTCCGACTTGAGGCAAAGAGGACGAACGAAACACATTTTAATCGAATCACAAATAATGACTAAAGCACATCTTTTGCTTCTTATAGATACTGGTCTAATACCAACTGCGAAATCAATTGCAAGTGTTTTCAATGGAGAAGGTATATGTCCAGGGGGTCTCACTTTTGCATGAGAGCGTCTTTGACCTTTGGTTCGATCACATTCTGGACAAGATACACTAAGGCCATCAACGTGAAAGTGACCAAGTCTACGATGTATGTCTAATCTTGAAGCTTGTGAATGAAGTCTAGCTTCTTCTATACTAGTGCATACTATATCCTCCTCAGTTTCATTTTCTTCTTTGCTAAACATGTCACAGCCTAGAATAGGTAACTGCATCTGGGGGCAATTTGTTATGGGTAGAGAGCGGCCGGAGCGAGTATTGTACAACGTTCCGCCACTTTCTGTGAAATTCATTTGCCAACCCTTTTCATGACAGTTTCCTTCACCTAACCACGGTATAATGCGATCTATGGCTTTTGGTAAGTGTTCAAAGTGTACGCCATATTTTAATCCTAGTTTGTTTTCTTTTAGTCTACCTAGGTTCCCACTTCGCTTTCCAGCAGTGCCACTAATATGACAAAGCCGGTGGCTAATTTTCTTGAAATCGGAACGATGGCTAGACAAATACTTATTTGCACAACTGTCAACAAGTGAAACTGTTTTGCTTTGATTTGCACTAAGATAGCAACCTGAGTGATTGTCAATCATATAGCTTTCATCCCTAAGCAGTTCACTTCTATATTCTTTATTCTCAAAGTTTTCTTCCAAGTTCAGCGAACATTTTCCATCCTCATTTTGGAAATCTTCTTCCAATTCTTCTTCATCTTGGGACTGTCCATCTCGTCTCCCATATCCATTCCATTCCGGATTGGTTTCGACTCAGCGTTGTGGTTGTTGTCCACCCCATTGCTGCTGTGGGTTACCGTTGTCGAATCCTTTTCCTCCACTTTGTTGCGGTGGATAGTTGTTCTGGTGCCACGGAGGGATAGTGTTACCTTGCGGCCAACAGTTGTATGAATTGTTGAAGAAGTTGCTGCCCATGGCTTTGTTAGGTTGGTAGCTTTGACTCATCGGGTTTAGCCAGCATTTGTGCGCCTTATGTCCATATTTGTGACAATAGTTGCACTGGATGCCCTCATTAGGATTTGAGTTCTTAGCACCTTTACCTTTGCCATTTCCTTTGTTCTTCTTACTACTAGAACTACTACTACTACTCTTTCCACTTCCTTTTGTTGCGTAGACCTCGTTCTTGATTTCTTTGCGAATCTTCTTGCGAAGTCGTTTGATCGTTGTTTTCTTGAGAGCGGCAAACGCGTTACCATCGTCATCACTCTCATCTTGACGTTTACGCTTCTTGGTTTTGTTATTGTTCTGGTTTTCATCATCGGAATCTTCGACAGCTGGAAAAGCTTTGCCGAAAGATGGATTCTCGATCTTGTACTCACCAGAGTCAATCAAACTTTGAAGCCGTTTCGTGAGTCTGTCACCGATTTGGACGAACGTTAGATGTTCATCTTCTTGCATCCTCTCGATTGTCTGTCGAAATGCTTTGGAAAACATTTTTGGCAGAATGTCGAGGATTGCTCCGTTTTGTTGATCAGCAACAGCCACACCAACTTCCGGCGGGTATACGGTCGGAGATTGGTTCATGACATCTCTAACCTTCGCCAAGAATGTTGGAACGTCTGGAGGAGAATCACTGTTCGTGAAATGCATCCCTTCCAACGCTTTAGCAGAGATTCGCTGCTCTGTGCGGTCATTTTGACTGAAACCAGCGTCACGGAGGTTTGTTACCACTTCACCAGCGTTCATTACAGTGGTATCCTGATCCTTCATATGTGCTGCGGCTGCACCTTTGAGCGACTTGATGATCACGTTCTTCAAATCTCGCCAATTCTGCTGGAGCTTGCGGTCGTTGTTGTTGGGTTGGTTCGGAATCCCTGCCGCATTGCCGTTCAGCACGTTGTTGAAGTATTGGACTAGGTCCAGGCGGTCCGCTTCTTGCGTTACCGCTCGAAGCCAGTCACGCCAGTCAGATTTCTGTCCCAGTTTGGGTGAAATCTCTCCAAGACTCATATCGGGCATTTTGTGGCGCAAATAATGCGACTTTGTTTTCTCTACTTCTACAAAGTATTGACTAGCAATTTCTTTAATAAGGTAAGGCTCAAGGGCTTGAAACAGTGTTGGAACACCCGAACACGTCCAAGCGCAATATGAGGCTCTTGAGAGTAAATGGAATGATTATCGTTGCAATGTAACAGAAAGACGATCAGAACGGACGTGCCGAATGATCACTGACTGTTTAAGGCCCTGAAATGGTATCAAAATGGGTTCAATGTCATTGGGATATCATGAAGGGTCATAGTGCAGTTAAAGATCTGGGAGATCTTGCTGCTAATTCATGTTGGAATTCATTGAGTTCAAACGATGATCATAGGAGGAACTAACAAGAGTTCAAGACAAGGAACGGCATTGATCATGATCAAGGTGACGAGTGAGAGCAGTCATTTGACATTGAAATCAGGTTCATTCGTTGGATCTTGAGCCAGTAATGACCATTGACCAACACTTTTCATTATTCGAACAATCAATTACATCTTTCTTGATTTTCACACCAGTTTGATGAATTATTAGCATTATAGCGCATTTTACTATTTTCTTCATATTAATACAACTTCTCTATCTCTTGTTCATGATGATATTCATTCCTCAGGCTCATCATTCATTGTACTGTAGTTGTGTCAACATCTAGTTTGTTCCATGTAAGATTCATGTAAGATTAGCTTGCGAAGAAAAGATGGCGACCGACTTCATAATTGAACGCGTCTTCGGACAAGAGGGTGACAAGACTTTCACTGAAGATGCAAAGCGGCGACGAGTCGACTCCAGAGATGACTCGTCAAATGCAGATGATGCGCAGACAGCGGGTCGTGGACTCCCTTCTAGAAACGACAACCGCGACGACGAGGACTCAACGTCTTTGCTCTTTCTCACTGCCGATGACGTGAAGGCGATAGAACGCGACATATTCTACCAAGCCTACGATATTTCGAGGACTGCGACGCAGAGTACGCTGTTGGCTAAGATGAAGAAGAAGAGAGGAAATGATAGTACTGGAGAAGGGGAAGGACTAGCAGTGGGAGAAGACCTGCTTGGAATACAAAGGAGACACCAGCATGGAGAGAACAAGAAACGCCATCAGGAAGAGGACTTGCTTCTTGCCCCCTTACAGCGTATCAAACGCTTGCTAAATCGCGAGAAGGCGAAGATCAATCGGTTTCAACTAAACTTGGAGAAGGAGACTTTGCGGAAACGATACGGTAATGAATGGGGCACGAATCCAAAGACTAAAGATGTGGATTTAACACTGGTGTTGAGGAATTTCGACAGGTTCAAAAACGAGCACGTTGTACTACCTCCAGTACGACAACGAGAGGCCGCTGCACTAGAAGACAAGCCTCGTCCAACAGCGCAACAACTAGCAGAAGTAAAGCGGTCCATGTTGATGGACGTCTTCTACGCCAAGCTGACAGACGCGATTTATCCCATGCACTTCAAAAAGGAGCTACAAGAGCGAGTCAACCTGAAGCGGTTTACGAATGCGGCGTTGAAAATGACCGAGGTGTTGTGCAAGGAAGACTTGTGCCGATGCAGTGGCAGTAGAAGGAGTGGTTCTACGGGTGGTGCCCGAGAAGGTGTTGCTACAGGTGGAGCATCATCCTCATCTTCATCGTCTTCTTCCTCTAGTACAACTTTTACACATTTTGCCAACGCGGAATTGCCCGGATCTTTTCTTTGCGCAGTAAACTGTCATCTACGGTTGCACTGGAGTGTTGCTGGTGAGAGGAAGCGGCGGTATGCACTGGATAATGGAAAGGAGGAGGTTTCTGTTATGGACAAGGTTGAAGTCTAAGTTGTAACTAGTAGTGCGTAGACTTGCTTCTAATTCTAAACGACTTGAAGTGCTAGCAAATGACGTAAGGTCCTGTTAGTTGATCGAAAAGTGAAAATAAGCGAGTTGTAACAAATTATACAACAACTGAGTATCTGAGATTGTTATCTAGAAGATTACTCGCTTATTTCAGGTTTTCGAGTGAGTAGTAAGTAGGCATAGTTTCACCTTCATCATGTTCCTCTAACGTTTCCTACAATCCTGTTAGTTAAGTAAGTATGCTCACCTTCTTCTTCCTCTAACCTTTCCTACAAGCACTGTTCTCACCTTCCTGTTCCTCTAACCTTTTTTACGAGCACTATTCCTGGTACGGCAACAGCTTGCTTCCCGGTGACATGGGACCGAATTCGCCAGGATTGCCAGACTACTTCCTTTTCCACGAGCAGTATCCTGAGCGGTGGTTGATGCGTGAACCCTTTGAGGATCAGGTGAACCGCTTACTGCACACCATCCCTAGAGCTGCTCAGAACAGTGGAACCAGCGTGGGGAGTGTGTGCAACGTGATCGACGAGCGGGAAGCGTATCCTTTGTTAGCAGCAGGCTTGGAGAAATGGACAGTAGTTTTGTTTGGGAACAAGGAGGTAGAAGAGCAGCAAGAAAGAACTTCTTCCTCTTCAACATGGACGTTGAAGGTGCACATGAAAATAGACTCCTCTGAATCTTCTTCGGAGGTGGTTGCGGCGGACCTGCGATCCCGTGTCGCGCGAGAGGTGAAAGAATTACTAGTGCAGATTGCCGCTGAAGTTTCTCTACTAGATGAGAAATCTTCCAAACAGGAACAAGAAGCTGCTCGTCCTCTTTGCCTCTTCGCCTTCCGCCTAAAGCCTCGACGCACCCCACCAGAGTCCACCATGAATGGCGACATTTGCAGAATGGACAACTTAGAGTACATCAAAAACTTCTTCAGTGACGCGAAAAAAGTGCATCTCTACACCTCAGACGCGGGAATCGGCCTAGACATCGACGAATTCGCAGAACAGGAAAAAGTCGAGTTCAAACTCAAACTCGCAGAAGTAGTGTGTGCACTACTCACTTTGAAGACAGGAGGCAATATGATGATCAAGATGTACACTTTTTTTGAAAAGCTGACCATAGACGTCTTGATTTTGTTGGGTTTCTTCTTCCGGGAATTGAAGATCGTAAAGCCGTTGAGCAGCAAACCAACCAATTCGGAGGTTTACCTGGTCGGGAAAGGGTTTGAAGAAGATGATCAAGGGGATCAACAAGAGGCTCTTAATGTTAAGGCTACCGCTAACGCATCCCCCTGCATCATGATCCTCGGCTTCTTTTTCAACGGAAAAAAGGCTCGGGGATGGGCTCAAGGATGCGACGTGGTAGCTCTAATAATGGTAATGCTGAGAAAAACTGTGGTGGATCCACGACATCTGAATCTGAAAGGAGCACTATGATCGTCCGACAACGCATCCTCAACCTCTTTCTCGAAAAAATCGAGCATTTCGAAGATACCAGCTGCAAGGACCCGAACGGTTTCGATCTTGGCTTTTTGCCACCTGCAGCCATACAGAAAGCGGATATCGCCACCTTCACTGGTGCTTCTTCGCAGATTTATTTGAAACAAGCTGTTTGGGTCAATCGTAACCTCTTTTTCATGCATCAACACTGGATAGAGAAGAAAGGACAATTCACTATCAAATCCGTGAATGACGCGAACAAGGTAGCGCGGCGCATTCAGAATGGCATGAAACCTCTAGTCCAACGCTATTTGGAGACATTCATTGACCAGTATGATTTCTACAGGGCGTTAGAAGATGATGAAAATGAAGTACTCTTTTGAAGAACTCCAGCAAGATAAACGCACGCTTAATAATAGTGATCTTACCCCAGAAGAAGAACTCCTGTCGCCCCTGACCATAGTTAGTTTGTATTCGTATAAATCTCTGCCATTCACGAAAAGCGCATCAAATCCTCAAAGTCAGTCAGGCTTGATGATTCCCCTTTGGCTGTGTGTTCTTTTGCGGGATGGGTGCTACTGCGCAATGTTGATCATCACAAGCAAACTACAGCAAAACTACGGCAAAAGTGATAGTCTCATAGACATACCATCGTTTTAGTACTAATTTGCGTGGCTCGACGAGGTCAGGGGGATTGATCGTACTATAGATACTGCTACGGGAATTATTGAGGACCACATCTCCGTTCTCCTCGGTGAAATACGATCAGTTTATTCAGAAAAACAACGTACCCCTACCACTAGACTCTAGTAGAGATGAAAGATATCTTTAGAACAACTCACCTTCACATCGAGAGAATATAGAAATGACACACGGAGGGCCAGGGCCGTCTTGCAGTCTCTCGTGAGCACTCCGTCTCCGTTCACAGTGCAGCCATTTTCGTTCCTGCACCGGCATCAGGACCTCCTCCACTACCCAAAGCAAGATGCCAGAACAACTCGTCCCAGAGGACGTAATGGTGCCTTCATCCGGGATGCACCAAGATGGGGACCCTACAGTTGGTGCACCAGACGGCACCGGCAGCCGCTTTGATGAAATGTCCGAAAGGATCCGACATCTGGAATCCGAAAAGACCATGTACATGCAAATGGCACACGCGATCAAGGGCAATATTCGTGTTTTTTGCCGATTGAGACCGGTACCGGTCAGCGGAGCAGCTGGAGGTGGGAGTAATCTTATGCGAAATTACAACGAAAATATAAATAATGATCTCGTCCTACGAAAACTTCTATTCCTATCGCCCTGACGGTTCTTCACTCGAACTCACTGTAAATGAAGAAGATAATGATGAACAAAGGAATTATAGGAATTTACTACAGCATGGACCTTCATGATCTTGTTCCTCTTCCTCCTCTTAGAAGTAGAACTGAGTCAAAAAGTCGACCACCACACACTTCTAAAACAGCTTCCTCTTCCGCGTCAACCATTGCTGCAAGTAGGCTGAAAGTTATTTCGGAGACGCAGCTAGAGGTAAACCTCAACGCCGAATATGGCATGCGTGGGGAGCCGAGACTTATGGCCGTAATCTTTGGATGACCTAGTTTACAACAGTGTTCGTGGTCTTGGACTCTGTACTACTTAGAAATTTGACTTCCGCAACAGATACAAGACAGTTTTCTATCTCTTAGGGAGAGTATTTAATACTTCATCTAATCCGAAGTATTTAATATTTCATACTAATTAAGCTTCTTGAATTCTAAGGCCAACGAGATTGTTGTTAGTTAGAAGGAGGCTGGAGATACTACAAGTGGTTTGCCTCAGATCATTCTCTAATCTCAGAAAAACCCTTCTCCCTGCTGAAGCCTCAAACGGCGCGACGACATCAACCGCGTTACTCAATAGGAACATGAGCGCGACGGGGGAGCTCATCGGGGATGGCGGTTTTCAAGGCAATAATGTGCTGTCGCACCAACAAAGTGCTGCAATGCTCATTACGGAACGATAATATCAACAGTCACAAGTACTTAAGTAGAAGGAAGTTCTTTCCGTTTTCAGTAAAAGGAATTTCAAGAATGAATCTCGTAGTCTCTTCTCCAACTCTAATCGGCACAACGAACCCAAACTTTTCTTTTTCGATCGACTCTTCGCGGAAGGCGACAGCGACGAAAACGTTTTCGGGGTCGTCAATGAGGAGATTCGAGCCGCGCTTGAGGGGCACTTCGTGAGTCTCATAGCCTACGGTGCAACTGGCAGTGGAAAGACGCATACTATTTTACGGAAGATGATAGTTTTTGTATTGTAGTTGTTGTTCTTTGACCTTACTCAGGTCACCCATCATGATCCTCGGAGTCGAGCAGGTGCCGGCGGAGCTCGATGTGCAGGATCCATAACCTAACCTAACCTACAGCTGTGGAGTGATTTCGCTTTTTGTACTAGCATTTATTATACTGAACAAAAGAAGAAGAACATACACATACCAGAAAGTCTGAGAATCTAGTCAGTAGACGGCCACCAGTAAAATAACACTGGCACCTCTCTTTCTAATCCCTTCCAACCTCGGGAGGCGGATGGGTTCTCAATTACAGCAGTACTGCAACCAAACTGCGAAATGCGGTGATCTGATGGACCTCCAGATTCAAATTTTGGAGATCTATAACGAACAAATTCGAGACTTGTTGTTGGAACAAGAATCTGGTGGGAGTGTTATGATAGAGGAGTCCTAGTATGGAAGAGGAATTGATAACCTCTATGATCCAGCACCGCCGCTCGTTAGACGGCCGCAGACGGTTGAATTGATAACCTGGAGGTCTTTCTTCAAGCCTCACATTGAAACTCAAGGCTGCTGTCTTCAGGCCGGGGCCTTTAATTATATGGCCTTTTCTAATCTGAGAAGCAGCAGTTACAACCATTTAGCGACCCCGCCGCCCGCGATTCGAATCGTGAACAAACAGGACACAACTTCCTCAAGCATTGGGGCCTCATCCTCCTCTTCGGCAGTTCCTGTTAAGGCTCAAAATGATTCATCTCACTCTTTTGATTCACTTTTCTGAGGCCGCTATGAGAAGATGCACTGAGGTTCTACTTTCGTTCTTTGATCCAATTTTCTGAGACTTCTATCAAATGAACCTTACGCTTACCTTATAGAAGACGAATCAGCTTGATGACTTGATGAGCGCTAACTTCTCAAGCGCCGTCTATGCCACACCTGTAACTACTTTGAGACTGGACCCAAATTCCTGTGCTGAGGGATTGGAACAGGCAATGCGAGTGGGAACGCGAAATCGCGTGACCCATGTAACCAATGTGCACGACCGCAGTTCACGCAGTCATTTGATCATCACGCTGTTCTTGAGGCGGACCTCCGGAGTGACGGGTGAGTTGCTGCAAGCGGGGAAGCTGAACTTGGTGGACTTGGCGGGGAGTGAGAGGGTAATCCATTTTTTGGAGGATGTCCGAGGCCAAAAGCTAGTAGGTGGAGGAAGGTGTTGAGGTAAGTAGATTATAGAAAAAGCAGTGAACTAGTAAAGATCACTGAATCTGAATCCCTCCAGTCCCTATATTAATTAATAATCTCATCTTGACACACTACTTGACACACTTCTACGTCATGCACCAGGTAAAGAAATCCGAAGCTACTGGGGAACGATTGAAGGAGGCGCAGCATATCAACAAGTCTTTGTCCGCACTAGGCGATGTTATCTGGGCCTTCGAGAGAAAGCTGAACCATATACCCTATCGGAACAGTAAGCTGACGCATCTGCTACAAGATTCTCTAGGCGGTCCGACGACACGCACAGTGATGATCATCACTTGCAACCCGCACATCAACAGCACCCAGGAAACTTTGCATACACTGCAGTTTGGATCCAGGGTGAATTCAGTTGCGATGAATAAGTTAAGGCAACAATAAGGGAAGAACATGTGATGTTGGTGATATGATGCTTGAGCGTGGGTTTGGATTTTTTGAGTTCGTGGCAACTGCATAGAAGTTATAATGCAGCTTGTGCAAGAGCAAGTTCTTTTGAGAAGTAAAAAGTGCAGCGAATGTGCACTGATCCCGTTTCTATGAAACAAGTACAAGGACTAGTACTTAGCCTGCAAACTTACCTTATCATGTTTCAACCATAAGAAGAAGTTACGGCGTCACAAGTGCAGAAGTGACGTGTTGTGGACTGTGTCCGAACCATAAATGAATCTAAACCTTCTACTATGTATGTTGCTGCACTTCTAACCTCTGGCAGCATGGTGAACTGCGTGGAGCAGAACCGTCTCCAGGCTCTCGTCGATCAAGAACAGGGCAAAGTTGAGAAGGAAGTGGAACGCAACGCACTGTTGGAACGCGAGATTGTGAATAGAGACGACAAGTTGAAGTCTCTTCGCGTTGAGCTACAGGATATGAGGACTAGGATAGGCCAAGTAGGCACGCTGGAGCGCAAGCTTCTCGCGTCAGAACAAGAACGAGCTCGACAAGCAAAAGAGATAGAACGCCTTAGAGGGGCTCTGCTTCAGAACGGAGGAGCTACGAGCGGAGGAAGCAAGACTACTGCTCCTGTTCATTCTCATAGTTGTACTAACGACAACACGGGAGAAGGGTACTATAAGATGAATGTGAACCAGCTAGAACAAGAGGAAAATCAGCTGAGTAGAACTGACACCAGTCATAGTAGTAGCACTGCTAGTGCAGCTAACATGAACAAGAACATTAGTGGAGCTGGAGGCTCATCAGCCTCAGGAGGAGCACCTGGAAGTGCACCTACGTCCGCCACATCCGCAACCAGATTCACTCCTCATAGTCGAGTTCCTGCTGTCACACAGCAACACACGTCGTTGTCCCCAGGTCGTGCCACTTCTTCTAAGAATTGTTCGTTTACAGCAGTAGGAGGTGGTGGCGCTTCAACGACTAACATAACCTCAAGCACAGCCTCCAGTCGGAGAGCTACCAGTATGAACTACTCACCAAGAGGTTACCAATCGCAACTCTCGAGCCACTTAGTGAGCTCATCGACAAACACAAGTTCATCGTCCTCGTCGTCTAGTGGCACTACAGGTGGAGGAAATGCGAGCGGCAATGTTCTTGCAGCTAATGGTACAGAAGTCGAAGATCATGCTCACCAGCCACATGTTGCTCATCAAAGAACATCTTCTACTTCTACCTCCTACCATCCTAGTGGCGCAGCGACTTTTCGAGGTGGTAGTCGGTCTCCAGTTTGCTTGACGCAGCGCAAACCAATAGCCTCAGCAAGAGGTCAGCCTGGCGCCTCCTCTTCATTGGCTGGAGGCGCCGTGGCATCGTATAAAACTGCTTCCCCACTAGTTGCAGCAGCATCCTCGTCAAATACAGGCGCAGGTGGTAGCGGCGCTAGTGGAGTAGTATCCTCAACTACTACTCCTGCTGTGTCATCCAGGACGAGAGGCCCAGCAGCTGGAGCAACTAGAACGAGTGTCACGGTGTCAGCTGGCGCCACGTCAAGCGGACAGACGAAAGTGGCAGGATCCTCTGGGAATCCAGCTAACGCAAGTCATCAGCACAACACGAGTTCTCATCATGGAGGACAACAACTCCAACATGGCACCACCTCCAGTACTACCAACACAAGAGCAGCAAGCAGTGGCGCGACTCGCCAACCCGGTTCTGCGTATGTGATCAGTCCTGCTACAGGAGGGTCCTCCCACCAGATGAGGCAACATCTACCGGCTTCTGGGGCCTTATCTTAAGGCTCACGACTTCTTTGTCATCTCGGACGTTTTTTCCGCTATAGGTGGTCACTCTACTCTCTAGATACAGTTGTAGTTCCCTTCTTGGGATCCTGAGGAAAGAGAAACAAGCTACGATCCTGAAGAAATAAATTGCTGTGAGGCTTAAAAGTACGACCACTAGGGTGGATGCCAATCAATCAATCAATCAATTGCTGTGAGCTCTAATTATCTGCACGTCTCTCTCTGACGCCAGGAACGTTGTCGCCTTTGGTGCCCATGCTAGGCTTTGTCAATTACAACAGAACGGGGAGTGACCAAGGTTCTGCCCAACTACATGCTGGAACTTCCTCTAGTATTAAGACTTCTTATCCAGGAGTTCCCGTAGTTTCCTCTCGCGGTACAGGCTCAGGCCAACATTCCCAACATTCTCAACAACAACATCCAACAACGAGTTGTAATGTACCATCCAGTAGTACTAGCGGTTCGAACTCTGTTTCTCATGTGTCTGGAACAACATCCTCTTCCTCCTCTGTAACACGAATAGTCGGAGGCCATGGCCAACACCAAGCTACCATGAATGCAACTACAACATCTACTCGAGCAAATAGTGAGGCGCCAACAAGAAAAAATAGTTTTGGCTTACCTCAAGTACGGACTCCCCACCTACTGTTTCCAACGAAAGGGGCGGCTGTCGGCAACGGAATACCACCACCGTCGCCAGCCTATGCAGCAGAAGCCAATAGGCCACAGTACTTAGACGTTTTCAGCTGCGATCCTAGCATTTATTAATTTTTGGACAGAGTAGTTGTACTCAGTACTCGTAATACTAGGTAATTGGGCTCCTCTACTGCGATTCTGAAAGTTGATCTTTACGTCTTCCCCTTCCAGTTCCAAGTAGCCTGATTATAGATACAGATATAATTTACATGCTCAACGTAAGGAAGAAAGGCTCTCTTCTCGATTTAGAAGGTACTTAGATATGGCGAAGAAGGTGTGAAGTAGTTGTATCCACGAATTCACCACGAATTCAACATGTTCTTCATCTTCCTCCTTGTACCAGGATCATCATATATTACAGAAAATGGCGAAGAATACTGTACTTAGATAGACGTTTTCAGCTGAGATCCTAGCATTAGATAGACGTTTTCAGCTGAGCATCCTAATCTCTGTCTACTTCCAAACGCAAACACCAGGTACTTCATCCAAGAAATCGATGCTTCGGAAGCACGGGAATTTTGTAGTCAGTATAAACATCTGTCAGAAATGACGACGGAGGATGCGGAGATGATCATCCTCAGTCGAGACCCGGTGATGAAGCATTCGGATTCACAGGTATGCTGTTAAACTCTGTCTGAGATTACTGCTGCCTACTTCGTAGAGGATGCTCATAGTGATTGTTTAGAAATTCACATCATCTTCGCTTGATGATGAAGTGAAAAACCTGACTCAGGTTTCCGTCTCCTCAACCGGCAGTGACATCAGAACTCGTTTGCAAAGGAGTTTGAAGATGGATGTTGACAAGGGCCCGCCAGGACGATTCACGGAAACGAACCATAGTACGAGAACTCATAGCACAAGAGGAAATACAAATAGTAGTGGAGTAGGAAAGCGTAGTTGGAATTTCGTGGTTTGATGAATCTGAAGAACTTCAAGATTTATTACATTTGATAACAATGGATACGTGACAGAAAGTCTTCGAATAGTCTTAGCAACAAAGAAATAGCGTATTCGGTCCCTTTTATGGATCATCTTTCACAGTCAAATGCCCTTAGGTAAAGATACACCGCATAAGATTAAACTCAATAACTAAACATGTTTGTTTCTTTGAGAATGTTGATAGAGATAGACATAACAAGGTCTAGTAAGTATCACCATGACTACAACACGACACAATTACATCCGATAACATAAGGGTCGATTTTTTACTAACTTTTTTCGCAGATGCTAAGAACATCTGCCGATTCGTCTACCGACAAAATATTAAGCAATGGTACTGTTGCTCAACATATCATAAGGATGAATATAAATCTTCTGTGGTGGTGGTGCAACACCCGGACTCTGCGATGAATGCAAAACAATCACTGTAGCACGTGATGAACCATGAACACAACTGAAGCACGCAAATTTTCCTTTGATAACCTTCATGTTCCTCGCGATCACAAGAAATTGAGTTGTTGTTGTTTCAGTCTTGTGATCAGTTCTTTCAGTTCTAACAACTGCACAACTAAGTACATACCCATCTTCAATCTCCATTCTATCGACAAAGTGAGTCTTCTTGCTCGGGATCTTTGACTGCTTCCATACATTGGCAGCTGCGTCCTCTAAGACGCGTTTTCCTCGTATTAATCCTCTGCCATTTGTCACTACAGCGTCCTCTAATATCTTCATGTTGTCTACAACATTGTGAGCAGTGGTCCCTCGCCCAGCGGATCCATGACATAGTTTGTGTTTGACGTTTTGTTGATGCAACCCTTACTCAAAGCCTGTCACTGTTGAAAATATCCCTCGTTTGTGTAGTGCCAAGTAGTTCGGTACCTGCTATATTTCTAAGGACAACGAACCTCTACTACAATCAACATCTAGTCGTGCCTGGTGCTCTAATACTTAAATATATTTACCTGCTTAGACATGATCATCATCTTCAATCAGCAGTAAAATGATCGATCCTGTCGTTATTCGCGCGTATGTGGAAAACCTTCCAAAGAAGGAGCTAGACCGCGTCTACACTTTTTTGCGGGGCGTCTCCTCTGACGTGCTGGAAGTACCTATTTCCCTGAGGGATGTCTTGCGCGAGCATAATGATCCTGCCAGAGGCACCACCTTCGGCAGCTTGGCCTTTTGGAAAGGCATACTCTTTCACGAGTTAGAAATCCCGTTGCACTGCATTGAGGTGGTGCCGGAGAGTCCGAAGTACATGAAAATTCCTGAGTATTTGCGGGATCGGGAAGTTGTAGTCACGGGAGGCGGTACAGGCGGAGAACGAGATCAACAGCAGCAAGCTAGTGGAGGGGAAGGTGTTCAGCGTGTAGGTGCTGGTCCGCAAGTAGGGAATCTTGTCGAAGCTGCGGAGAGTGGAGCATCAACGATTATGGTCAACAATTTTGGGTGTCCAGCTGCTCTCTCGGCATCTTCTTGGTACTAGTACCCTTTTGCCCTGTTGTATTCTCATGATGGAATACAAGGTTCTTGTAAAAGGGGTCAACAAGATCATGAGAGGGCCGAGATGCGTTGCGGCACACGCTAAAACAACAGCTCAAAATGCTGGAGGTAGTAACGAATCAGAAGATAGTGACGAAGATGAAGGAGATGGGTGGGAATTACAAGGTCGCACGGCAGGAGATGAAATCTTTCTGGACTTCTTCGGTCTAAACGACAAGGACAACTACTCTGCTCCTGCAACATCATCTACCAGTCCACGTGGAGCAGCTAGGGATGAGCAACAACCGAGGTTCCGCGTAGTCATCAACGAGTACAAGATCCTGGTCGAGAAGGAAAGATCGGATCTGCACAGAATGAAATTTATGTTCTTGGAACAAAGTCCTCACTACATTCTCACTCCATGGAAATACTGGTCTTGGAAAGTCCTAGCTTCATCTTATTACTTACTATGTTGGAAAGGACTACCCTAGGCCGTAGCCCTAACCCTAATAAACACTACTGCTTGTTCAGTAGCAAGAGTACTAGAAACAAAAAGCCTATAATCTGTAAGACTTATTTCAACAACTACTCTGAAAAACGTACTAACTTCTACTTGCATGTTCTTGTACAGAAGTTCTGGTGGTTCTATTAAACAAGCCTATTCATATTCTAGAAGTGGTGGTATATATAATAGGCTGAACTTCTACATGAAATGATGAAAATCAAATGCTCAACATCTAGATCTAATTCCCGGCACAAGCTGAACAACATGGGTCCAGATCGAGTCGGGGAATTCTTCTACCTCGAACTCTACAAACAACACCAAGACTTCACTTCCAAGGTCCGACAAGGCTATCGACTCCTCCTTCCACCAGAACGGATGCTCAAAGGAGCCAACAAGGACGAGCTTATCGGTTTGAGGAACATTGAGCGGGCCTTCTACGATTTCCCGTCAAAGATTGATCCTAAACTCTACGACATTCTTCTGAAGGATTACCCCTTTGAAAAAGGGTGCTACAACAAGGCAGAGTTCTATAGACTATGCCACGAGTCGCCGTTCTTGGCGCACGCGATGGTCAGGCATCCTCAGGTCGCCATACCAGATCAAGTGTTGAACTTAAGGCTTGTGGGTGTAGCATAAATATTACTATCAGTATCTCTCTGGTCTTACTCTGAGGTATCTTCAGTACTCTCTTGAGTGGCTTTCATCCCCGTGATCTCATATTCACCCCATTACGTCCTGTTTATGAGGCCTTACGCAGCAGGTTCCTCTCTACAGAATGCTTGCATGCGTGGATATCCGCACGTGGAAGCAATTATAACATGAGCATAAATCTACATCTAGAATATTAAGAGCAGGGGACGAAACCAAGTAGGGGAGAGAAAGCATTCTCATAGCAAGGCACTCAGCAAAAGCGACGGATACTAGTGAAAACCTAGGGAAATCTTAGGCAGATTGCCGAGTACATTTACATCATCACTAGTGAAAATATACAAGAACCTCTAAAAAAAGTGGTCGATCCAACGTGTTGCACCATGTTCAACAACAAGCCTCTAGGGAGCGAGGAACTAGGATTGGCGATACTGGAGAAATATGGCAGCCGCCTCAGCAAGAAGATGCTAAACGCGATAGCAGAGCCACATCACACAAGCTGCTTGACCCGTGCAATCGTGGCAGGGTATGAGACGCTGGCTCTGGCCTTCCTGGACCTAGTGGATGAGAGACAATACGTCACGCCGCCAGCTATTATGGGAAGGATATCATAGTTTTAGCAGATACGAGGATACTTGATGATAGTTCTTACCCTTTTCTCTTTTCTATCTTCCTCTGGTGGTCTTTCTTTTTTCTAGTTATGTCGGCTCCACCACAATGATTCAAGAATCTAGAGCAGTCTGACAACTACCTCCGTTCAGTATGACAATTTTTGGCTAACACTTCTCAGGTAATGATATTCGAATATCAACACCGCTAAGGACATTCATGCATTCATTTACGTAGCATCAAGAAGTCGGTTTTTGACTTTGTAAATTCACTACTGCGCCGTTCTTCTTGATCATTTCCTATGGGTAAAAATATTTAATATGAGTCAAATGATCGTGAGCCTTGTCCCATCTTCATATCTCGAGGAACAGCTGGAGACGAGTGGACGATGTCAGATGATAGCGAGATCGAGAATCCGGAATTTGGAATGCCGATCTTGACAAAGGAGCTTCTAGAAGAACCCTGCCGTCAGGGATATGCGATCTATCATCGACAGTTAAGAAGTGAAGGTGGAAGTTTATACTAATATCGTCCTTTCTTTTTAAGAAGTGAACGTCGTGAAGGTTGAGGAAGCTTACTGATTACTACTCAACAGGTCAGAGTAGAAGTAGACAGGACAACTAGGAAAGCTCCAACATTTTTACCCTCTAAGTTGTACCACTATCCTTTCCTGTGCACTCTTTCTCATTTCTAGCTACAAATAGGATCTACGCTACCCAGTAACTGCATTTATTGAATCCACTTAGCACTCAGTTGCGGAGATGAATAGATGAATAGGGAAAATCATCTATTTCTCTTGATATTGTCTCCATTTTTGCAGAAGAATCTCTTCCGCTCGGCGCTACGACAGCCCTGTCGCTCTCTAACCTCCTACGGAAGGCAGTTCTCGTACTTGGCAGATTTTCCGAATAATAACGGCGGCCGACATCCTCAACCTACAGATATTGCGCACATCCTCGGAATGCCAAAGGTCCACGACAGGATTCAAGAATTGATCAAGGAATTGAGCTAGTTTCTAGCCTTTTTCTTGATTAAGGATAGAGAAGCATGGGACTATGAAGATGTCAGGGGATGGGGAGAGTGGTGATTATATATGAAATCACATCTTCGATGCCCTTAGGGGCAGCAACACACGACCACAGTGAAAGAGGATATTCCAAACTGTGAGGAAGAACAACAACAGGGGAATACTTATACTTAAGTATCTTAAATAGCAAGGAAAGACGAGGTCGAGGGGTGCTTGTGCAGCATCCTCGTGTTGAGGATGGGATTGGGATTGTCCTATGCTATGCTATCCTATGTATAGGATATGCGCAAAGTCGAAAAGGAAAACTTCTTTAAGAAATATAAGCGTACAGCAGACGAAGAGGCGCCAGTCGTGTTCTAAGGAATCACTGAGAGTCGAATAGATACTTAGACATCAGGCGCAGGCAAGGGACATCTTGCTTCTCAAAAAGAACTGCGGAGTCCCCTTCATGATCCTGCGAACAATTGTATCTGTTGTTGATTGACATTGAGGTAAAAATAAGTCTGAGGTTGACCACAACGCTGAGAGAAGTGAGGAAAATATTAACCCTTGGGTGAGTCTGTTGTATCTGTTGTTACTAGATCAGAACTTTGGCCTCCTAGTTCTGTCGCATTTCGAGCTGTCTGTTGCCGGAGATCAGCTGATCTCAATCTCTCTAATGATCTGAGTATATTCTCGTAAGTAGAACTGGATCTGCACGAGATGAATTATCAAATCCTGGTTAACTATAACTACGGTGTAGAGCAGGCAGTACAAGTTCTTCTGTCTAAGTACCTGAGAGTGGTCATAGCTCATGCTGACTTCTCTGTCTTGAGAGTGGGCATACTGTGATGAAGAAATATTCATCAAACGGTCTTTAATTTCTGTCCTACAAGTCTGTGAAGAAGTGGTACGTAGTAGAGCAGAAGGAAATATTCATCTGTAGAAGAGGAACGACGATCTGTATCTCAATCTTCTGTTTGGATGTACCTGATTCCTAGGTTTAGGTAGTGGAGAGGAGAGCCGATGAATAGCTTATGCGAACCAACTCATGATCAACCTCTACCAAACAGGACGTCTTGTTCTCCCTGGTGCTCCAGTTGTTCAACATCTGCCTCTGCTTATCCAAGTTGATGTACTCAGCGTGTCTTCACACCATTTTTCTTCTTGCTGTAGCTGATTTATTTTTCTTAAGCTCTTGTATGTAACTCTTGCTGTGGTTACAACTTATTTATAAGCTCTTATAACTCATACTTTGTCCTCGTCCCATCTAGTACTCAGCTTCATCCGACCATTCTTTCTCTTTTGATGTTCTTACTTCACTGCAATTACTAAATACTACTGGTTGTTCCGTATAACTCAGCTTCAACATCCACGGACCATTCTGTGTACCATTCTTCTTTGTGCCAGTCTTCGTTGTAGTTTTTTTCGTCTTGTGCGTGGGATAGACAAAGACAAAAGATGCAGGTGCAGGCCCATCATCTCGATGAAGAGGAATTGCCGCGAGGCGCCATATGCTGTTGGAATCCAGATAATCAGAGCGGATGCTGCGGATGCGATAAAAGTGTGGAACCCTCGTTTAAGGCTTAAGTAATTCCTCGTTGACTAGTTTTCTATGACTAGCTTTCTTTTTTATGCTACGATGATGTTGAAGATGACTACCAACCTAGTGAATGTTGTTGCTCAGGTATCTTGATAAGTGAACATGCCAACGCCGAAACCACTAAGCCAACTGCGCAGTTGGCTTAGTGGTTTCGGCGTTGGCCTGTTCACTTATCATATCTTTTTCTATATATAGGTTGTGATTGATTTGAGTGGTGGTGTACCACGGTAAATAAATTGAATTGACTGAATAATAATTTATTCTACTAGAAGTCCTGATCTAGAGCAAGTTAGTTCTCGGTCCTCTTACTGAAGTCCTCTTACTGAAGATTACTCTAATTTGAACTTGCCGAGATGGTGTTGTGCGGAATGCGTGTACCCAAACTACGTGGGTTGCAACACTTTTGCTATCGTCTGTATTTTATTTTTTGCGCTGCCCTCTCACTCATATTTATGGTTTACAACAACTTTGATTTTATATATATATTAGAATGGAAGATGAAGGACTTTACAAGAATAATGATTTTGATTACTTTCTTACTTGTTGGATACTTACTTTATTGTTTACCAATTCTAGTCCTACCACTTCTACGATGTAATTCATTGAATCCACGCTACGACAATCATTGTGATGAAACCACTTCTACCGCATGACCTTGACAGTGGTGGTCTTCACACTGATCCCTTTTGGCGCACTTATCCCACGCATCTACGTTGCCTGCATCTGGAAAGTTCCGCTTTGGGGAATCCATTATCACCGAAAAATGATCGCCGTCGTCGGACCGCCCATGATGGTGCAACAACAGCCGGGAATGTTAAGGCATCTTCGGACATCTTCTGATTCCATCCGACTCCTGCCCTTCTTACCTACCTTATCCTACTGTAGTCCCACATCGGTCCTCCTGATGGACATCTTGGTCAGTAGATGGTCCAGGAGAGACGTTTTCAAGCGGAAAACGGATCCAGGATGGTCCTCAGGAGAGATATGGGTGAGCTCTAAGAATGGTGATGCAGCAACAGCCGGGAATGGTGATGCAGCAACAACCGGGAATGGTGATGCAGCAACAGCCGGAGATGGTGATGCAACAAGAACAACAGCAGCCATATTACGGCGCAACTACTCAGTGAGACTGACAATCTTCTAAGAAAGTCGCCGTTGGCTTAAAGCACATAAATTGGAAAACTGACCGGTTAGACTAGGTTTACCCCAACACAAAATCACAATCTTTCAAAGTTGTCGTGGCTCCTGTCAGCCATTGAGCACGCTTAATATACCAGAGTTTAGGATCAAAATGTTGCAGTTATGAATTTAAGTATAGAAGATGGCAGTGGCAGCGGTTGAGATGTGAAGTGACATACAACATAATTAAAGATATAAAAATTGATGACAAAATTCTTGTAATAATTGACCACCACCATAATTAATGATATTATTGATGTACGACGACCGGCGGGTAGTACCCACGCAAGAAAAGATACAGAATTGCAATTAATGATCAGCTCAACATGGAAATAAAAATAATATGTACTCAGAAGAAGAAATCATATTTTTTATTCGATGTAGAGTAGAATCACCCATAACCTAACTTAGGTTAACGCACTTGATAATTATTTCACGACAAGAACATCAGCCTAGGACCTCCATTTCACGACATTCAGCCAGTATTGTTGGAATAGAAAGCCGAATACGCTGTGGGTCTTGGGCTTTGTCTCCAAATTTTTAGGTGATTCACATTCCTCTTGGTTCAGCAATCTCTGTGAGCAGGCTTGTAGAATATGAAAAGACCTTTGTAAGATGAATCTGTGAGAGGTCCAATCCCCATCATCGTCATCTGTGAGACTGAGAGAACAAGTTTCATGTCCTCGTCTGTCATTGGAGAATATGAATGATGTGAGCATTCGCGTTACTTACTATGACTATGAATGATGTGAGCAGTCGTAGTGCTCCTCCTGAGTAGACGAGCGCGAGACACTCTACTATCTGGTGTCCCTTTGCTAGTGAAAAGGATCTTCATGATGTGGTAGTTCTTTCAGCGTGAAAATTATATCTGTGGAGGTGGACGACTTCTTATCTTCCCAATCTTCACATGATTCATTGTTGATGGATATCCTCTCTTTTCCATTGTTCCCGATCGTATTTTTTTTTTTTGAATGTTGGAGAGGATCTTTCCCACCTTCCAAGTACTTACATACTGTGGAAGTAAAGTGTAACAACAAGAAGTGCTAGTGTACACTGTTCATACAACAAGGCTCCTGCAGCTTCATATTTATTTTACTCGAGAACGCAGGAGAGCCTCGAGGACATATAGGAACCACATCAAAAAAGATGGTAGCTGCTATCTCTGATCCCATGGATGAGGAGGAGATGCCGAAGGGCGCCCTCTGCTGCTGGATTCCAGATTCTCAGATTGGTGCGTGCGGATGTGACAAATCCGTGAGTCCGGGACTCTGCTCGCGACTCATTTGCGCCGAATGCGTGTACGTGAATTACGTGGGTCTCACGGTGTGCGGAGTTTTGAGTACAACTTCTACTTGTTCCACTATCTTCTTTGTACTACTATCTTTTGGTCACATGGTGAGGAAGTAGTGATAATTGCAGCTGATATGTACATCAACATCAACTTCTATCTATCTACAGTGTTGATTCCTGCCAGGCACGTCAATCAATCAATCAATCCATCACAATCAATTACTCGAAAACTGAAAATATCCGAGTTAGTGGCTACTTACGTTCTTCTCTCGGTGCCTGTATCCTAATTTCAAGTAGTTACTCGGTTATTTCAGTTTATCGAATACTGTAGTTACACAACGCACATCAACATCAACTATCTATCTTCGTCCACAGTGTTGATTCTTTTCGATATGGCTGTACTGGGACTCTTTTGCAATCGGATTTACGTAGTCTGTTGTTGGAGCCCGAAACTTTGGGGCACTCATTACCATCGCAAAATGATCGCTGTCGGCGCACCGATGATGGCCCATCCTGCAGCTGCTCCTGTCGTCGTGCAGCAGCAGCAACAGCATCTGTATGGGAACAATTACGGGGCTGCTTAGTCGTAGATCAGCATCAGGAACAGGGGTACGAGTACAATATCAACTCAACTTAAGTTCTTTGTTGAGGAGTACGAGTACAAAACACTGTCCGACATGTGAAGGAAAGAGCTCGACAGGTGGTGGAAAGTCGAAAGAAATCAAAGAACACGAAGTTGTACTTCTAGATAGAAGAACTTCTTTTATTAATTCGCAAGACGAAGACGAGGCAAGAAGAACACAAGAAAATAATATGAATATGAATGACCCGCAAGTATAACTAGCCGATTTTTAATAATTGAGGATAATATAGACGCCGACGCGATTGTAAGAAATCGAAACGGCTGTACCGGTGGACTCGATCATGAGAACAAGCTTTTATGGTGAAGATAACCAAGTGAATAAGAATTGATTCCTCGTTTCAAAAATTCTAGTAGTCAAAATTATCTTTTTGGTATGACATGTGCTGAGCGCAAATACGAACCCACATACTTACATGGCGCCAACAAGAAGCAGCTGCAGTAAGCAGATGTCCTTATACTTATAAGCTTAGACATTAACAATATCATGATCTATCATGTCAAACACGAGTATCATGAAGGTGAGAAAATATGTTGGCGCGCTAGTAAAACACCACGACTTGCTAGAAGTGGATTTTGGTGCGGTCATATTTAGGTTTTGTAAGTATAACTGTCAAACTACTACATCTGCTAATTATTACAGCTTCGACGAAAATATCTAGAACTAGATAGACATTTTTCGACGAAAATATCTAGATAGATATTTTTGCGTGACTACAGAAAAAAAGCGGTAGTTTTTCTAGAAGATAAACCTTGTTCTTTTGGTGATGAAAAAAGCAAGAAAACGGCCAGTCACTGAGCCCTCACTGAGCCCTCTGTCATGTGAGAGGAGACTTAATTATTTATATGTCTGCTTGAACAATCTGCTCAACAAGACAAGATCATGGGGGTGGGAATAACAACGTTTCTTTCATATATATGCATCTTCTGTCAACATGTGGAATAGACACATGATTGGCCATGTAAGCATCTTCTGTCAAATTGTGAGAGAAAACTGAACCTTCTTCTGTCAACATGTGAGAGGAAACTGAACCTTCTTCTGTCAACATGTGAGGGGAAACTGAACCTTCTTCTGTCAACATGTGAGGGGAAACTGAACCTTCTTCTGTCAACATGTGAGGGGAAACTGAACCTTCTTCTGTCAACATGTGAGGGGAAACTGAACCTTCTTCTGTCAACATGTGAGGGGAAACTCAATAGGCATCTTCTTCTGTCAGCATATGAGGGGAAATACTTGAACCTTCTGTCATGTGAGTAATTGAGCTACAATGTGGTTGTGAGAGAGTGAATCACATTTAAGGGTAGGTTAAAGGTGCTTTTCTTACCGCTTTTTATGCCTCTCCTAAGGGAGAAAGGCATAACAAGCGGGGTAAGCGAGCACCAAAAACCTACCTCTAAATGTAGCTTGTTGTTGGTTATGAGTGTGGTCGTGTCTGTCAATGGTTCATCATAGTTAATCGCTAAAAAAGATCATGATGACTGAGTGCGCCGGGGCCACCTTCTCGGCCCTTGAGATCATTCTTTAGACACATCTTTCTGAGCGTTGTCTCCAGGGGTGTCTACGTTGAGACACCTCTGAAGGCGTCTCTTCTAGATCGTCCTGCTTCGAGGGGACAATAAAAATGACTCTGGAAGAACCAAATTAACCTACAGCTGCAGTTCCAAGTTCAGCTCTTTCCCCGCTTCCACCTAAGATATACGAAAAAAATTCAGCATTTATCTTTTTTGAGAAGTAGTAGAAAGAAGATCTTGTTGTTCACCAACAGACTCAGAGTTAATATTTACTTCAAACTCAATCTTCTAGTCGTACTATTTGGAATAAACACTGAAGACGAGGACTAGACACAATCTTCACGAAAAGAGATGTCGCCCCAAGCGGAACGTGTTCGTTCTTCTCGTACAAAGGGCACTTCATCTCTGACTTCCACCAAGATGAGTCGCCAAGGGTTGGCTGCTTTGGCCTTGGCAGCCAGCGCAACAGGGCTGAAAATGCACCTCAACCCTGTTCCGGCGAAGGGGAAGGCGAAAGCTGGTGGCGCTCCCCCTGCAGTGTCTGATAAGGCGTCTCCAACTCCTGCGCCAGGACCTGCTGCAGGACCTCCCGCTGCTCAAATTACGGCTACTACGAGATAAAATCCATCTTCCTCCCCGCCTCCATGGTGGGTCATCTTCTTGGTCCCGTTTTTCAACAGGAGAAAGAGGAAGATGAAGAACATGTTGAATTCGTGCTGAATTCGTGGATACAACTACTTCACACCTTCTTCTTTTTCTAATTCTCTACAACTAGATCTCATCATCATCTTTTTCTAATGAACGGACGATCACTTTTACCCACGGACCTGATGGCAAAGGCCCGCCGGCTAATGCGAAGGAACTGGCCCGTGTTATGAATGAGATGTGCGATCCTGAGTCCGTGTTTGATCCGATGCTCGCTGGCCTCTTCCCGATCGACGAACCCAGCAAGAAAGCCTTGAGAACGCCAGCACAGATGGATCAAGTGTTGGGCAAAGCGGCTGATGATTTCCCCTCCTGGGATGAGGTGATGTACATGCTCGAGGACACGAAACTTAAGGCTCAACATCAAATATATGGAGAGAGAGTTGTCCAGTCGTAGATCAAGAAGAGAAGATCCTTCACAACATCAAGGGATCAAGAAAATTGATGTACTAGACCTGACTTGCTTCATCTATCTCCACGTGAGAAACGGGTGTTGAAACATATTTTTGAATCCCGTTATAAACGAAAGTACATCAACTACTTCTGTGCTGCTGGATCTTGTACAACTGGAGGTAGCTATTATTCGTCTACGGCCTCCACCCGTACTGGATCTTGTACAACTGGAGGTAGCTCATCATGTTCGTCTTCCAGGATCATGAATAGGAAGTAGCTTGGGTTCTTGAGCTATTGAGGATACTGAAGGTACAGAGCCCGCTCGTATTCGTCTACGGCCTCCACCCGTACTGGCTCTACCCGTACTGGCTCCGCCACCCGTACTGGCTCCACCACCCGCACTCCACCCGGATTCTAGTGTTCGTCCTCCACCCGTATTCTACGTATTCTAGTATTCGTCTACGTCGTAGGTGCTTGGGGTTCGTCTACGTGGGGTCTTGAGGGTAAGTAGCTCTAAGACGCGTTCTGGCGAAGACAACCGCGATGAGTCCGCTTTCACGCACAAGGGAGCGGACATGTACAAGAACTTTGAGAATGCGATGAGCCCTCGAGAGGCTTTGGAAGCAGATGATACTGCGCCGAAAGCGTACCGACCCGAGCGTCCGAGTGATCCAGACTTCAGTGTCTCCAGTTTTCCGGTGATCTACTACCCTTTTGTTTCGCCCACGTTGAAGTTGGGCGTCAACAGCGTCTACGATTTCGACGAAAAAGAATGGATAAGTTACGAACAATTTCTTGTGGATTTATTTCAACATTTCTTCTACACGACCTACCTTGCTACATAAGATCCTCGACCTTATGATTTCTCTAAGTACTAGTTGTACTTCTAAGGAGTTTATTTTGTTCGGAACAAAAACAAATCGAAATTTATTATTCATGATAGGTCAACGTCGTCAAGGATCTTCTTCTTGTATGGTTCTAGTATTTGGTAACCTGAATTCGATCACAAGGGTTCCCTTCTTGTTTTCCTCATGATCAAAATCAGGTTACCAAATACCAACACCATTCACTTCTATCTTCTTCTAATAGAACAAGCAAAAACTCCCCGAAAAGTATGGAGGTGGACACGATGGCCCGATCGTGTTCAAGGAGAAGGCGACGGGTGTGGACATGCGAGAGATGTGCACCCAGACGAACTTGAACCAAATGAACACGTACGTTCTCGACACGCGAGCGGCGGAAAGAGAGAAATGGGAAAAACTTTCCTTGGAACCTCGCTTCTTGAATGACCCTGCAATTGGCGGGAGCAAGGCGAAAGCAAAGGCATTTTTAAAACAGAAGTTCCTGGAGATCGACCACACATATGTCTTCAAGTGGACCAACGGTGTCCCGCTTACAAAGTACAACATTCTCCCGGCACCTCCAGAGGTTGAAAAGGAGGCTGAGGAAATTTTGACGGGAAAGCTCGTGTTAAGAATTTTGGGAAAATTACATCCAGCATTGCCATCCTTAGCTTTTTGTTTCTAGAAAACTAGAAGAAGGAGAAGCCAAGGAAGACGTTTAGAGGAATGTAATTCCGTACTAGCATCTAATCATGTACGCGAAAAATGGTCAGATTCTTCGCGACGTTGGCCAAAGTCGCGCTATGCGACTTGAGCGGATCAACAAGGAGATAGTTGAACTGCGTGAAAAGAACCCCAGCAAAGTGCCGAAGAAAAACAAAAAGGCCAAGACTGCTCCTACCCATGACACTATGGTGAAGGAACTGCGGAAGATGCTGATACGTAAGCAACGACGTGCTCAGGAGCTGGAGGGGCATATGAAAACGGTCACGCTTGTCGCTGTCATTCTATCCTTAAGGCTCGTCTACTTTCTCTTGAGAATGAAATCTCTTTCCAGTCGTGGTTCTATTTAGAAGATCATGTCCGTAGATCATGTAGAAGTGCTGTAGACGTGCTGTAGAAGATCCTTTCTCGTGGAGGGGATCACGTAGAGGATCACCACCAGGTCTAATATTGGTCGTGTTTGGACTTGTCGCCGCTGGCTTCGGATTCCTTTTGTTCCGTCTCTTGCGCAGTGAGAAAACGGCGTCGCGTTGCATTTTCATGTCTGTTAAGAAGGGTTTCCGCATTACATCCTCTTCCTTCACCAAGGTCGTTGATGTCCTTGGCCTTTATTTGGTACTTCGAGAACTTCTTGTATAGGGTCGTTAGCAGAAGTAACTTCTATATGGTTACTAGTAGAAGAAGAAGTACTTAGAGCTTCGATAATCGATAGCAGGGTTGGTAGAAGTTGTTCTCGACGTCTCATCATCTACCCACGTTACTTGTTCTCATCTACTCACTTGAAGTAGAAATACATTTAGGTCAAATAGTACAAGACAAACGACATCATGAGCATGAACATGATGTTCGGGGGACCAGGAAAAATGTAATGCTGTAGCACCCTTTCTAAGAAAGTGTACATTCTGGGATTGGCTGCGTCTGTGGGATTGCTGATTCTTGACGTCGTCGTCCTTGTCAATGCAAGCAAGAATAAGAACCTTTTGGGTACTATTTCTAAACAAGTCTTTTCAGGCGTCAAAAGATACCTCCAGAACAGGTAAAGGAATGAATGAATCATGAGACCGCAACTTCTCCAAAAGTCTTCTGCTCATGAGACAACTTTTCCAGCTAGTACAACAACCTTTTTAACTAAGTACACATCAGAGTCATTTTTTTACCTCAAATAGCTCCTCCACAAGACGCAACTCAACCTGTGCATCCTCTTCAAGCGCAGGGCTAACAATGAAGCTTACGCTTGTTATTTTTACGTAGTTTTGATGAATTCCTAACAACAAGTGTGATAGTACGTTTTGAATTGGTAATTACATCGCAGTAACTAGGCGTAGTATAACTCTGATATTCCTCCACTGAGCACGTTTTTTGTACGAAAATCATCACTCAGGCACCGAGCAAGGCATTTTAAACCACGTGAATGGACGCGAAGCCTCTGAATTCGCTTACGGGATGGGCACGCTCTCCGCTGACGGTAGTTGGTGAGCCGTTGAGGATTTGGTATTTACTGGTGGATCATTTTTTAAAAGCAGTACAACTAACAAACAACATAGTAGAGGACTACCATGATCTTGATCTTGTTCATGTTTGTTCATCAGAAATAAAAGAAGAGAAGTGCTGCTGTCATCAATATTTTTTTGTCTAGATCATGTATGGTGCTTGTACTTCGCAGAAGTAGAACCCTAAAAGCGGTGCGGACCCTAAACCTTGAACCTTGGAGTACAACAAGAAGCATCCTCGAAATTTCTTCCATTCGTCTGCACAGCTTCCATTCCAAACTTCTTCCAAGCTTTGGCTCTCTTTCTTTCCAGCGAAGAAAATTCAACGTCCTCCCGGTTCCAGGTAGACATAACGGAAGGAGATAGAATGAGAATATAATTCGTTTTTTCAGTGAAGACGAGGAGGTCGTGGTGTGGCACTGTGCAGGGAACAAGGAAAAGAACTTGGTCACAGAGACGAGGAGATCCAGGACTGTGATTGTCGAAAATTATTTTTATCCTATGCATTTTTTTGCGTATCTATCATGCGGTAGATTCATTTTTTATTACTTTCCTCTACAAAGAACTTGTTCTAGAAGGACGAGTAGTACCTAAGTAGAAAATGATCTACTCAGGAGAATAGCACCAGCATAGGTTCCTTATCCTTTGGGTAGTAAGAGCAACGTAGTAAGTAAATTGAGAAAACAAAATCGAGGACTAATCAATGGTTGATATATATAAAAAGAGAATCACAAGATGCAATGTCTGTCATCACTAAGATAATTACAGCAGAGAATGATATTGAACTTGATCTTGAATTCGTGAAAGAACACGAATACAAATACGGGCAAGAATTATATACAAGAATCACATACATAGATATTTATAGAAAGGTGCAATTTGAATGTTTGTTGTACAACTAGATGCAAGCGCCCAGCCGCTTTTTCTTCACTAGACTCCTCCACCACCTCCTACTCCTTGGAGCCCTCCGAAGCGCGCCCCCCCTTCCTCCTTTTCGCGGAAATAGTACTAGTAGCTTGCAACACAAAATAAATATACCGCGGTGGCGCCGGATGAACTGACCTGAAGTGGTGGGGCGAGTTTCGCAATGGAAAGCAAATGTCGCGCTGAAAGTCAAAAATTTGATGAAATATTAAGTGCCAGAGATTGGCTTCAGACTTGACCAGGGAGGGTTAGACATAAAGATGAAGGGCATGGCCATGACCAAAAACATGGGAAACAAGGATAAGTAAGGAGTTAATTATACCAATACGAATAGACTAGACAATATTAAGCACAACTATCAATTTCAATACTGAAGAAGTTAAAGAGGAAGCTAAGTAGTTCTTTTGCTTGTGCGATACTATCATGCTATTAACTGAGACGAGTACTATGTATGATGATCATTCCATCGAGCAGTACTAGTTTTTGAACAAGTTGTAATGTACTTATAATGGATATCAAGTTATTGGTATAATGATCACAGGCGTCCTCTAGGGATCCTAATTTAAAGAACTACTACTACTACTACCATGTTGTTTGCTTGGAATAATGATGATCTGATTCTACTGGTGTTAAGGTTAACGAGTTTGGTTGCTATGTCTACCATGATCGTAGTAGTAGGGAAAATACTTCGGCGGGTGTCTTTATCTCTGGCCGCGAGTACTTACAGACTAAAGCGAGGCTGCATGCCTCACCCTTGAGGGCGGGCTATATACTTCACCCTTGGAACGCCTTCCAACGAGGTCTGTCGAAATTATTTTTTTTGTCGATAAATAGGAATAGCCCATGAAATGAAAAAAAAAGAAGATGTTGGACTTGCGACTGTCAATTGATCAGAGTGAGTTGTACTTAATTGAATACAAGAACTAATAGTACTAGAGAACGAAAAGGGGAAGATTATTACAAGATGCAGTCCCTATAATTAAAGAACTTATACCACATGAGTGGGTACATCTATCTATCTATCTATCTATCTATCTATCTAATAGTACTAAAGAACGAAAAGGGGAAGATTATTTTTTGAGAAATAGATACGGCTTTGCGATGTAAGAAACTGAAAGGAGTGCTCGTAGTGGAGATTGTTGCTTATCTTGACATGGATTCATCAGTTGGGAAAACTTCAGTGACAAAAATGAATGTACTAAAATGTAACTACCCACACTAGAGTCACCAAAGAAAAGTCGCTTCCCGTGTGCTTACTTATTATCACATGGACTCTTCACTCTAAGGCTAGTTGAGCTTCGTGACTCCTTTTAAGACTCTTAAAAGGAGTCACGACAAGACCCTTAGAGGATCTGTCAGCACAAGACAAGACCCTATTTGTAGGATCAAGGACAGAATGTGACAACCTGTTCTGTGAGGAAGAGACTGATTCTGTCAAGTGTTTACTTTAGAGAAGAGAAGATGCGGAGTAGAGTGAGTGCCATTTTGATTTTCGTCTTCTGCCAAGGGAGTGAATAGAGTCTCGTCTTCTGTCGTGAGAAGGAGTGGAGTTTTCGTCTTCTGTCCGGACTCTGCAAGAGTGGCAAATGTTGAAGAAATTTGGATCAGTTTTTATGTTTTTAGTAGGGTAGGAGAATGATGTTGATTGAAATGGTCTGGTGCCTCTGGTGCTACTTTCGTCATATCTTATCAAGGCTTACAGCCTCCTCCTTTCTCTAATACTCTCAGCTCAGGACGATAAGGCGAGAAAGTTTTACGCTTTCTTATTTCTCTCTCTCTGCTCCAAATTTCGAGCACCAAACGATCTAAAGCAACTAGTTACTCTAAGTAATAATCAAAAACTGATCCTAATCATAATCCCCTCCCTATGTATACTCAAAAAATATCCTGACAAGAACATACACATATTCATACTTACTCATTTTCATAGAGTTCGTCACCACCTGACACAGCAATTAGTAGTAATATCTGACCCCTTGCCAAGCGCAAGCACGACATCAACTATAGGAACTGAAGCTGTAGCATTACTAAGATTAGAAACTTGTAATCTATCAATGCAAATGAATATAAGATAACGACGGCTCAGTCAAAAGATTACCATAACCTTCTCCCTATAAGCAAAAAATTAGAATTACCCTGACAGCATACTCATATTTAATATTCACTTTCAACATAGATGAGTTCGTCGCCATACAGCAACTACAAACAAACACTAACTAATATCTGACCCCTTGCCAAGCGCAAGCACATCAACTATACGAACCACAGAAGGTCTAGTATTGTTAAGTTTCGATGTTAAAGAATTGCACTTGCAGTCTATCACTTATGAGTCTAAGATCACGAGGAACGGGGTAACTTGATAGTAAAAACTGTTACTCGTACAGTAACAGTAGTAACACGACCGACGGACACTGAATAGAAAAGAGCAACAGACCTCTCGAGTGGATACATTCTGTCACTCACTCGCTAGTCGTGAATTGCAGCGCGTGGTCTCCATAGGTGCTTATACTCCGAGACGAGGTCGTTATTGAAATAGAAGTTGTAGCACCTATTGTCAAACCTGTTTTACATGTAATTAACCGGCGCAGACTGCACTTTCGTCGATAAAGAGACGAAGATACTAGACCGACTGACTCTTTGCGTATTAGTAGTGTGACAATTGTTTTTTAGGTTCCGCTCCAATTACCATTAGTTACGACGTTCCTACACGGACTCGTATCGACGTGATCCATCTCTAGGTAGAAGTAGAAGTAACGAAAACGAAATGAAAATGAGTCGTCAACACAGCTCAGGCGAGCACAGCCTTGGCGGGCACTGCTTGCTGACGTGGATGGCCCTGACCCTCGTGATGGAATCGGGGTTGTCTCTTAAATTCGCGAATAAGAAAGAGCAGGGTCGTGGTGGGGGCGGGGGCGGGGGCTCCAGCATCGGTGGCGGAGGAGGTGGTGGCCCCAGCATTTGTGGTGGTGGAGGTGGAAGCTTTTGCTTTGGCGGTGGTGGCGGCTCCAGCATTGGTGGTGGTGGAGGTGGAAGCTTTGGTGAAGGCGGTGGTGGCGGCTCCAGCATCGGCGGCGGAGAAGGCGGGGGCTCCAGCATTGGTGGTGGTGGAGGCGGGGGCTCCAGCATTGGTGGTGGTGGAGGTGGAAGCTTTGGTGAAGGCGGGGGCGGCGGCAGCGCCAGCCTTGTTGATGGTCCAGCTGTGGCTGCTGCTGCAGGTGGAGGTGGAGGCGAGGGAGGCGGCGGCAGCGCCAGCCTTGTTGGAGGTCCAGCTGTGGCTGCTGCTGCAGGTGCTGAAGGAGGCGCTCGCCCTGAAGCTGCTGCACCAGCTGAAGCCGGGGATGGTCTTGGCCAGCCTGCGGTTGCGGGAGCTGGCTCCGGAGCCACCGGGCGACCCGGTGGAAGTGAGGAGCCCGACTCTTCTCCACAGGATGGAGTCGTTGCCGCGCCATTTTCCAAGGGCCACACGAGTGACGGCAGTCTGGTACTACAGCACCAAGCTAATTCTACTGACTTGCGTTGCCACAGTTTCAATATTGAATATCAATTGGAGTCACACCTAGTGAAAAAGTGAGGCGGACTGCTTCCCGCATGGCAGATTTTTCAGGTGTGTAACTGTCTCTTGCCTTTACTCCTAGGGCTCATCAGAGCAATAAAGTCGATGGGACTTCTTAGCGTCGATTGTTTAGGAGATCATATTACGATGAACGCCCCCCCTTGCCGGTTACTTCGCTGAAAAAATGCAAGCAGGTTTTTTTTTGAAACTCGTTCGTGGCTTATATATTTATACATAGTTCTCTCCGATAGTTGTAGACTTGTGGTCGTTGGCTTACGGTCTTATGCTCCGCCAGTATGTAACTACATCTACAAGTGCTTAATTGTTATTCTCTAATTATCAATCCCGTTCACCAAGGTAAACACAATGCTGACATTTGCGGACACCCAGAGCAGTCTTCAATGGACTTCCTCTCATGTTTACGCTTTGAATCCGGCCTTAACATACGACTTGTCTGCGGTTCCGCTAATTTCTCAATGGGCTGCGCGGCTCCAGGATGAAACCGAAACTAAAGCTGAAGGAAACTCAGATGTTGATACGAAACTAATGTACAGAGGAGCTGCATTAAGGGATAGCCTCTCCGCTCATCTGCAAGGGCAGCCTGCTCGCCTTCCGGATGGGACTGAAATTCCTCTCGAGTGGATTGTAGACGAGAGCTGCGAAGCGTTCTGTGGGGGAAAGACTCAACATTTTGTCAAGGACGGCGATGAGGAGCTGAAGTGGAACAAAATATTGGAGAAATTCGAATTTGTGGTCGATCCAGATCAAGAATCAGTACAAGCTCACTACAGCTCCAAGAAATTGCAAGAATTCCTGCTGGATTTGGAAACTGAAGATGGTCTGCGACGTGATGATCCTGCCATAAAGATTGTCGAGGGCGAGTACTTGCGCATCGAATATGTTCCACGACCTCTGGATGCAGCAGCACCAGAGCACTCCCACTCACGACCAGAAGAGGAGCACGATTTTTGGAAAAAGTGGAAGCTTGGCCAACCCCAGGCCGCTGGCGCCCTCGACCTGTTTTTCACTGACATCGGCCGTGAGAACGTCGACGACATGAACACCGAGTGCGAACGCGCTGCGTTGAAAGCCGGATTTGGTCAACTTCGGATATTTATGGCTTCCTCCCCAGGAAATCTTCATGCAAGTAGCTACATCCTTCGAGAAATCATTCTCGTGCGAAGATATAATCGAAAATTCAGGTGAAGATGAGCGAGCAGTACTAGGCTCCACAAGTAGAGTAAGTACGTAGTCTTTACCCAATTTACTGGGTCCTGTAAAATCAAAATAATTCGATCATCATCTCCTTCTCCTCGGCCTCGGTTACTTACTAGTTAGGCTTTTCGAACAACATTTCGTAAGAACGCGACTACCTACGGGCGCGAATTCTCGTGTATCAACTCTAACGCATCTGAAGAATCGCCGTCGAGGAATGATCAACCCTCGCGGCATGATACCGCGAGCTCCGACGGAGTCAAGCCAGAGAAGGGTGCACTTGTGCCATATCCATACGGAGGCTGTTGGGTCGAGATTCCAAAGGACGCGAAGCGTGGCCTTCGTCCGATCGCGCGTCTGCTCCTGAAGCATACGCTTCTTTCGCAAAGAAACTATTTCTACAGACCTGAGGACCACCGGCTCGTTCTCTTGCGCAAGACCAGATCCCTTGTCCTAAAGGAGCGCAGAAAGGGAGAGGAAGGAGCGCCACTGCCCACCTCCAACGCAAGAACTTCGGCTCCATACTACCGGATACATATCAATAAAAGATATAGTCTTGATGATGGTGAGCACTTGGCAATTAGACTGGGACCGCGGTACGCACACGCACAGCTAAGAAGCCAGAAGCTTCACTGTATAAACTGGACGAAAAGTGGCCGTAAGGCCAGCATCCGCCCAGTCCGTTTGATCAGGTTAAGCGAGCTGCAGTGTGGACAGAATTTGGGGGAGAAGATATCTTCTCGCGTGGTGGCGAATGGTGATATCAACAGCAGCAAACATGTGTTGAAGAACATCAACATGTTCCCTACCAGGACCTGGGTTAGGATTCATCAAATTCAGTGGCAAAGAGCAGGCCCAGCTCCAATTCTACAAGTGTGGGAAGCTTTTCCACCAACACCAGATACGGAGGATATGAAAGCCGAAGTGATCGTTCAAATTGTCGAGGGAAATGGCCTTTTTTCAGCGCCGGGCCTCCAAGTGAGATGCGGAGAGTACGCGCCGGGGTTCCTCAAGACGATATTTGGCTATGATAAAATGAAGATCAAAAAACTAGAACAAGACGGGAATCAAGAATGTGAAGAACCAAATCCGCTAGAGTTGGAAGAGCTCGAGCCCTTTCTTCAATTGCAGAGGCATCTCAAAGGTAAACGCGTCTACTTTCTGGGCCACTCTTCTGGAGTCGCAGGAGCTCTTCTGCTAGCGCACTTATTCGTTCCAAGCGCTGCGAGCGTGCGCGTTTTTGGAACAGGAGCGCTTGCTGTGGATTTTCTCAATTTCAGGCTCGTGCAAAATCTCAGGAAGAGCAGAAGCAGTGCGAACGACATTGAGGATCATGCTGATGCTTATCCTAATATTGCTAACGTCGACCCGACTTATGCTGCGGAACACCAACCGCTGATGACGTATGCCAAGAAGGTGGAAAGAGTAGACCTGCTTGTCGTGGAGGCTCGACTCTTCTTCAAAAGTGTTGTGGATGGTGACGCACCATTCGCGGACACAGTGGCCGAGTGGCGGAAGGCGGAAAACCCATCAATATTGGACGGGAGCAGCACTGCGCCCGAGTCGGAGAAGCCAGTGTTCGCGGAAGCAGTGGCGCAGGTTTACAGCAGAGGAAAGGAAGAGACGCAGAGGCTCGTCAAATTGTGGGAAGCACATCCGCAACACGTGAATGTTCTCGACACGTTTCTTGTCCGTTGCAAGAAGATCAAGAGCATGGAAGAAGGCATTAATACATCGACAGAAGCAGGCACAAGCGGACAAGAGAGTGACAGCGCGTTCTTTAATCTTCCTTCTCCTCCGCCGAAGCCTGAAGACCTCGAGAAGCCGCTGGGCCTCGAAGAAGAACTGGCAAGCAAAAAGATATTTGTCTGGAAGCTTACCATGCCCTTTCAGGGTGAGTGGGAACAGAATCGAGAAAAAATACTGTTTGTTGGTGCTGGACACTTCTACACTAGGCTTGTGAAGCTTATTCCCATTGGTCGTTTCCCTTTTGCAGAGGACGAACAGAAAAAGGAACACGACGGAGACCTGTTCAGGGTGCAGCTCAAAACCGCTTTTGGCTCTGCGAGACTGCAAAGACTTGACTATCGCCTTCAGCTAGTTCAATTGGCCATTGAGGGAGTGCATCAGTTGGCGGCTTACCGGGACGCGCTCTTGGGATATGTAAATCAGCATTCTCCTTTTATATCATAAAATAATGGTGGGGGCGTCGGGCTTGTTTCATCTGATATTCCTCCTAGAGACCGAGGGCCTCCTGCTGCTGCTATTCGTGGCGCACAAGTCAACACTGCGCTTGCTGCTCCCACTGCTACGAGTGCTGCAGGGGGCTAGTTGAATATAACACGCACGGAGGTTCTTGTGGTGCATGGAGGACATGATGAGGTCGCATGGGAGGGGTCACATGGAGTGTATGAAGCAGCCCTGGCGCATAGGGCATGCAACAGGAAAGCTTCATGCCACACCCTCATCCGGTTGAAGCATTCTATGCCGACCGTAACCTATACTTCTAGAGGTTCTTCGACTCCACTGATCGGTCCTCTTGTAGTCGATGAAGACAGAGCTCGCTTTGTCTTTTTTCGACTTGTTGCGGGTGTCCGAGTTTGTTTCACTGTGCATGCACGACTTGATTAAGATTATTTTACCAAGGGAGTCCTAGCCAGAGTTGTGACCATATAATGTATGCGCTGTTTTCTGAGAAGTTGGCGACCCATAGGAGCAGGGGTGACAGCATTCGTGCTGCCGCCTCATTCGGTTCCTCCCGATTTCTTTGCTGAGACGGCTAGTGGGTCCGAGCAGGTCGGCGGCTTGGGCGAAGACTCTGGTGAGAATCAAGAAAAGGGTCGCTGTAAGTAGGGCCAAGCTCTTAATCTTACTAGCAGCTTTTTTTCTGATATTGTGGAAGCAGTTCTTAGACTTGATAGAAGTATTAGACGCAGGAGGCTAGTTCTTGAGTATGACACTTCCACTTGTGGAGGTCGTGCATGGAGGACATGACGAGGTCGCATGGGAGGGGTCACATGGAGTGCATGAAGCAGCCCCGGCGCATAGGGCATGCAACAGGAAAGCTTCATGCCACGACATCGCCATCCGGTTGAAGCATTCTATGCCGACCGTAACCTATACTTCTAGAGGTTCTTCGACTCCACTAATCGGTCCTCTTGTAGTCGATGGAGACAGAGCTCGCTTTGTCTTTTTTCGACTTGTTGAGGGTGTCCGAGTTTGTTTCACTGTGCATGCACGACTTGATTAAGATTATTTTACTAAGGGAGTCCTAGTTAGAGTTGTGACCATATGGATGGACCACACGTGAGCCTGGCAAAGTCAGCTGGCGAGATGTTCCAGGAAAAAACCCCAGCGTCAAGAAAGCTACAGACTATTATTGCAACCAAGCAGGCTACTTACACACGAGTATTGCAATCAAGAAAGCTACACACTAGTAATAGGACTTGTTAGCACTTAGCAGGAATAACTATTTTGGTGTCAACATCCGTAGAGAAGTAGTAGTACCTCCGGTACATTAATTTGAAAACCAGTTACTATATACTAGAATTTGTACAACAGCATCTACTTCTACTAATACTAGTGCAACAACAACGGGTTGAGGCAATTGAATGTTCGATTTCCACTCCACCTACTAGCATTTTTACAACTAGTCCGGTCCATTCCAAACTTCTTCCAAGCTTTGGGTCTCTTTCTTTCCAGCTAAGAAAATTCAACGTCCTCCCGGTTCCAGGTAGAACAAATAGCGGAAGGAGATAGAATGAGAATATAATTCGTTTTTTCAGTGAAGACGAGGAGGTCGTGCTGTGGCACTCTGCAGGGAACAAGGAAAAGAACTTGATCACAGAGACGAGGAGATCCAGGACTGTGATTGTCGAAAATTATTTTTACCCTCTTATCCTTTGGGTAGTTGTAAGAGCAACGTAGTAAGTAAATTGAGAAATAAACAAAATCGAGGACTAATCAATGGTTGATTTAAAAAGAGAATCAAGAGATGCAATGTCTGTCATCACTAAGATAATTACAGCAGAGAATGATATTGAACTTGATCTTGAACACGTGAACACGAATACAAATAAGGGCAAGAATGATACAAGTACAAGAATCACATACATAGATATTTATAGAAAGGTGCAATATGAATGTTTGTTGTACAACTACTCGAAAACTGAGAATAACCGAGTTACTGACTGAAATAAGGGAGGTAGCTTAACATCAAGGCTACTCTTCCTTCTCATGAGTATCTCGCTTATTTTCCGTAGTTACTCGAAATTTCAGTTTTTCGAGTAGATGCAAGCGCCCAGCCGCTTTTTCTTCACTAGACTCCACCACCACCTTGCCCAGCCGCTTTTTCTTTACTAGACTCCTCCACCACCTCCTCTTGGAGGGCTCTTCGCGGAAATTTCTTCACTAGACTCCTCCACCACCTCCTCTTGGAGGGCTCCGAAGAGATTGGCTTCAGACTTCACCAGAGGGTTAGACATAAAGATGAAGGGCATGGCCATGACCAAAAACATGGGAAACAAGGATAAGTAAAGAGTAGACAATAGACAAGGATAAGTAAAGAGTAGACAAGGAATTATACCAATACGAATAGACTAAGACAATATTAAGCACAACTATCAATTTCAATTTACTGAAGAAGTTACAGGGGAAGCTAGTTCTTTTGCTTGTTCGATACTATCATGCTATTAACTGAGACGAGTACTATGTATAATGATCATTCCAACATCGAGCAGTACTAGTTTTTGAACAAGTTGTAAGGTACTTATAATGAATATCAAGTTATTGGTATTATAATGATCACAGGCGTCCTCTAGGGAACTACTACTACTACCATGTTGTTTGCTTGGAATAATGATAATCTGTTTCTGGTGTTTGTGAATAGGAATAGAATGAAGATGACGATGAAGATGTTGGACTCGCGACTAAGACTATCAATTGATGAGTGAGTTGTACTTAATTGAATACAAGAACTAATAGTACTAGAGAACGAAAAGGGGAAGATTATTTTTTGAGAAATAGATACGGCTTTGCGATGTAAAAAACTGAAAGGAGTGCTCGTAGTGGAAATTGCTGCTTATCTTGAGATGGATTCATCAGTTCAGAAAACTTCAATGTCAAAAATGAATGTACTAAAGTGTAACTACCAGCACAAGAGGGGAAAAGAAGAGCCACGACTAATGCTGCGCGTCGCCAAAGAAACTACAACGGCTCTGGGGCTCAAAAAAACGGCAAAAGAAGTGGAAAGAGTCACCAAAGAAAAGTCGCTTCCCATGTACTTATTATGACATGGACTCTTCACTCTAAGGCTAGTTGAGCTTCGTGACTCCTTTTAAGAGGATCTGTCATCAACTCCTTTAAGAGGATCGATCAAGGACAGAATGTGACAACCTGTTCTGTGAGGGAGAGACTGATTCTGTCAAGTGTTTACTTTAGAGAAGAGAAGATGCGGAGTAGAGTGAGTGCCATTTTGATTTTCGTCTTCTGCCAAGGGAGTGAATAGAGTTTTCGTCTTCTGTCGTGAGAAGGAGAGGAGTTTTCGTCTTCTGTCCGGACTCTGCAAGAGTGGCAAATGTTGAAGAAATTTGGATCAGTTTTTATGTTTTTAGTAGGTTAGGAGAATGATGTTGATTGAAATGGTCTGGTGCCTCTGGTGCTACTTTCGTCGTATCTTGTCAAGGCTTACAGCTTTCTCCTTTCTCTAATACTCTCAGCTCAGGACGATAAGGCGAGAAAGTTTTACGCTTTCTTATTTCTCTCTCTCTGCTCCAAATTTCGAGCACCAAACGATCTAAAGCAACTAGTTACTCTAAGTAATAATCAAAAACTGATCCTAATCATAATCCCCTCCCTATGTATACTCAAAAAATATCCTGACAAGAA